AAAATATAAGGATACTAGAGATTTACGCGGTTCGGCCCGAGTGTCGATACTTATTCTACGGAGAGAGACGGCACTAAGAAATTCATTATTAATTTTGAGAGTACATAATTTATAATAGCTTGATCGTGCTTTTTTTCAGTACTCAATTATATCCAAAGTAGATCCGCAAAGTGTTATCTCGTAATATCTCGTAAAAAAACTCACTCAAAATACTCATACAGAGAACTTTTCACGGAAGGGACGGCGTCCTCAACGGTCTTTAAATTCCCGTCCGTCCCATTTTCATTCAAGCTTCGACTAGAGTGGAGCTAGCTTTTGTCATTCTGTCCTCCTTCACCCTTCGTTTTTCACTGGGTGCCTGCATATCAATCCTCAAAGCGAAGCAGAAACTCTGCATTATCTCTTCTTCACCACCCACAGCCCAACCAGCATGAGCTCAACCAAACCCTACGATGTCGAAGAACACCCTTGGAGCACCGGCCTCTGCGACTGCTTCGACGACATCAAAAGCTGTAACGGAAATCTGTTCATATCGCCATCTTCTTCTTCCCCTCTTTTTTTCCGCGTATCAAGGGATAAATAAATCCATGCAACTCCATTGTTGCTTGCAGGCTGCATCACCTTCTGGTGCCCATGCATCACCTTCGGACGGATATCAGAGATTCTGGATAAAGGGGAAACGTGTGAGTATATAACTTCTGTATACGTGTTCGCCTCTATATGTCCGAGGATCGCTCCAAATTATTATTATTTTGCTCTGGGATTATACTTCGGGTACACGGTTATATTTCGAATAAGTCCTTGACATAGGTCGAGTTCTGTCTAATAGCGACCGATCGGGATGAACTGTAATAATGTTGAGTCACAAATGAAGCCTGCGCATGAAGAACTCGAGCCGCAGTTCACAAAGCAAGCAGAGCCAGTTAATAAGAGTGCAACAGTGGACGTGTGATGTCGAATTTTATGAACTTGTCCCGATTCTGGACTTGACAACTTATGCCGATAACATAGGAGATTAACTTTCCCTGTTATGAAAGGCTAATTAATTACCGAAAAAAATAACAAAATCTAATTATATATTTGCACTCACTTGTCCGACCTTGGATTGCAGCTTGCGTCATGAACTGCGCAATCTTTGCGCTGATCCACTCCATCACTCGGTGCGCATGTCTCTATTCATGCTTCTACCGAACCAAACTGAGACGAGAATTCGGGTTGAAGCAAGATCCGTGCCATGACTGCTTAGTCCACTACTGCTGCATGAACTGCGCGCTTTGTCAAGAGTACCGAGAGCTCAAGAGCCGCGGATTCGACATGGAGAGGGGTAAAAAACCCCTTCCTTTCCAACATCTTAGGGCCGGCTAGCTTTCAAATAGTGCAGATACTAGTCTTTCTAAGTGTTGATCAAGTTCTGACTCAAAATGGTTGGATTGGTGTGCAGGATGGGAAGAGAACGCCAGGCAACGTAGAGAAGTGGCAATGGCTCCAGTGGTGGAAGGCGGCATGAAGCGCTAGAGTCCTGTGCTGATTAAGGGGCAACATCTTGTTTCGACCAAGAATATAATTCTCTTTCCTCTGCTTGATTATGCAAGTGAACTTGTTACTCAGAATAACATATGCCATGTATTGTTCTGCGTGATTAGTAAAGTCGGAGCTCAGCTCCTAATTGTATGATCCTTTTCATTTGGTAGGCGCAGAGTCTGTGCCAAGAGTTCGATTAAGTCTGTCCTCTAAGTCCTTCAGGGTGAGTATTGAGTTGTCAACGTATAAATCTTTTGATAGCATTGTTCAACGTGTGAATCTTTCCATTTGTTCCGTCTTTGTGTCGAGGGAATTTTTAGTGGACTTGTCATTGTCGCTCTCCTTGCGAAACATATGTCGCCCCAAAACTACATAACATTTAGGGTCGATTTCTCGGTTTATTTGTCCCAACTTCTTACCCCAGTCTTGAACCTTCTACACTCGCAATGACTCCTTGGCCTCATCCGTCGATTGGATCGAGTGCAAATGGGTCGAGTCTTCAAAAGAATTACAATGGGCAAGGGTCACGGCCCAGGTTTAGAAAAAAAAAATGAAAGAAAAAAATAAAGAAAAATAAATAATAATAAATTCAGAAAAGTGTTCAAATTTTTTTTTAAAAAAAATTATCCATGTCAACGCCCGCCGTGCTACTTAGGACGGCTGACGCTGACTAGATCGGGACGTTAGAAATTTCGGCCAAAATTGGCCAGAAGGATTAATTTGATAAATCGTTAAAAGGTTTAGGATTAAATTGGCACAATTGAATGGTTTATGACTGAATTGGCAAATTATCAAAAGACATAGGACTAAATTGGTAAAAAAAATTGAGGTTAACAAAAATTAGTCAAATTGAAATATTTATTATTGAATTAATAAAAGTGCAATATATTTAGAACTTTCTTGATAATTTTTTCCTCCTTCTCGCTCATGCTCGCATAACAATTCACAATCTCGTGTTAGAATTTGATTGTGCAACTGCATACCTCCATTTGATTGTTCGTACAAGTAATTCATCTCGATTGTGTTCCTGAAGTTTTTTGCTGAGATGATCATATGGCGACGGGAAGGCGATGGTGACTGCACCATATGATATTCCACATTTCATGTCCCTTCATTGTATGTCCCTCTACAATGAACAGGCTCGAGTGGTCCATTTTTCCAGACATTGAAGTGACTGTGACCATATATACAAGAAAGAGATACCAACAAGCAGAAAAGGGGGCATCAAACTTGTAGACGGTCCACTTGCTATTCAGCTATTGGACCACGCAAATTTCCAAGACAGTCATGCACTTGGAGTAGGTTGTTTTCTCCTTCACATATGGCCTCATTCGCAATATGATGTCGCTGGACACCCCTGGAGTTCCGGCCTAATTGTTGAAAACGTGTGGCAAAAGTTTGATACCTTTGTCTGAGATATCGTCAAGAAGGAGCACAAATCCGGGCATGTCATCGTATTCAACTGAATCCACATTCACTCAAAAGCTTAAATCAAGAAATTATGGGACAACAATGATATATTAACTGTACACATCATGTGAGTATATAATATCTGTATACATGTCCGCAAATATGTTTGAATATCACTCCATATTATTATTATTTTGCACTCGGATTATACTTCAGGTAATTACACGGTTTGCATTGCCTTTTGCAGTCATTTTTCGAAAAGTCCTTGATATATGTCGAATTTTGCCTAATGAGTGAACGGTCGGGACGAGTTGTAACATGTTGGGTCACAAATCAAGCCAGAGCATGATGAACTCAAACATGATTCGCATAGAGTATTTTGGATGCCGTTAGAATGTCAAAATTTGAAGTTGATTATGTGCAATATGATCATTCTAGGGAAGTTTAGGGCCCAAAAGTTTTGAAGCAAGCAGAGCCAGAAAATTAGAGTTCAACAGTGCACATGTGTTATGCAGAAAATATAGAATATTAACTTTCCCTGTAAGAAAGGCTAATTAACTACCTAAAAGACCAACAAAGGCTTAATTATATAAATCGCGCTTACTTATTCAGGCTTTGCATTGCAGGTTGCTTCATTAACAGCAAAATCTCTACGCTGATCGACTCGTGCGCATGTCTCTACTCATGCTTCTAGTTCTATCGATCCAAACTGAGAAGAGAAATACAGGTTGAAGGCAGATCCTTGCCACGACTGCTTGGTCCATGCCTCCTGCCTGCCATGCGCGCTTTGTCAAGAGTACCGAGAGCTCCAGATCCGCGGATTCAACATGGAGATGGGAAGGAAACGCCAGGCAACAGAAAGAAGTGGCAATGGCTCCAAAGGTGGAAGGCGGCATGCAGCGCTAAGAGTCTTGTGCTAATTAAGGGCAACATCTTATCTTTCCTCTACTTAATTACGCAAGTGTACTTGTTTCTTAGAATAACACATGTCATGGATTGTTCTGTGCGTTTGATAAAGTTGGAGCTCAGCCCCTAAATTTGTGCTATGGATTGTTTCCTAGAAATGACATATGCCATATGTCGTGAGAGATTGTGAAAAGTAATATGTGGTTTTGGTCGTATACGAGATGATTTTAGTGGATTTATCAATGTCGCTCTCTCCGTGAAAGACACGATGACTCTTTGCTTTCATCCGACGATTGGATCGAACGCAAGTGGGTCGTCTTCGAAAGGATTATCGACCGTGCCATTTTGAAACCGAGGCGGATGGATGTCGACTTATAGATAAGCTTATGGCATGCATACATTGGCAGACCTAGAGGGCTGGTCGTGTGGCCAGACACTGATCCACATAGCCGAGAGGCGACGGCAGCCGCTGACCCACTCCTTGGGTCCATCATTGTCGCTCATACTCGCATTACCCTTCACAGCCTCGTGGATTAGAAATCTTCCACCATAACTTCAGTAGGAAGTAGTTCCATTTTTAATGTGTTGGACCAGTCCAAGATTGACAAAACATACTGCGAATCGGACAACACTGGAGGAAAAACCAAATTGTCCTTTCTGCTCTGAACATTCAAAAGGAGACTAACAATTATCAGAGGCAAAGCTTTCGTAATTGAGGGCCACGCTTTACTAAACTTTCATAATTGCCCTCACGCAGGAAGGAACACGTTGATAACTAAATTAGATGATTAAACTTCCTGAGATCAAGCGTTTAACCAAATTGTAGCCAAACTTTTTTTTACGATTACCATTTTCTTCCTAAAGAATGTAGCATGACACTCAAATTATGTGTAATGAAAATAACGAGGAAAGTAAGTGATCTTGCAATGCAAAACAAATATGAGAAGAGGATGTTACGGAGAAATACAAAAATACCATAGATTTACGTGATTCGGCTCGAGTGTCGATATCTACTCTATGGAGAGAGACGGCGCTAAAAAATTCATTATGAATCTTGAGAGTACAGAAATTACAATAGCTCGATCGTGTTTACCGGTCCTCAATTATATCCAAAGTTGATCCGTAAGTGTTATCTCACAATATCTCATAAAGAGCTCACTCGAAATACTCACAGAGAGAAATTTCACGGAAGGGACACTCAATGGTCTTTAAATTCACGTCCGTCCCCTGGTCATGCACGCTTCATCTAGAGTGGAACTAGCTCTTTTGTTATTCTGTCCTCCTTCACCCCTTCGTTTTTCACTGGGTGCCTGCATATCAATCCCCAGAACGAGGCGGACATCAGAAACTCTGCATTATCTCATCTTCACCACCCACAGCCCACCCAGCATGAGCTCAACCAGACCCTACGATGTCGAAGAACACCCTTGGAGCACCGGCCTCTGCGGCTGCTTCGACGACATCAAAAGCTGTAAGAGAAACCTGTTCATATTGCCAGCTTCTTCTTTCCCTTTCTTCTTCCACGTATCAAGAAATAAATTCATACAACTCCATGTTGTTTGCAGGCTGTATCACCTTCTGGTGCCCATGCATCACCTTCGGATGGATGTCAGAGATTGTGGACAAAGGGGAAACGTGTGAGTATATAACTTCTGTATACGTGTCCGCATATATGTCCGAGGATCGCTCCAAATTATTATTATTTTGCGCTGGGATTATACTTCAGGTACACGGTTATATTTCGAATAAGTCCTTGACATAGGTCGAGTTTCGTCTAATAGCGACCGATCGGGATGAACTGTCATAATGTTGGGTCACAAATGAAGCCTGCGCATGAAGAACTCGAGTCGCAGTTCACAAAGCAAGCAGAGCCAGTTAATTAGAGTGCAACAGTGGACATGTGATGTCGAATTTTATGAACTTATCCCGATTCTGGATTTGACAACTTATGCAGATAACATAGGCGATTAATTTTCCCTGTTATGAAAGGCTAATTAATTACCGAAAAAACTAACAAAGTCTAATTATATATTTGCACTCACTTGTCCGACCTTGGATTGCAGCTTGCGTCATGAACTGCGCAATCTTTGCGCTGCTCTACTCCCTGACTCCGTGCACATGCCTCTATTCATGCTTCTACCGAACCAAACTGAGACGAGAATTCGGGTTGAAGCAAGATCCATGCCATGACTGCTTAGTCCACTGCTGCTGCATGCACTGCGCGCTTTGTCAAGAGTACCGAGAGCTCAAGAGCCGCGGATTCGACGTGGAGAGGGGTAAAAAACCCATTCCTTTCCAAAATCTTAGGGCCGGCTAGCTTTCAAATAGTGCAGATACTAGTCTTTCTAAGTGTTGATCAAGTACTGACTCAAAATGGTTGGATTGGTGTGCAGGATGGGAAGAGAACGCCAGGCAACGTAGAGAAGTGGCAATGGCTCCAGTGGTGGAAGGCGGCATGAAGCGCTAGAGTCCTGTGCTGATTAAGGGGTAACATCTTGTTTCGACCAAGAATATAATTCTCTTTCCTCTGCTTGATTATGCAAGTGAACTTGTTACTCAGAATAACATATGCCATGTATTGTTCTGCGTGATTAGTAAAGTCGGAGCTCAGCTCCTACTTGTAATATCCTTTTTCATTTTGTTGGCGCAGACTGCACTAAGAGTTCGATTAAGTTTGCACTATAAGACCTTCGGGGGGAGTATGAATTGTCAACTTATAAATCTTTTGATAGCATTGTTCAGTGCGTGAATCTTTCCGTTTGTTCCGTCTTTGTGTCGAGGGAATTTTAGTGGACTTGTCACCTTCTCTCTCCTGCGAAACATAAATCGTACCAAAATTACATAACATTGAGGGACGATTTATCCGTTTATCTATCGCAACTTCTTACCCGGCCTTGAACCTTCAACACCCGCAATGACTCCTTGCTCTCGTCCGTCGATTAGATCGAGTGCATATGGGTCAAGTCTTTCAAAAGAATGACATCTAGGAGTTAAAGGTGAATGGATGTCGACTTTTAAGCTCATAACATTTTCCCCGCTCCATATGGAACTCGAACGCAGCAACTTTCAATTTAGATCCATACATGGCATGTGCACATTGGCAGACATAGGAGGCTCGCGGTAGCCTCCGCCCCTCCTAGGACGAAATATTTTCTATACATGTTATTTAAATGAAAAATTCATATCTTGCCTCCTTAACTCGAATTCTCGGTTCGCCATTGCATGCACACTTTTTTGCAACACGTGTGTATGATTCTATATATAATTGGACGATACGTCTTTATGCCCAACTCATCCTTTTATGCATGCTCGCATGAATGCATAAGTTGTCCGACGGCCACCGCTAGCTCCACTCCTCTCCATCCATCACTGTCCCTGATGCTCGCATTACAATTCACGACCTCATGTGCTGGAATTTTCCACCGTAACTTGAGTAGGAAGTTGGAAGACTTTTCTGCACAGTTTTTCGGGGCTGTTTGGCAACTCATTTCGGATATTTTGTACGTGTTGGGCCGATAGAACGAGTGACAAAACACCCATCGCGAATCACTGAATCGGACAAGATCGGGGGGGGGGGAGGGAAAAACCAACACGTCCTTCCTGCTCTGAAAAATCAAAGAGAGGCTCGGAAGTCAGGATAATGTAAAACTGAAAAGGACGTTTGATTAGAACAGGACACTGTTTTGAGTTTGGAAGTCTTGCGGATGGCTTTCTCTGTTTGGCAACTTGCGTGACGTGCGAGCGTGTGATGTATCGCCAATACAAGAGCCACGTGGATTGGACAAAAGTAGAGTCAAAAACCACAACAATTCACATCATATACCAAGAAATTAGTGAAAAAGCCTAGATGGAAAACTGCGCAACGCATATACCTAAAAACGATGAGGAGCGTGATTTATGACTACCCGACTACTAGCATCTTGGTCATGTAAAAGTGACGGGCTTGCCGAAACTCAGACCTTTGAGTCCGAGATTTACGAAGTCGATGTATCTTGCCTCAATGTGAAACCGTAGAGTAATCATGGGTTGATGTGGTAACGTCAGAGAGAGTCGCTAGCGCTGGTCGGTCATCCCGGGTCTTTTACATATATTTAAAAAAGAAAATCATACCATAATATTGGGAAGTTTCAGCTGCACCTCGAGATTTGACTTTAGATTAACATTATGCCGTTGAAACCATGCCCTAACGATGGAAAATGTCGATTCGTATCCGTCTATAGATGAGAAAATAAGCAGTTGTCATCAAACTCTTCGCACGGAAATAAAAGTCCATAGAAATTTGAAATAAAAAGAAATTTCGGAAATCTAGAGATGTAAAGAAAGGTTGTTTTGACAATTGCCATAAACCACAAATTACAAAATTCTAATTAAACCCAATACGCAATGCAGAAAAATATAGGCTTAATTCCCAAAAAAAGGCATCAACTTTACCTTAAATGGCAATTCTAGCTTGAAATTTTTTTTTTTGCCTCATAAAAAATCACCATCTTTTCCTTAAATCTCAAATCTAGCCCGAACAATTTCAAAAATTTCACATTACAAGAGCCGGATCTAAGACTCGAGTAAAAGTTAATTGTTTTTTATGAGACAAAAAAAAAGTTTTCGGCCAGAATTATCACTCAAAATAAAGTTGGTGATTTTTTTTGGAATTAACCGGAAAAATATAAGAATGAGCACTGCAATAAAAGGCGCATGACCCACGAAGAAATTACACACGAAGCATTAAGCATGAAGCAGCGACGTCGTTTTCGCGTCACTTTCCCTATCATGCGTGCATGGCGGGGAACGGTCCACGTTTACTGGCGCCAGTCCATCGAACGACGCGTGGAGGACAGAGCTCGGAGGAAGAAAGGATGGGAGAACTTCTCCGCCTCGCGGGGTCAACGGTCTCGCGTTGACTCCGGGAGGCCCTGCCGGAAGCCAGCAGCAGTCCCTCGTCGCCCGACGAGCACGGCAACGGTGGCGGACCATTCCCCGATGGTTACCCTACTGTCGGGACAGAGCTCGAGGACGAATCATCCACGCCGTGTCGGCAAGCTGTAGCTTTCCTCTTTTGCTTTGCGGGGGGGCCATTTCCGATGGAATCTCTTGCTTTCACCTGTTGCTCTGCTTTTCGGGTGCGGAGAGATCTGCAGCAGATATGGCCGATGAAGCTTTCTTTGTTTCTTTGGGCTCTCTGGTGTTGGGGTTAAGTCTGTTCCTGTATCAAGGGTACGGTATCTTCGAAGCTTCAGTTCTGCTGCATTAGCTCTCTGTTTTCGATGTTTGAGACATGTACATTCATCCATCAAGTCTACTAACTTGTTCAGGCGATCTTACCTTCGCGCCCGCCGTCAAAATTATATCTCGATTTTGAGTTCAAAAAGGAAGTTTTCTAATTCAAATAGGTTTCCCATTTTAAGTTGGTTTCCTATTTTAAACATGTTTCGTAATTGAATGATTTCTTAGTTGGAGAATGTTTCCTAAAAAGAGGTTTGCTATTGTTTAGCCAATTCTTGTCTATATATAAAAAGGGGATGTTCTTTGTGAAGAGTATCAAAGAGAAGCTCCTGTTAAGAAATTGCACCCTGAGGATATCCGAGTGTTTGAAGCTAATTAAATCTTGTGGTAAGAATTCGTGTATAATTCTTTCGTAAGATTGAGAGGTTATTTCGTAAGAAATTGTGGAGCTAAACACTGCGTGATTTATTTAGTGTAATTGTGGCTTGAGAAATACTTAAAATGTTTGAGTGATTCGAATGTGGTTGTAATCTCCGTATATCGCTTGATCTATAGTGGAATTTGTTGCTACTCTTCCTGTGGATGTGGTAAATCTGGTGTTCAATTTATTTTCTTGTTCTGTCTATTATACCGTTCGATCTCTTGCTTCCGCAGCACCCGCGATGCTCGTTGATCGCCTCAACTTGCTCTTTTCCTAAACTCCGGATCGTTCCCCTTGGAAACCCGACACCCGCCTCGCTACGAAACGAAAGGAGATCGTCCCGTAATCATTCCAAGGCCCAAAGCTACACGCAAAGACGTGACGGACATGCTTTTGAAGCAGTGACTGTAGAATTATTAGACCATATAGTTTGGCCGGCCATATAACCTCCTCCGTCAGTCGGTTTCGGTTGAAGCGGTAGGAAACTTCACCGGGAAACCACAGTGACGACGCGAATTGTTGAGTTCTTGTTCCATGATTCGTGATAGAGGGGTGTGCAGGTGATAAGCGAATGCTCATCTATAAGATCTTTCTCTTCTCAGTCATTATTTTATGTTTTAATCCGATCCGGAATCTCCACATTGAATATCGATTTTTGGAGCTCCAATCCCTACATCACGAGTTTCGCGTCAACAAATTTGTCCAGTCATCAATCCACTACAGTAAATTCCGTCCACCAACTTGGACCCAATCCAACAAATAAATCCGTAGTTCAGTGTAGTCAAATGGGTGGGTCGGATCGGTTCAAAAAATGATCCGATACAAATTGACCTATATATATGCTATACAAATTTAGTGATCAACACCCATCCCGATCCATATTACTAATACACATCCATATTTAATCTACCCTATGAAAAATGTATCCACTTAGTTAACCCATCACGTGTATTGTTATTTAGTGGAAGATCTTTATTTCGACTATAACATGCTAAAGAATTGGCTTTCAACAATGCATAGTGTTTTCAATTTTTGTATTGATTCAAAGCAACAAATAACATGGAGGAATTGAGACTTCACTGAACTTGAGATAGTCCGAGGAGTCCGTTGTTTTATAAAAGAGAGTGAAAAGTGGGTTATAGAGATAAGTTTGGTTCGGGTAAAATACATTTAACACTCATAATTTTTTTTGGACTTTGCCTTTCTAAACTCATTTATAACCCGAATTATGAATATGCCCGACCCATATAACGAATCAGCTCATTAAATATGGGTTAAGAAATAAGTTTACGGCCAATTTCGACAGATTCAATTTAGGAACGACATTACAAAATGGTTCAGGGATGAAATCGCACAAATCGAAAGATTTCAAAGACCTATGGTGATTCAATTTACTCATAAGAAGAATTCAAGTTAATTCACTTTTACGATGAAAGAAGACTCTCAAACTACTTAACAAAGTCTACCCATCTTCGGTTCATATTTTTTTGGATTTTGCTATTCTAAATTCATTTATAACGTGTTTTTGTATATGACTAACCACATAACGACTCAAACCCATCAAATATGGATTAAGAAATGAGTCTCCAAACCCATTTTGACAGGTCTAGTTCGGGGATGAAATCGCACAAACCGAAAGAGTTCAAAAACGCGTGGCGATTCAGAGTAAATCTTTCGCCTTGATGACCAAAGAAAAGTCTCGAACTACTCAAAGAGTGAGAGCCTACTCGGTCTTCGGTCGATGAAGGGGGGGGCGACCGGGACGTGGTTTCGCTTTTCACGCAACACGGCCAAAGGCGACGGTCATCCTTTCCCGTCCCCCTAAAAAACTATTAAGGACGGACGAAATGCGTGCGAAAGATCCCCCAAAAGAGCCATGACGAAATTCAATGGCTTTTTTAATGGCGGATCGATCAACACGGAACGGGTCCCCGTTGACCCGGAGTCAATCCAACATATGCAAGTTCTCAGCTGCAGCCTGGCTCTATAAAGTATACTTCCCTTTCTCCTTCCTTTGAACCCATTATCCTATCTCCAACCATTCCTAGTTCTTGGTCGCTTTGGCATCGTCCCTCTAGGCTCTCCTGTCCCCTTCTTGATATTCACCCTAGAAGGTGAGAAGAGCCATGTATTCCTCATCGGCTGCCGATACTGCTCAGGATGACAAGTGGAGCGGCTTCTCGTCTCCTCCCCCGCCCGCGACCGGGACCCCGGTGGATGTCGACAAGCTGCTCCACTCCGACCACCACTCGCAGAACGCGTCCCTGGTGACCTCCGCCCCGCCCACATACGAGGAGCGGGATCAAATGCAGTGGTCCTCCGGGCTGTGCGAGTGCCTCTCCGACCGCAGGAACTGTGAGTCTCTTCTCTCTCTCGATTGCGATCAGCGCGCTCGCGCCCCGGAGCTCGGGAAGAAAAACTGTGTTTTAGATCTTCGTCTTGCCGTGTGACGACCTGTGTGTTTCTTGCTTGTTTGCCTAGGTTGCATCACATGTTGGTGTCCCTGCGTGACTTTTGGCCAGATTGCGGAGATTGTGGATAAGGGGTCATCATGTAAGTCGTTTGCTTCTGCCATGGATTTGCTGTATTTCTTCGATTACAGAGCTTCTCTACTTTCTCAAGTTCTTTGCTCCAACTCATTAAGAACGAGGAATTCTGAGCATCCCGAATAGAATACCCTAGTTTACTTTTTTTTCTATATCAAATGAGCGATCACTTAGTTTCATAATTGAAGATAAGTTTATGGTCCATATGGACCAACATCACCATCATAGCCATCTTGATATTTTTCAATCATTGAGGACTGTCGAGTGGGATCCTCTCTAGACTCCATATAGCTTTTCACATCATTGCTCTCACTTCTAGCATGCTTCTCAACCATCCATCTGTCATCTTAAGAGAGGAGGTGACATATGGACTCGAGAAATTAACAAAAATTAACTCAGCTGGGAGATCCCAATTCCTTATTATGTAACTGTACTTGAGAATTTGTAACCCAAAACTAATTGATACCTTAATGGAAGAAAATTAGTAAGTCATGTAATTAAGGTTAGTAATTTCAAGAAAGAGTTAGTAAATATAAGGTGTTAGTTATGCATATACAATTTTACAAGCAATAAAAATATGGCAAATTGAAAAAAAAAATCTTAGTAAGTACTTCTAATGAGAATTGGTAATCCGTACTAGATGGTAGCTTAATGGGAGAAAAGTGGGCGAGGCTAGGTAAATAATCTCTTAAAAGAGTTAATAAATGCACGAGATTGCTAATCATGGTAAATAATTGTTGATAATTCAATGAAAGAGTTGGTAAATCAAGAACGGATTAAAAGTCTTTAAGTAATGCAGATGAGACTTACTAATCTAAATCTAATAAGTAATTAACCTGAAAAAAATTGGTAAATCACTCTAATTTATATTGGCAATTTCATATAAGAGTTACTAAATTCGAAATGCCATCTAATTATGCAAATAAAAGTTGATAAGTTACTACAAAGAACTAGTAATATCATACTTTAAAGAGTTGGTAATTTAAGTGCTGGTAAATTAAATTACCAACAGGTTACCAGAAAAGGAAAGCCACCCTCTACCAATCAGTTTTCAAACTGACCACCACTTCTTGCAGTTTACCAGTACAGACAGAAATTCTGTACGTTTTTTGGTGCGGAATGATATAATTCTACTGGTGATGAATCATTGAGAATGTTTTCATTTATTCTTGCCATGGTGTTTTCTTCCGGTGGTGTATAATCACTGCAGCTTGCGGTGTGAACGGAGCACTGTACACGCTGATAGCCTGCACGGTGGGTTGCTGCTGCTGCTACTCGTGCTTCTACCGCGCCAAGATGAGGCAGCAGTACGCCCTCAAGAAGAGCCCCTGCGGCGATTGCTGCGTGCACTTCTGGTGCGAGTACTGCGCTCTCTGTCAAGAGTACCGCGAGCTCAAGATCAATGGCTTCAACATGAAGATTGGTAAGCATAACATTTAAACTCTCTTCGTCGTCTCCTCGCCGAACAAAATTACACGTTTAAACGGTGAAAAAATGGTCTTTACCAATTGGTGCAGGATGGCATGGGAATGTGGAGAGACGGAGTCGCGGGATCTTGATGTCTCATATGGCACCGTCGACCGCGCCGCCGGTCGAGTCGGGGATGACCCGGTAGACCGCGGTGTCCAAGATATGTAATGTACAAACCTCGGATGGACTATTTACAAGCACCTGATGAAAAGAACCTCTCTTAGCACCTAATTCAGGTGTATACATAGTTTTAAGTGTCATCCAGTATCTATTTTCTAATGAACTGGGTAGGTACGTGTATTAAGACAGGTGAATGACCATTTGGCATTCTCTCGCTATTAGATTCGTGTAGTTTCATTACTTCAGCTAAGCACCGTTTGAGTGCTTTTGTGATCGAGGTTGGCATTGCGGAGTGGTCTCGATCGCTCTCCAATCGTCCTAAGTCCGGATCTTCTCGGCGCACGTTGAATTGTTGCGACCTCAATCCTGTTAGGATAAGTTTTGTCATCTTCCCTTCTCGAAGAATTTTCCCGTATCATATAATATGAATTTACGATGCCAAACTATCGAGGGTTCAGATACATGGTCGGATTGATGGTACGATCGGAGCAATTTGGCATTGCATTCATTCCTCCACCTGTTGCTCAATGAAGAGAAAAGACGAAGAGATATCTAAGGATGTGACCAAGGTTAGAAGCAAGAATCTATTCATTTTCCAAAGGATATCCGATTTTATTTTTTTTTAAAAGTAAGTTCATATGTTCTTCATAAGAAACACATTTACCTAAGTTACTAAAATAGATCGCCCAAAAATGTTGCCTCGGCGATGAAAAAGGTAGTCCAAAAGAGACTGGTTCTAATAGCTTGATTTATCATATTTTCTAGTAACTTCATGTTCTTCTCGAAAAGTAACGCGGAATCAAAAGATGATCGCCCCAAAAAGTTGCCTCGGCAATGGATTAGGTACTTTCTTAGTTTTGCCCTCTCAAATTTATTGCTTTAGCAGCTTTATTCCTCGTTACGGTCCCACGTAATACCTCATTGATATTATTATCAAAGCTGAGTCGCGAGTCAAAACTCGAAAGAGTGCCTGATTTGACATTATTTGCACTCACTAGTGCGGCGAAAAACTTTATGTCATTCTCCCATTTACAATTGTGTCTAAACTTTATGTCATTCTCCCATATACAATTGTGTCTAGTCTCCAATGACCTGAATCATTATTCATAGTACAACGAGCCACCGAGCATTATCTCGATGAACCCCACCGCTTTTTCACATACTAAAACACAACCTATACAATCAATGGCCGTCCACACTATCCAACAAATCTAATCTAGGCCGGTTATGAAAAATTAATCAATGTCCCTTCACATAAGACCGAGTTCTCTAACTTATCTCTTCCGTGGAGTTCTTCCAAGATTCACCCCGGAACAAAAACTGCTGAGGCTTCCGCCGTCTCGATAACGACATTGCATCTAATTATAGGAAACAAGTCCTTTTCGAAACTATGTTTGGTGTTCGGTAAATTGTGTATGTCCGCTTTGTCCATGTGGTGGTTCATTTAATCAAGCTCAAGAAAAGTGAGTTCGACCTGAGATTAACATGGCCCAATCGATGTTTAATGTCGTTGCCGATTTTTTACTATGTGCCATCCTAATAGGAGATATACTCGTGAGACGAAGGTTCTGATCTAGGAGGATACAACTTTTGGACAAGGCATGCGCGAATCGATTTCATCATGTACCCTTTGTCGAGAAATCGATGATCACCTCTGTCTAAATGTGGCAAATGGAATGCTCTTGTTTTTGGTACAGAAAGTTGCACCTGGATCAGCAAGGAAGGCTGGTTTGCCATGTAAAAGTATTGACGTTTGATATGTGCAAGCATATGATGTGATGAAGAAAGAAGACATGTCAAACCCCAAGACAGACGGATGACTACAACAGCTTTCAGCCAAAGCTCCCAATGTTTACTTTTGTCTCTCTTTCGTTCTTGCTGTTTTCTTGTCACAGCATTCTTGTTTCTCACGCCTGTTTGCTTCCACACCAGTCAAACCTTTTAACCATTGATTCTAATTTACTCCTGCCCAATACCCTGCAAAAGATTGCACTTTGGCAACATTACGCTTTTGGCTACACTATGGCGATTGGCTGGTCCTGGCTCGGACAGCATCTCCGCAACATGGCGGTCTTTCGCCGCAGTGATCGACGGTGATGGCCAAAAATAAATAGGAAATGATCAATGTCCTTTTCTTTATGAAGATCAAACAAGGCCTTCCCAAGACCCACGTCACCATAAAACCAAGGAAGTACACTGCATGTCCTAATCCCAGATTATCGAAAGCAATGGCATCATCCCCTGCCTTAGCACCCCTCATATTATGGACTCTTCTCGTGTTTCAATTGTTTGAGTTTGGACATTCCAAAGCTTTAACCAATGTGAGCTGCATTGGTACAGAGAGGGAAGCTCTCTTGAAATTCAAGTAAGGTCTTATCGACCATTCTAAACGCTTGTCATCGTGGACCAGCAAGGACTGTTGTGAGTGGAAATGAGTCGAATGCAGCAAAAAGACTGGCCATGTCTTCAAACTCGATCTTCGTAGTCCATGCTGTGAGACCTTCCTCAATGATTATATCCTATGTTCAGATAACAGCAGCTTGGGAGGAAACATCCATGCTTCTTTGGCTGAACTGAAGCGTTTGAAATATCTAGACCTCAGCTTCAACAAATTTTCCGTGCAAAAAATCCCCGGTACCCTCCAGAGACTAGAGTATCTTAATCTATCATCCGCAGGTTTTGATGGAGACATACCTCATCACCTCGGTAACCTGTCCAACTTGCAGTATCTGGATCTTGCTAATGGATTGGACCGGAGTTATTTAAAAACTGATGACCTCCAATGGGTGTCGAACTCATCTTCCTTGAAACACTTTCACCTGTCTGGCATTGACCTTAGGAATGCCAAAGATTGGTTGAGTTCCATTAATGAGCTTTCTTTGCTGCAATCTTTACGGTTGAAGGATTGTTCTCTTGAACAACTTCCTCACTATCTATCTGTCAACTTCGCTTCTTTAAAATTCCTGGATCTAAGAGGCAATTCCATAAATTCTACTATTACTCTCTGGTTCTACACTAAAGCAAGCTCAAGCATATCGATTTGAGCATAAATTATTTGGAAGGCACATTTCCCAGGACAATCTTTGATAATAATCAACTGCTTTCCTTTCTTGATGGGTCTTATAATTTGCTGGAAGGTCAAATTCTGAAAAACATCAGCAGTCTCTACAAGTTGCATGTTTGGAGCATCACCCATGGTACTTTGGAGCCGGCACAAAGTGACTTCCGGATTTGTCATTTCACTGCCAATAATTTCAGTGGCCATCTGCCAAACCAATTTGGGAGTTTCAAAGATCTGAAGTACCTAAGTCTGTCACAAAACTCGATTTCGGGACCTATCCCGATAACTTTGGGGGAGATATCATCTCTAAGAGAGTTACATCTCAGTGACAACAAATTGAGTGGGAACATCCCGGAAAGTATTGGGCAACTATCTAGTCTAGAGGTGTTGGACATAACTAATAATTCATTGAACGGAGTTGTTAGTGAATTGCACTTTGCAAATCTCACGAGCCTGACCGATTTGTCCATTTCATCTCATGAACGTGTTTTTAAGTTTTGATCCCACCTGGGTTCCTTCATTCCAAGTTCAATGGATTGACATGTCAGGTTGTGATGTGGGACTGAAATTTCAATTGTGGCTTCAAACACACAGGAATATTTCACTCTTGTACATGTCCAATGCAAACATCTCAGATGAAGTTCCCAATTGGCTTTCCAACATTCTACTTAACGTCAAAGTGCTGGATCTCGCTAACAATATGCTCAGAGGCCCTATTTCCAGAATGGACCAAAACAAGATGCAACTGTTACCGTATCTGATGCTTTCTGGTGACAGTCTCAGCAGCAGCATACCGAATTCTCTATGAACAATGGAGAACCTATTTTATCTTGATCTGTCAAAGAACCAACTATGCAGTAGACTACCCTGACGTCTGAAAAAGTTGCAAGCACTGGAATGGATTTTGCTGGGTGACAACAGGTTAAGTGGTCAGATTACTAACTCTTTCTGCCATTTTCAGCAAATAAAAGTTCTGATCCTGAACAAAAATGACTTTGACGAAGTGCTTCCCAAATGTTTGTCAAACCTAACTGACCTTCTGCTCCTTGATCTAAGTGATAATGACTTCACTGGTGAAATTCCTTCATTTGGACAACATTCTCAATCATTAGCCATGATCAATCTTGAGAAGAATAGTTTCACCGGAGGCATTCCCTCGCAACTCTGCCAACTTAATTATCTCCAGCTTTTAAGCCTAGCACGGAACAACATTTCTGGAAGCATTCCGCTATGTTTTAATGGATTTTTGTCTATGATTGGAGATATCAATTATCAGTCCTATTGGCCGGTTATGTCATTGATTTACGTCCTGGTTAATGCAAAGGGAACTAGTCGATTATATGGCAAGACACTCCAATTCTTCCATTCCATTGACCTTTTCGCAAACAAGTTAAATGGCGAAATACCAGAAGAGTTGACTAGGCTTATTGAACTTCAGAATTTGAATTGCTCCCAAAACAATTTGAGTGGGAAAATCCCTTCAAACATTGGCGAACTCAAAAAGTTAGAATCCCTTGACCTATCTAACAACGATATCTCAGGTAGAATCCCTCCTAGCATATCCAGTTTGGACTTTCTGTTGTCTCGATCTCTCATTCAATAATCTATCAGGCCCTATTCCTTCAGGTACTCATCTGCGACCCATGGATGATGAATCTGTGTATCGCGATAACGACGGACTTTGTGGAGCTCCTCTAATGAAAGTTTGCCCCAGAGATGAGCAGCATCCTGATATCGAGGGACAAGATGGTGATTTTTGGAATGGAGGTGAACCGAATGAAGGCAATCTGGACACCCATTATTGGTCCTCTGCAGGCCTGGGACCGGGATTCACGATTGGGTTCTTGGGTTTTTGTAGTGCATTGCATTTCGAGCAGTCTTGGAGGATATCTTACTTTCAAGCAATAGATAGGACCACCCAAAAGCTAATGATGTCAGGGACAATTACCACGCTACTGTTCAAAAGAGCTTCTCAGGTACGCACTTGTAGGAACTATTCAGTAAGCACACAGCACATGCTCTAAATTATTCAATACATGTTTCCATGCTGACCTTAGTATGAAATCTAAACAGTTTCTTCAATCTTCTTGCGGTCGACAGCTAAATTTTTTTATTATTTATATGACATGTAATAGGAAAGTTGATTATCAGATACGGGCCTCAGGCACGACCCCTAGCATGATGCAGCGTTCGCGAGAGTCAAAGAAATTTATCAGATTCGGAAGACATACATCTGTGTCATAAACTTAGATGTTCCTCTCTTCATGATCATGTACATCGTATCAATAGCTTATGTATGAATCGAACTCTTTGTATCATATAAAAGCTAGCTAAATCCTCAAACAAGATAACAAAGCCATTTGGTGAGCCCTTCTGCAATGCTGCAGCCATTACAGATATGATGTCCCAATCCTAAGGCTATGAGCTCTTTATCAAAAACTTTCAGCAATATGACCCCAATCACACCACATGAAAACATAACATCTCTCTGTTAGGTGCATGGTACAAATTCAACACCAACCATTCGAAAATCTTCATCAACAAAGATCTGATACAGCTAAGGTATCAACACTAAATAAAGAACATCGATGACTCGTTGCCGATTCACGCGTCGGCTGCTGCTAATTCAAGTGGGAAAAAAGATCGCCGAAAACTGGATGATAATGCAATGCGATGCGTCCCTCGCTTCCTTGTATCGTGGTTCAATTCCTTGCAATTTACATTTTCTTGCAGTAAGATTCGTGTAGTTTCATTATTTCCAACTAAAAGCCCCATTTGTGCTCTTTGTGCTCGAGCATTTTGCTAAAAGAGGGTATAACATTGATGAAGTCGGTCAAAAACTATATATTATTGTTGTTGTTGTTGTTGTTTACGTGTGAATAGGAAATAAAAATAGATTGGACCCAATGTCCATTTTCCTTGAAATGACCATTTCCATGGTTGGCATCGACTGTATTCGTTTAACTCCATTCACAAATCTCCCACTTTTGTCATTGCTCTCCATGGATTCTAATTTTGTGGTCGAGTCACATAGCGTGACATGACTTGATTATAAGCTTGCTTTCGGCGATGCATACCAGGTTTCGGCAATGCATATCGCCCTTCTTGCGAGGGACGACGTTACTATATCAAAAAATATTATTTGCACCAATACTTTGTCGGCTTTAACTTTTTAAATGAACAGTAACACGCCTCGATTCTGATAGCATAAGTTTTGTCATCGTCCCTTCTCGTAGAAGGAAAGTATATTGGTTTTACGGAATCGCGTAGATGAAATTACGACATTGTCCTTAGTGACGAGGCTTATAAAAAATTCACTCGATCGCATCATAATAAGTCGATGCGCAAAAGCTCATCCGACATGAGCAAGAATCTAGTCATTTACGAAAGGATATCCACATTGGAAAAAAAAAATCCTATATGTTCTTTTTATGAAAAGGACATTTACCTAAGTAACTAAAACAATCCCATCTAATGCCGCGTTAATCTTACCAGCAAGGTAAGTCGCGAGTCAGAACTTGATGGGTAGACCAACTTGACATTGTTTGCACTCATCGGTGTGATGAAAATCGGGATAATTACCCAAAAAAAGTCACAAACATATTGAATTTGTGTCAATTATGTTTTAAACCTTTCAATTTGATCAATTTAATTTTAAATCTTTTGATAATTTATCAATGAAGTCCATTTGGTTAATTTTGGCTGAATATTGCTGACACGGACGTTAGCCGTCCTACATGGCACAATCGACGCTAACATGAATAATTTGTGCAATATCTAAATAATTTTTTGAATTTTTTTCCCTTTTTCTTTCCCATTTTTTCTTTTTATTTTTTATATGAGGTCAGGCAAGGGTCTCCGATTGACCCTCACAAGCCACTGAGCGAGGGACATGAGGCCCTCGCCAACCAAAACAAAGGCTTGCGGCCCCTCACGTAGATTTGGTGAGAGGGTTGCGGCCCTCGCCAGATCTGGGCATGGCTGCACCACCTAGGTCTGGCGAGGGCATGGTTACCCTTGCCCAAATTCGGCGAGGGCACGCGAGGGCATCCAAGCCCTCGCTCGTCGCCGGCTATGCCAAGGCCACGGACCAGCGGAGGGAAATAAGAGAAAAAGAAATAAAAAAAAATGGAAAAATAAAAATTCGGAAAAATTATTTGCAAAACTTGTCCCTATCAGCGCCGATGGTGCTACGCAGGACGTTCGGCATCCACGCCAGTGATTTCCGATCAAAATTAGCTGAATGGACTTCATTGGCAAATTGTCAAAAGGTTTAGGACTAAATTGGCTAAATTAAAAGGTTTATGACTGAACTGACACAAGTACAATAGGTTTAAGACTTTTTTTTTTTATAATTTCCCTAATGAAAATCTATATGGTAATCTCCCATACAAAGTTGAACCTAGTCTCCTACGACCAATACGATTATGCATAGTACAACGCACTGTCGAGCATCATCTCGACAATGCCGACCCGTTCTTCACGTACTAAAACACAACCTATACGATCAAATGGCCGTCCACCACTATCCAACAAATCTAACCTACGCCGGTTAGGAAAAAAACTAATCAAATATCCCTTCACCTAAGACCAGTTCTTCCATGGAGTTCTTCCTAAGAAAAAAAAAACTGCTGGGGCTTCCGCTGTCTATCGATAATGACATTGCATCTGCATCGAATTATAGGAAACAAAACCCTTTTCGAAACTACGTTTGGTGTTCTAGAATAACGAGGTCGCGATCCGTGTGAAAGCGCAACAGTCGAGTCACGCGACGCCAAGTCGTGTCCAACTTTAGAAGCCGATGTCGGTCCAAAAAAGCCACCATAGAAAAACACGAAACTACATACGAAACTTCCTGACTGACCTGGTCTCAATTTATACCATTGTCAACGTTTTGCACCGCACCAAACTATAGTCTATACGTACCTTGATCCGAATGACGATAGCTTATAGCTTAAACAAAGCATTCCTTTTTCAACGAACCATCAACCGTCAAAGTTGGCTCTTCGTCGTTGCCGGCCCCAAACTAGACTTTTCAAAGAAAATAGAGTAGAAACAGATACGAACGCGGATTGACGAATTCGTCACGGCGGTTTCTGGTGAGAGCATTCATTGACGAAACTCCTCTTTAACGCCAGCAGCATCATGTGCAGACCACCTAACATCTCATTTTTTAATCCTCTCTAGACCTTGCCCGGTCCATTTCCTCGTCTGATCTTCACCCCTGCATCGTCCTTCTTTGATCGTCGGAGTCGGTATCTGTAGCTGCAGATCGAAGCAATGTACTCCTCGAACGCGTCCGACGGCTACCCACAAAAGCCCGGCTCCTCCGCTCCGCCGATGCCGCCGGTAGATGGCATTCCGGTGCAGCCCATGAACCAGAGTTATGCGAACTACGGGGCCCCGGACAATCCTCTGCCCACCGCAGGTCTCCATGCTCGACCCATCAACAACGTGCCTTGGTCCTTCAGGCTTTTCAGTTGCTTTGACGACGTTCCGACTTGTAAGTCCTCTGGAATTTTTCCTCACGATCCATTTGGTTTGGAGGTGGATCAACACTTGATAGAACAGTTACGCCCGTGTATACGTCTACTTGGGCGACATCGATAAGGAAAAGCTGGAGAGTTCATAAATGCGAGCTTTCCAATTGCAATTGCCTAATGTCGCGGGGTTACAACATGTTATAAGAATTTAGCGATAGAATGATCTTATACCACTTTGGAAATATGTTGAAGTGGATCCAGAGATAAAATGGCGTTTTATATGGCTTATGTAAGTTGATATCTTGTTAATCTCACAGGTTGCTTGTCATTTTGGTGCCCCTGCATCACATTCGGGCGAATCGCGGAGATTGCTGATCACGGATCGGTTTGTAAGTAGAATCAATCGCGTTCGCACACATTGAAGAAGGATTGACATTACACTTGCTAACTCGGATCGGTTTTGTTGCAGCTTGCCCTGTGCACGGAGCCATTTACACTCTGATCTCCTTGTTCACCGGTTGCGCCTGCTGCTTCTCCTGCCTCTACCGCACCAAGATCAGACAGCAATACCAGCTGCAAGAGGATCCTTGCGCCGATTGCTTGGTTCATTTCTGCTGTGAATCCTGTGCTTTAACCCAGGAGTACCGCGAGCTCGAAAGGCGCGGATTTGACATGTCCGTCGGTATGCATTACTCTCCTCCTTTTAATCAATATGCGAGTAATGACTTTCCTCTAGCAATGACGATATCCAAAACAATTGGAGACAACCAATTTTCATGCCATAAATAGTCCCAAGTACGTGCATAATATCATAGTATTGCTGTAAACTGAAACGGTGCTGAAGATTATGGAGATTATTAGAAAAACAAGCCGATGATTTCGTTCCATTATTTCGTTCTTAAACTTTTTTTGTTGTGATTATGTTTAGGGTGGCATGAGAACATGCAAAGGCAGGACAGAGGAATCCCCATGGCTCCAGTTCCTCCTGGAGGCATGATGAGGTAGAAATTCAAGATCATCTCAACTTGGCTTGGAAGCCCCAGAAATTTGAACTTTATTATGTTGGAGAGTCTACATTAGCAAAAGCCCTTGAAGGATCACTGCCCCTCTGTCCTGAGTGCCTTCTTTTTTCCCTTTGATTTCGTCTTCATTTGACAGTATTATTAATATGGAGTATCCATCGCTATTGTACAAATTACAATGCATACTACCAGTACATCAATATACTTGAAGCTTGCTAGACAACCGAACTTGCCATCCCAAAATGCATGGAAGCATCTGTTTTTGTGGCCAACGCCACCATCAAATCTTGTAGGTAGTTCTTACTTTCAGAGTTCCTTCAATAACATCATCACAACAATCATAACCATGAAAGACAGAGCACGTCAAGGCAAACAATCAACTACCAAAATCGCCGTAAAATGAAGGCAATTCCTCCCGGAAGTTTCTCCGAGCATTGCCAATTCCTAGTAACTATCCATCAGAGTAATGCTGCTCACTTGAAATTCCAGCAAAGAAAAGAAAATGACTAGTTTAGCTATGTTGATGAAGATGAGGCAACTAATCCTATTTTAATGATTACAAGAAGCATGGCCTGATTTGCCTGACATTCAGATGCACACTTTACGCGTCCATCTCAAAGAATTAATTCAGAATCGAACTTAGGAATAAGATAGTTACACCAACAATTCCTTCGGTTGGCTTTCACAGAATAAAATTGAAGAGTCACCTAGCTAGTCACCGCTCAAATGCCTCTGCATTTGCCCACCCGTGTCGCCACTTCATGAACCACAAAATTGGGTAGACCACAAGTTGTCGTCGAAGAATTGTAATTCAATGTTTCAAAGAGAGATCTAAAAAGGCATCAATCAATATGGCACAAATATCAAGTCCACAACTTTACAAGAGAACTGGAGCCAGAAACAAAATGGCGACGATCACCGAGCTTGTGATCGAACCAACATCAGTGAAATGCTTGGGAGGACAGCCAGAACTTGTTGAGTTAGACGATGGAGCTAAAATAGTACCATTGACAGAAGTCCCATTTCTTCCACTACTGCAGCCACATACACGTAATTCAGTATATGGGAGATGCATAAATTCTATTTTGGATTACGGAGATGACATTTTGCAACAAATTTAAAAGATGACAAAGAGAAACCAATAAGAACATAGTATATCACATACCTTCCCGGAAATATACACGAACCATGACCTGCACCAATCGAACATAAATTAGGGGAAAAAGAAAAGCAAAAGGCAGATTCCTCGACCTCTATATGCTCATATGCAATGTGCATGTATTAGAGTTCAGGACAAGCGTACTAATAGCTCATCAAATTACGAAAAATGTTAAAGCTTAAACCAGCAGAAGAGCCCTCTCATCCTGTGGCATGCCATTTCTTGCGTAGCTGACCGCAACAACTCAAATTTTCTATTCAATGACCGTGATTACTAAGTGTGCTGATAAGATCTTTCCTCAAAATGATGCAGATACATGGGCAAATGTTATCAAGCTACTTCTTACTTGGATTGCTGGTGGTGACCGTAGCGACCCCTTTAAAATCACAGGTGCCGGGAGCTTTCACCATCTTTTGGTAATACGCATTGAAAGCATACGTCGCATGTGCGACAACATCGTCTGGTTCATAGCATGCTTGCCCCTGCAACAACGGCGAGCAGTCAACTTTTCCGGGCCCACAAGCCCAATCCAATGCCGCTTGGAGCATCTTCTTGTCTGCACCATCCTTCGCAACACAGAAGGTCTGATTGGTTGTGTCATTTGCTAACACCGTTCCCGCACCCGTCAAGTGCAAGATATAGATTGGCACTCCATTGGCATCAAACAGGCCCCAATTCTTCTCAGATGTGGAGCCCGGTCTCAGATCCTCATTGTAGAGCTCATAAATGTATGTACTGACAGCGACACCCGGGTGCTTCGGCGTTCCTGTATTGTTAAGCACGTGCTTGATCAAGTTACTGTTGTAAGTGTTTGCATTTTCAAGAGTTGCGTCCTGTTCAGAGGAGTCTCCCTTGGAGGGCCAGCCAGACTCGGTCACCACAATGGGGACATTGGTGAAGTTTAGATACAACATGGAAAAATAAGCCGCATCAACAACAGCGTCAAACACATTGGTGTAGTGGAGGAGCGTGTTGGAATCGACAGCTTCCTTGTTCGGAGGAAGAGGACGGAAGAGGGCATAGTCCAATGGAATTACGCCATTTGACTGCATGTAGTCGTAGTATGGATAGACATTGAGCATGAGGTAAGATCCAGTAGATTGGAGAAACTTAAGCAATGGGACCATGACCGGGTCCCAAGTGCGGTTAAAGAAGGCTTGAGAAGGTGGGAAGGAGTCGATAATGATGGAGGAAGAGTGTGGAGTTGAGACTTTGATATGACCATCGAGGTTCGAAGCGACAAGAGCCGATTGGATGAACTTCATGGCCGAGACAAGGACAGGTGCAGCGTTCTGAAGGGTCGTTAGGACTTCGGACCCCACAGCGATGGCAGTGATGTTGGTGGCGGGGACATGGGCTATGATGTTGCGAGCTACCCAATTGGCAGCAGTGGCATTGGACTGACCGATGCCGAGTAGTTGGTCATTAGGAACAGAAACAGTGACGCGGATGCCAGAATTAGCAAGTGCAAGGAGCATGGCTCGGTCTGTATCGTAAAGCCTAACATGTCGTATGTTCTGAGCTTTTAGAAGCGCCACCACCTGGGTTGGGCTTGGCACGTCGGAGAGGTCAGTGCCTATGTTCACGCCAATGAAGGGACCTGAAGTATTTAATAAATGCATCTTAAGTACGCCACGCCAAGAATAAGAATGAGTGCAAACGGTTAATTAGCTCAGGCAGTGAAAGAGCATAAACTATTCGGGAATGACCAAATGTACACACTGTATAAACCATCCTCATGTCTAAATATGATGAATATGGTTGCAGACACCATTTTCGTCCTCCATAAACCATTTCCGACGAAGAGCAACAATTAACAGTTGTGGACTCCACTTTTCCTTAATCTTTGCTTCTTTTCTTGACCAAGGCAAATGAACCAACTAATAGCGAAAAAAATAAAATAATAGACGTGGCAAGAGCAAAATGGAGCTAAGTCCAGAAAACTTAAATTTCAAAATCCACATCCATCCAATGACTTCGAAGAGAATATGTGAGAGTAGAGAATGACATTATGGCGCATAAACGTGAGAAAGTCAGGAAACTTTTTTTCTTTGTTTAATCTATTATAATCCAGAATTATGATAGATCCCGCGGGATAATTGAAGCATACAAGAGCCAGCTCCGTGACCAGCATACTCAATGGAGAAGACATACACTAAAACCCAAAATTTTCACATAGAATCAATGATTGTATGATCTGAGCATCTAATAAGAGAAGCTTTCTTGCAGAGAACAACATATCTTGACAAATCCAACAAATGCAGATTAATAAATTTTTACTGGTAGGAAGGTGAGACATCACTAGCTCCCTCCTCAACTGGGTCACACTCACAATTACACATTCCAGCCAGGACAACCGAAAATTTGATATAGTTTATGTCACACAATTTTCTCGGCATCGCACCAAAACAACACCGAGCCGACTAACACACCAGCAACATCAGCATTACTATATATAAATTGAATGAAGTATATGAGACAAATGTGAGAGCACATGAGTGGCAACATCCTCTTAAATACCAGATCCATCCATTGAATGGCATCCCTCTGAAAATAAACAAGACACACCCAATAAAGAAAAAGAGATTGGAACCATACGTGCATCCTAATGGTCCAAATCAGATACATGTTTTTTTTCCTAACAAGGAACCCTCTGAATCAGATTCAGAGGACCCCATTTAGAATATAATGGGATAAGTGCATTCAAAGTCCTAAAACTTGTCACGAAAGTGCAATTGAGTCCTAAAACTTTCATAATGTGCAATTAAGTCTTAAAACTTGTTAGGAAAGTGCAATTGAGTCCTAAAACTTATCATAAAAGTGCAAACAAGTCCTAAAACTTGTCATGAAAGTGCAAACGAGTCCTAAAACTTGTCAAATTGGTTTGATCAAGTCCTTCCATTGATTGGACCTTTTGAAAGTTTTAGGACTTGATTGCATTTTTGGGATAAGTTTTAAGACTTGATTGCACATTCGTGATAAGTTTTAGGACTTGATTGTACTTTTTGAAAATTTTAGGACTTGTTTGCACTTTCGTGATAAGTTGCAGGACTTGATCGCATTTTTTAAAAGTTTTAGGACTCGATTGCACTGTACTGACAAGTTTTAGGACTTCTAATGCACTTATCCCGAATACAATTTATCCTGCCACTTGACCGACCCTCTTTCTAGAGGAAAGTTAAAGGGCACTTTGGTCAAGACACGAGTCATGTATAACCGTGCATGCTAAGCTATCTGGGAACTGCCATATGAGCTGGGACGCAATAGGGGATGATTCCAAACATAACTTGCTTGAGGTCTATCGTAGGAAACAAATTCTTTTTTCTCCCTAGAGAAAAACACTATTTTGGTCAGAGGAGAGAGAAACAAAGTCACGAGCTACCGGTGAAACCCCCCACCCCAACTCTCCGTAAAACGTTCCCTATTTTTCTTTTCTCCCAGATGAGATCTCATTTAAAGGCAGGAAGATTGGGACTTGAGCCTGCACCGAAACTGTTCTTTTTCCATTTTTTTTTTCTTGGCAAAACAATAATCGTGTGCTGAAGAGGCTCAGTGGATGATTTACGGCTGAACACAATGTAGGAAGCAGACAGCTTCAGTATCACAGTCGCAGCTGGGCAAGTTGCAGGCAAATCACCACATCGACTAAAATCAAGAACAGATCAAGTTCAAGAACTAAAAAAAGAACGACAAAGCTCCAGTACTAGAACCGAAACCCACCGGAGAAAGAGACGAGAATATATGAAAGAACACAACAGCACAGAGAATCCTTAGCTGAAAATAGCAACAAACAGAAGGGAAAAAACCCAACCGACAGGCGAACAAACAAAGGGCAACGGGAACAAAAGACGGCAACGAACTGGATGGGCTCACCTTCATCCGCGGAAGCAAGAGAGACCGGCAACAGGAGCAAGAAGAGAAGCGCCAGAGCCATGGATTGGATTCCCCCCCCCCCCCCCTCCTAAGACCAGAGCGAGTATCTCAATCCACCGAAACCATAAAGAAGAACCACCCCCCACTAACGCCAAAAAAAAAAAAGAAGCAGCCTTGGAGGAGAAACCCAGACCAGGCTCCAAACAAATAAAGAAACCCAGAAAGGGAAAGAGGAGAGGAGGGAAAGAAAAGGGAACGCCACACCAACAGAGAAAGCGTGCCCAGAGAGAGAGAGAGACAGAGAGAGAGAAAAGGAGGTTCCTTTCGAGGTTCCGCGCTAGGAAAGAAACAAGAAAAGCAAGAGCCCGATGCGAGAGGGGAAGACGAGCTGCTCTTTTTTTGCTAGAAATGAAATGGGAAAGTGCGAGGGAGCGAGAGCGAGAGAGAGAGAGAGGGGGGGAGGGTTTAGGGGAAGAAAGAGCGGGGTTTTTGCAAAGGGCGGTGGGGTTTGATCCGGAGAAGAAGAAGATCGAAGGGCCGAGAGCTCCGTGTCAGGGGAACGGACGGCGGAGATCGAGTTGCAAGTCGTACGGTGAGCAGTGAGGACCGGACCACTGGAAAATCCAGCTTCTTTTCGCCCCCCCCCCCCCCCTCTCTCTTTTTAATACATATATATATTTATTTATTTATTTATTCCGAATTTATTAATCTTTTGGGGTTCGGGCAAAGGGTTGGGGGGGTGTTGTCAGGGTTTCCCATGCGACTGCTCGCTGATGCTGATGCTGATGCTGCCGAGGGGGGTCCCCGGGGGGGGGGGGGGGGGGGTGGGGTGGGCCCCACGCGAGGAGGGGGAGCACTCGATGCTGACGTGGACCGCGGTTTTGACTGGGGCTCGGCAGTCAGCAGCAGTCAGCAGCAGCAGCGAAGCGAAGCTTTGCTTGCTTGCTTTTCCCGGTGCTCTCGTTTGGCGATATTTGCTTTTTGCACAAGCGGCGGCATTTCCACGCTAATCACACCCCGCTAATCTCCTCTCCATGCCGCTAATCCCCCCACCCCCCCCCCCAACATTAGCTTCCTAAGCGCCCAACGGCATTCCGAGCGCGATGATGATTGAGGTTTGCCCGACCGTCCGAATACGAAGTATCCCTTTTTTCTGACTCCCAGCCAATCCCGTCGAACCGTTCGAATCTCCCTATCGAACTAGGGATTTTCCTTTTCTCTTCTTTCGTTTTTTCATGGTCTTTGCTGATTTAAAACTCAATTGGCACTAAAAAAAAAGGTTTAGTACTCAATTAGCGCCAATGCAAAAAAATTTAAAACTTTTCTGACACTTTTTTCCTCACGGTCGATTCACGTCTCTTCTCCGGTCTAGACAAGCGATGCCGAACACTTTCTCGGGGCCGATATTCGCGATTCACGTTTCTTTTTTTTGGCCATGGCCTGGTCGCCGGCCATGACCGGTAAAATATTTTTTTTATTAAAATATTTTTATTAAAAATATATATTTTTTTTTTTTTTGCCATGGCCTGATTGCCAGACATGGCCGGTAAAATATTTTTTTTATTAATAAATTTTTTATTAAAATATTTTTTTATTAAAAATATACGTTTTTATTTTTTTGGGCCATGGCCTGGTCGCCGGCCATGGCCGGTAAAATATTTTTTTTATTAATAATATTTTTTATTAAAATATTTTTATTAAAAATATATATTTTTATTTTTTTTTTGCCATGGCCTGATCGCCGGTCATGGCTGGTAAAATATTTTTTTTATTAAAATATTTTTATTAAAAATATATTTTTTTCTTTTTTTTGGCTATGGCCTGATCGCCGGCCATGGCCTGTAAAATATTTTTTTATTAATAAATTTTTTTATTAAAATATTGTTATTAAAAATATACATTTTTATTTTTTTTTGCCATGGCCTGGTCGCTGGCCATGGCCGGTAAAATATTTTTTTTATTAATAATATTTTTTATTAAAATATTTTTATTAAAAATATATTTTTTTTCTTTTTTTTTGCTATGGCTTGATCGCCGGCCATGGCCTGTAAAATATTTTTTTTATTAATAAATTTTTTTATTAAAATATTGTTATTAAAAATATACATTTTTATTTTTTTTTGCCATGGCCTGGTCGCTGGCCATGGCCGGTAAAATATTTTTTTTATTAACAATATTTTTTTATTAAAATATTTTTATTAAAAATATATTTTTTTCTTTTTTATGGCCATGGCCGGTAAAATATTTTTTATTAATAATATTTTTTATTAAAATATTTTATTCTCGTCAGATCCGGCGAGGGCGGTCCTCGGGCCGGACATTAGAAGCTAAATTAAAAATCAAGAAAAGGAAGAAGAAAAAAAAATTGATTCTCAAAATTGTTTCCAGAATCAAGAAGCTACTTTTTTTTTATTCTTGATTCTACTCCAAAACTGATTCTGGGAACAATTTTTGACAAAATTGTGCCCAGAATAAAAAAATTAAACAAACGCATTTCTGTTCCCAAACTGATTCTGGGAACAAAAAAACAGAATCAAACACTGTTTGGCAAGTTGTCATGCGCAGCCTTATTATAAGTTTTGAAAAAAGAGAATATTAGAGATATATTTGGAAGATCATGCGTATTTTCTCTTAATTGTAATTGATTTTTTTTATTTATAAAAGTCATCCTGTGAAGCCTATAAATAGGCTCGTGTATTCTGGATTCGATAATGCACATAATAATGCATCTCTTTTTCACCACAATTCTTAACTAGACAAAAAAAAAATAGATATGATTTTACATGTCAGCTATTTAGCATTCAATAAAAATGTGATTATGGGAGAGACATAAGATTTGGAAAAAAAAAAGTAACAATTAAAAGTGAAAATCACTCCAGATAAATCTAAATCAACTTTAAACTATGTCTCTTCAATTTCCAATATAAAACGAAAAACGGCGATATAAAAAACAAAATATCTCAATAACTCAACTAAAAGGTTCCATTCCTTTAAAAAAAAAAATTTGATTCCGGGAAATTATTTTCTAACTTTCCAGTATTCGAATGGTAGAAGACTAATTGAATTACGGAAAACGTTTTTCATGAACTGAAAATAACAAGCTTAAACTAGGGGATAACGATTTCCTCTTTTGATAAGAAAGAAATTACTTTCTTTTTAACTTCAAAACAAAACAAACGAACATGAAATTTTCAAATAAATAAATGCATCCAAAGTTTATAAATAGACATCACCAACAAAATGGTCTTTATAGTTCGGTTTTATTCGGTTTGGATTGGCTCTCGAACTTAGCTATCATTTCATCTAAAATATTTTTTTTTGGTCAAAAAAGCAAAATTCTACTCTTCACTAAACAAATAATAATGGTTTTTACTCTCAAAAAATTTCTATCAACTTCTGCATTACAAAAGTCATGAAACTTAAATTTTCTGTGAAAGCTTGACTAATTCTGCGGATGCCACGTGTCCAGAAAAGATTTTCATATTTAACGGATCAATCATGGAGTGGCCGCAGCCAAACCAAGAGGTATGAGCAGATAGATTTTTCTTAAGGGCCTGGCCCATCCAGGCCCGTCATCTCGTTGCACCGACGGTCGACATAATAAAGATCATGATTATCTTTCTCGAGAATATAAATCCGCACTATCTACGTGCATCGGGTAAGGCTCTACGTGCGCAGCCGATGCTGCAGTTCAAATCCCGGGTCTTGCCATATCCGAACCCGCCCGAAAATCACACCGGAGGTGCTTGTAAGACTTTGGGAAAGTTTTTTGAATGGATTTCATTCAAGACAGTAAAGAAGATGAGGAGATGTAGACATGAAGAACCCTTTTGAGGTTGATGAAAACTTCCCTTACTACTACTCTCGATGAGATCGGAAGGAAACATCAGACGCCACGAAAATGTACAGAAAAGGATAGTAAAGATAGAGGCCAAAATCCTACACATGATAGGTTCATATAATATTTGTTGGTAGTACGATGAATAGATCCGTCTCCGACCTGATTTTGATGCACGCGATCGAATGCTGGAACGATGCAAATGGTGAAGCTGGGAATGGAAATCGCGCTTCCGAGGCCCGTTCTTCGAAGGATACATTATTGTCCGTCACAGAATTCCGATATTGAATCAGAAAGCCTTTTCGTTGCACGAATGAACAGACGATTCAGCTCATGACTAGGTTACAGCAAGTACCGTTGCTGAGACACTATTTAGGCCGTACAAGGACCGCACCGGAACATTACAGACTACGCCAATACTCATTACGCAAACAAGAAAATCAAGCACATCAAATCCTAAAAGGCTTACACATCACTGAGTACAGTCCTTGTCCATAGAAGGACCAGAAGAGAGCTTCAGGGGACCGGAGGATGGGGTGGCACACTCCAGAGACGAGTTCTTGCTGAGGCTGTATGGTGCGGCATTTGCTACCCTGCATTCGTGTGACACGTCAATCTCACCTATCATGGCCAATACAGTTTGCAGAAATTCAAATAAATGACATGTGAAAGTATCTGAAACTGGAAACCGCAAAATCAAGAGAAAATGACAGACCTCTCTAGGTTCGGCATGGGTTTGGACGAATCCAAAGCCAAAGCAGCAGTCCATTTGAATATACGTATAAGTCGAGCCACAGAAAATAGAAAAGGCCTTCCAAGATTACTAAAAATTTTGGGTACGAGACAGCTCTTTCACACTACTAGCTCATGCCAGAATGATTTGAGGACAATAATGGTTGAAAAGTTCGTAAGTCGTCCAAATTATTAACAGGACATATAATCCAATTCCAAAGCAATCTTCCCTAACTGACCTTTTCTTGCGCTTCTCCAAGAACCGAGCCAAGGATGCCGTAGGAACCTGAGGGATGGCTGCAAAAAAGTCGAACTTCACTAGAAGTAGAAACCTTACAAGAATATCAACATACTGATTCCCAGTATCTAACATGTCAAACTAAAAAATAGAGATGCAAATTATGAAATTGTCTGAGAGCATATTCTGCTAAAACAGGGGAAGCGGAAAGGAATTGGAAAAGAAGTGAATGAAGAGAAACTGGAAAAGATTTCAACTAAACTTGATGAAAACCCTGGAAAAAGACATCTATTGTCATTTGGCTATCGAGAATAAAAAACCCGGACAATCTTTCTCCTTTAAGCTCCCTTCTTTCTTAGTCAGTTCTATTCAACATACAAGACACTTCCATGCTGCGTACCCCCAACATATCATGCAGATGCAGTGTTCCCTCAGAAATAAAAAAATTTTGAAATGCAAAAAACAAAGTTTCACAAAGAAGCTAAAACATTTGTGCACATTAGAATCCTACCAGCCGATACCATGGTCGTTGCAGAAATTGATCTCATGGCCCCAACCGTCTTTGGATTGTCCACTTTGCTCAGAGCAGTAACTCCTTCAGTGTTACCTTTCTCCATGTTACCGGGTCCACTCCCCAACTTAGGAGCCAGATGTGAGACCTCTGAGAATGGGCTCGAAAGGCCAGAGCAAGGCCGTGTAGTAGGCTGCTTCAGAACCCCATGATTGCCAATGATATTCCCAGGGGTAGGCGCTTGAACATAAGATCTTGAGTGCGATGTCTTAGGAGATTTAGAAGTCCCACTCCCTGCCAGGAACATGATAGACTGGACCTGCATATCATACCAAGAATTTTATTGATTGTCATGACACGAAAAGGCACACAAATGGGATAGAGTCAGGGAAGAGAGAGAGAGAGAGAGAGAGAGAGCACCTTTTCGGGAGGGATGTCATCGTAAACAATCACGTTACCCGCGTAGAAGATGGTCAGTTGAGGAGGCCCATAAGACTTGACAGCATTTCTGCAAAAGATATTTCCGACAGCAAAATTTAGTTTAAGCATCCTCAAGTTCTGAAATCAAGACCACGCTTGTGGAGTGAAAACGAATTGTAAATATATAGCTTGACAAAAAGAAAACCATGCTTAGGGAAAAAAGCACCATAAGATAGGATCTGTGAACAGATTCAGTTTCAACGCCACTTAATTGTCTAGAGGAGTCATTTTGTTCCAACCCAGAGCACTTACAGAACCACTTGTTCTCTTAGAAGTCGAGCCTATTAAAATGCCTATGAAAAAACACACAGAATCTGTTCAATCACAAAACAAGTTACCTCGGTTCAGTGGTTCCCAATGTAGAAGCGGCGCCTAGAAGACCTGAATTTGGAGTGGCAACAACAACACCTCCCGGCAGCTCTAGCTTCAAATCAGGAACTGCACAGAACTTGTCCAATAATGGCCATTTTGTTCCCGAAACTTTGTTCAGTCCTACAGATTGCAAGAAAGCCATGTCATCCATCCATTCAACCCTGACATCTTTAGTACTGCAATTCGGAATTAGTATTAGATTTCAACTGTCAGGAACTACAATCTAGTCCTAGAAAAAAGCAATGTTTGGGGTCACAAGCAGCTTTTGAGTGAAGCGCAAGGAACTTATCCACCCTACGATTTACCCAGATGTAAGGACATTTCCATGTTTTTGAATCTCGAACCGATGGTTGTAGGTTCAATACCTGCTCTGGGGAACTCGGATTTAAGTGAGGGTCATGGAGGGTGGGTTGTTGTGCTAGTTTGCTCCGGGTAGTCAGCTAATTACAGTCGTGCCCCTAGGTTATCCAAAAAGAAAAATGCCAGTAACTCCACAACAAGGCTCAGGTGAAGAAGTTCTTTTCAACTTGGGTAGAGAAAATACTTTTCTCACGATAACATGCGTTGATCTATACATAAACCTGAGTTAATGGACAGAGCATGATCTGTGATCTCTGATGAGCAGCTAGATCTTCAAAAAAAAAAAAAAAAGAGGAAAAGACACTAATCTACGGTCAATGAATTACTTATCAAAAAATTTCTAGCTTTGTTAAAGGATTCACGGGAACAAATTAGACGAGTTCACTCTATACTGATAAATCGAGCCATGTAAAACTGAAAAGAAGATGAGATTAAAGGTAGCTGAGTATTTAACATGCTAGCTGAGAAAGTGAGCCGCCTAAAGGTTGAAAATTCTTCAACTTCAGAAAATCAGGCAATTTGATAACTAGCCATTAAGGAACTGCCATTCAAATGCATACATTTGAGAAACTCCCACATACCAAAACTGCAACTTTTATCGCATTAATTCCTACACCCTTAATCCCAATTATCCAAGCGACAACTCAAACTAATCAGTATCAAACTATCATAATAAAGCAAAAAAAAAAAAAAAAAAAACTCATTTTCTCTTCCTTTCCATTGTCCCCAAATCATGAATCGTGAAGCTAATTTGAAACTCATCCTATATGAAAGTTCCGTGATTTCGAAGGAGTCCAGCTGAAGATAACTCGAGTAGCAAATGAAAGAAAGACTATAATTGAACAAGAATAGGGTTATTTCAAAAAAGAAAAAAAAAAACAAGAACAGGGTACTATTAGATTCAAGAAAGGGACAAACCAGAGTCTCTGCAAGCCTCACTGCTAATCTCTTCCTTCTTCACAACACCCGATGGTTCGCTCAAGCTCAAACCTAAAAAGTCTCTCTCCATCTCACAGCTTCCCAACAAATCTCCTCACCCAAACACGGATTCCACCAAAACCCGCCTACGAAATCCGCAACCAATCACTCAGCTCTCAAACTAAAGGCCAAAAGAGGCATCATATTGAAAAACCAGAGAGAGAGAGAGAGAGAGAGAGAGAGAGAGAGCGAGCGAGCGAGCAAGAGAGAGAGATTCTCTCTGGCTTGATAATACAAAGGTGTGGTGGGGTCACCGACGCACGGGAATGTCCTGTTTCTCGATCAGAGCACGGCCACATGATTCCTAGAATGAGTGTGAAAATGGGCATGATCTTCATAGTGCGGGCCAAGATTGTGCCTGATGAGGGTCTGCTGACCGACTAATAACCAACGGAGACTTGTTATTTTGTTCAAGCTCGCCACTGATGTGATGCGCAGAAAACGATCCATCACATGCTTTCGTGCGATTGGTCCGGAATTTGACGCAGAGGACGAACCCGTGGGGCTCCGCCACGGAAAAAACACACATGCACGGAGAAGGGCAATGGGAAAAAAAACACGTTTCCTTTTTGGAGATGCGACTGTTTGGTGACTGACATGATTCGAGAGAGATGATATCTTCCCTTCCTTGACAAGGTCTTCGTGGCCACAAAAGAAAGTTGGGCCACTTGCGTCAGAAAACATGTCTGAATTCTTGGAACAGACGATGCAAGTACAGTTTAGCATCGGAACTTAACCCCTGTTCCGCTCGTTCCAGCTTCATTTCTCAAGTTTGAGCTTGAGTTGATTGAGTTATTAATTAGCTCGTGTGTTCGACCCCATTCGATTATTTGAGCTGGTAAACTTTAGTCTGAACTCGAATTAAGCTCGGAATCTAACTCGGGTCCCTGATATTCGGTATAAATTAAAAAGAAAGTATACATTTGTTTCGAGTATATTTGTGCATCTATATGTGTATCCGGTACACTTGAAAGAGATTCCACCCTCGATAAATTGGCGACTTAGGTATTTTCGAGCTTGAGATTGAATGGATCACAAATTACTTGGTCTGTTTATGGCCATAAGGCCATTTCATTGTACGCAAATGATCATTGAATCTGTACATTATGTGCGATGACGAATTAGAAACGAAATGTAGTGTAGCGCCAAAATCCCACATTAACGATGCTCAAGTATAACAATTCTTCTTTATCATAGGTAATGACATCTTCTCCGTCCTCAAGGATTCAAACGAGAGAATTTCGAACTTTGCTAGCGTTTTGATTTCTCAGTCATGTTCTTTCCTTCCTCCTTTCCCAAGCAGTGGAAAGATGTAGGAATCTGTAGTCTCTTGAAAGGTTGTCATTGTACACTTTCTAACTTGTCAATTGTAATTGCTCCGATGTGACGGTGTCCGTGCACCTATCAAGTAAAGAAGTTGACATCCACATTCCAAAAATTGAAGAGTATCCTGTCTGACCACATTGACAAAACATAGGTCATATCACATCGATTCATTTACCGACACCTTCCGATAATTATGATTCATAAGGACAACTTTCTGCGAGATGAAACCCACTGAAAATATGCCAACGGGAATCTAAAAGAAGAGAGAGCTTGCGGAGGAGAACATCGGACTCCACGAAAAAGACATCCAGACGATGATGGTTGAGATGAGACCGAACCATATGTTGGCCCACCGTCACGAATCCTACTCGTGTGATGCGTCCGTAAGGCAGTTGCAAATGCGACCAACTCTTTAATGCCCAACGACGTCATTAACATCAAAGTCCGACTAGATATCAGTGAATGCGACGCTTTGTTAAAGACCCAATAAAGGTTTTGAGTGAATGTTCATTCTTTCTCAAATGGGTTGGAGAAAAGAATGTTAAATCAGAACGTAAGCTTCTTCTGCAGAGACAAAAAACATCTCAACCCTATTACAAGCTTTTGTATTTTCGGCATTCATTGATCGAAGCAAGCATCCAGTTTTTCATTCCAAAATTGAATCTGCTATTCGTCGGTTACATGAGGAAACATGATTAACTTACAACAAGAAGTCCAGTCAATAGAATAAGCAATAAGAACAAGAAAGAAACAGAACATTACAGAACAGACTATGTCCAAATCATCCAATACAGACAGGTAAACCAAAATCCTAAAGCTTATACATACTTATACATCAGTGAGGACTCCCCTGTTCCATCGCAAGAGCTGGAGAGCGATTTAGAGCACTCGAGTGTGGCGTCACGCTTGCTCTGGAGAGTTCTTGCTGAGGTTGTAAGGTGCCACGCTCATTACCCTACGATTACACAGAAAATCAACAGTCACTTTCATCGTCTTTCATTTCCCAAGAAATCAAATGAGACGTGTCAAATGTAGCCAAAGCCAGAAGTCACAGAATATCATTCTGCCAAACCGAGCAAAGATCTTTAAGTCTCGGATTCAGCATTGGCTTATCTAAAGCCTCAGTTTCAGCCATGCTATGAAGTGATATCCTCAAACTAATAAGGTTCCTGACCTTTCTTTGCGCTTCTCCAAAAACCGAGCTAAGGATGCTTTCCTAGCCTGTGGAATGGCTGCATGAAAAATTGAATTCCACTTATGAGTACAGTTTTTTCAAGGACATCCTACTAGCCAACACTTGACGAAAATAATGAAGAGTCACGAGTCGGTAAAGTTTAGACATTCACCTTGCAAGATCATCTGCTAGAACAGGAAAAGAGCAAAGGACTTCGAAAGAGAGTTTCACAAGCAGAGAGACAATAAAGATAAAACAATCCTTGAATCAGAATCCTACCAGATGGTACCATGGCCGTTGAGGCAATGGATCCCATGACACTGACCATTTTTGGGGCGTCCAGTTTGCTTGGAGTGCCAACTACTTTAGAATTACCTTCCTTTGATTCATCCTTGCCAGCTGGTCCACCCTGTGACTGAGGAGTTGGATGTGATGACACTGATAATGGACTCGAGAGGCTAGAGAAGGGTTGCGTAGTAGGCTGGTTCAGATCAACGTGATCCCCGGCCGAGTTGGCCGCGGTAGGCGCCTGAACAAAGCATTTTGCCTGTGATGTCTTAGAAGCCATTGGAACCCCATTCCTGGCAAGAAACATGATCGCTTGGGCCTACGTATAACAAGCACAACATAGCTGAATCAAGTTTCTTAGCTTAAAAGGGCAAGGGTAGAGACAACGAGAGAAAAGGAGAGAAAAAGCACCTTTTCAGGTGAGATATTATCATAAACATTCACGGTACCCGCGTAGAAGATGGTCAATTGAGAAGGAGGCACGGTAGGCTTGATAGTTTTCCTGCGAAAGATATTACCAATGGAGGCACTTAATTCCAAGCAAGTTTCAACTCGTAAATTCGAAAGCATACTTGTTACATGGGAAAAAATTGCGAGCGCCTAGCTGGAAAAAAGACCGCCTTCCAAAGAAAAAGAAACTCATCCAAGAGCCCCATCCTTCGGAGGTCCATTCAGATCTATCTCATCAAGATGCTTCAATTGTTTCAAAAAAGTACACTAGTCTTCCAATCCAGAGCAATTCTAGTATCTTCAGCTCCCAAAAAAAAGGACCTTTTGTTTTCCCGCTTTTATAAGAAAAATCATTTTAATTTCTAAACGTAGCAGAAACTTCTAGACGTCTTTAATTGGAATACTATTCTTAAACATTTCATAGTCTTCAATACCAAATAAAAATCTGATTCAGGACGCTAGAAATCTAGAGCTAAAGCAGAAGGCTAAAAAAGACGGAGATTACTAAGCACAAAGGCAGTTACCATGGCTCAGCGGTTCCCATTGTCGAACCAGCGGTAAGATGGTCCGAATTTGGGGCAGAAACAAGAACACCTCCCGGTGGCTTTTGCCTGGTCATACCACCTGGTAGAGTCTGTCCAGTGGCAGCGAAGTGAGTCTTGAAGAAAGGGTCGCCCATCGAGGCGGGAATTCCCTGATTTGAGAGGGGAAGCACCCTCGCATCCCGGGGATGAGATTGTTGAGAGCAAGACGTCAGCGAAAACGGCGAGCCACCTTGTCTGTGACGATTGAATGAACTCTAGTTCGAAAGAGAAAAAGTATAGAACCATTAGTTGAAAGTCACATCACAGAAAGACCATTGGAATAGAAGTTCTGAAACAGAGTTTCACTTTGGCAAAATTGATTACAACGGTTATAGAATAAAAATAGCAAAAGAGTCCCATGTTTCCAACTATTCAACTTTCTGGCTAAAAAACAGAAAGGCCATTCAAATCAGCTAAAGACACAAAAGCTATTTAAATAAACAGCTGAGATAACTAATATATATGACTTAAACTATCCAAAAAACACTGAGATGACTTTTCCCGATGTAGTGTCACGATAACACTCACGAAACAGAATTCACATCTATAAGAACATGAGAAAGGAGAGAAGAATACGTGCACTTCGACGACAGTACGTCTTCGACTCGAATCATATGCATCTGCAACTGGGAGGTGCGTCAATCCAGAAGAGACAATCGGTTCGCTGACCTTTTTGGTCTTTTCATCCTGAGCAGCCTTAAAGGACATCCGATGAGGAACAGCAGAGACCTTGTTCAAGAATGGCCATCGCATTCCTGGTGAACCTTTGTTTGATTCTACAGAACAGATTGCAAGAAAGCCATATTGCACATCAACTTCAATCCCCAAATCCTTAAGTCGTGCCACTCGATTCTCAAGAACTACAAATATGTCCACGGAAATATTGCAAAAAAATTTGCTCTCAAAAGGAGCATCCTGGTTGACTAGAAACCCTAATTTGAGCCCCTTGAGTTGATTTGAGCTCATAATCTGCTCACGCATGGCCAAGACTTGTATCACGTGTTTCTCAATGCGAATTACCTTTAACAACGGATCATATCTTGTTTCTAATGTACTAGACCTGATTAGAAACCATGCATGTATGCTTTAGTGCTAGAAACTCTAATTCGAGCTCATTGAGTTGATCTGAGCTTATAATCTACTCACGCACAACCAAGACTTGCATCATGTGTTTCTGAATGTGGATTACCTATAATTAGGTATCATATGATGTGTTCAATGTTCGCCAGAAACGAACTTCCAGACCGACCACAAGAGCACGAACTACAATATAAGTCATGCATGATAAGCTAGAACTATCCTTTTCCCATGATAAAATGAGCTGAGTGAACCATAAATGGACTGAGCAATATCTTGGTTCTTTGTATTAGCTGCTGGATATGAAAAAAGACACCAGTATATACTCTCAACACTAGCAAATGCTTCCACCAAAAAAAAAAAAAAGAAAAAAAAAAGACTAAGCTTTACGGGAAAATCAGGAGATAAGCTCACTCTAAGCTGTGAATCGAACCCATGCCCGTGAAAATTACCAAGAAGATGAAATTCAAGCTGAGAAGCTTAACGGGTGAAAAGTTCTCTCCACATAACCGCAAAGGAACGCGCAAGTTTAAGGACGAGCTATTTATGGAACTGCCCATTCAAAAAGCCTACCCATATACCTAAAAAGGAAAATCATAACCAAAAAAGCCAACTCTCATCGCATTAGCCATCAATCTTAATCTGAACAACTCGGACCCATATAATATATCCAAACCATCAACGTAAATGAACAGCTCCAATAATCAAACCAAAACATTTAATTCTTCAACCCCCCCTCTCTTTCTCCCCTGAATCATGCATCTCAGTCGGACAAAAAAAACAAAAAAAAAAAAAAGCATGCAAATTGGACCCCCAAGTCCAAGCTGTGCGACCGAAACTTAAAACTCATCTTGATTAAAAAAATATAAAAAAAACACGGAAGAATAAAAAAGCAGCATCAGGGAAGTTTGACTCGACCAGCCCAAAAGAAAAGATTGGAGATTTCTTCAGCAAGAACGTATGGAGAATCGTCTGGAGGTGAAAGAAAGGGACGAACCAGAGTCTCCGCACGCATCCCCGCCGGTCTCTTCCTTCACAGCGCTCAAACCCAAGAAGTCTCTCTCCATCTCACGCAGCTTCAACGCCTGAACCTCGCTCCCCAGCCCCTCCCCCTCCCCCCCCTCAAGATTCGAACAAGCACCCGCACCCACCCCCCCACCCCCACACACAAAACCAAGAAAGACGCGCCAAAGATCGAGCCAAATTCCTCGAGCTCCCAGTGGACTTCCCGAGCGAGAGGACGTCAGAACGAAGGGGAAACGAAGAGAGCTCCTAGAGCTTCGTTTTCTCAAAAAGAGGGAGGAGGTGGGAGAGAGAGAGAGAGAAAATCCAATTGCGTTTCACATGAGTTTTACGGGCAGCGAGATCTGGACCGTTGAATCCTGCGGGCCGAGGGCCAGCTGGTCGGCCGCGATCTCTTTCCCTTGCGAGTGTGGTGGCGGTGGTGTGGGATTGATGAGGGTAGAGGGGGGTGGGGGTGGGTTTTACCGATAGGTCCGGTCGGAGTCGACCGGCTCGGCCGGTAACGCACCACGTGCGCCGCCCAATTGATTCACACACATTGCGGAAATGGGCCTCGCCCCCCTCCCGCACGCGCGCGGGCGCGCGCGTGAGGACCGCGTGTGGGGGTGGGGCGCTGCTGCGAGATCGCCGCGTGTAACCCCGCGGGCCCCCACGGACGAACGCGACGCTGCGTTTTTGCGGTTAGCTTTCCTCGTGCGCGAGTTTTGATTGGGGGGGACACCCCCGATTAATCGGGCGCTGGCCCCCTTTGGATCGCCAGTTTCTCGTGTCGCGGCAATAAAATCTTTTTTCGCGCGCGAGGGGAAATATCTCGGTCGGGAGTGTCACGCATCTCTCTCTCTCTCGCCATCGTCAGCTTTTCAGATCTGCTTTGCGTTTTGGGACAAAACTCGGGATTATTTTCCAATCCCCACTCCTTTTCAACGTGGAGGACATGCGATGTCTTGACGTGGCGTCTCGTCACGCGGGGGCCGTGTCGGCAGGGTCTCTCGTATTCGACCGTAACTGCTTGTGCCCGAAGCTTTTCGGCTCGAAACCTTAACCGAACCGACCCGTCGATACCCCCGTAAGCAAAACTTATCTTCCTTCAAGCGTCAATGTAAAATCGCGGCGAATTACCGTTATGAAAGAGGCTTTTATCAGTAGATTCTAGACTCGAATTATTATCGAGTCGGTTTACGTGATCCCAATAAAAGCATTTACTCAAAATATAATATATGGTCACGCACACATTCTCTTTGCTAATTGCATTTGGATTTTGACCACGGGTGTCGTGAGGCACACCTCAAATATCAAATCGCAGAAAAAATGTGTGTTCCTCGGCTTGTCCATCGTGGCACCTTCTTATCGATCCCCACTCAGATTGATTAACCACGTGTTGCAGAGATGATTTCACACTTGTAAATATTAATACGATAAAACTTGAATATGCGGAGCTTAATATATGATTGATTTAGCAAAATTACCATGTCCAAGCATCAGATGCTGTCTCTACGAAATCGTTCACATGGAGTCATTCGGAATCCCTGTCTCCGGTCCTATTTTTTATTTTATTTTTTTCATGTTTTCCTTTATATTTTCTTTTACCTCGGAAAATGCCAACCCGACATTTATAACAAATTGAATGACCACATCCAAGAACTTCTTTCGGTCTAATCAAAGAAATGATTCCACTGAGTGAGAAACAATGGTTCAAAAGACCCCACGTCAAAACGATCTTTGAAAGACCCACGTTGACATGATGGGTAAAACTTTAGGGGCAAATAGATGCCCACGCTCTAAAGAAAATTAATCATTTTCCATTTCTTTAGAGAGGAACGAATTCTGAACTTGATGATTAATTGCATGCATCAGCTAAACTATTAAATTTGGTAGACTTTCTGGGTTTCATCAAATTTAACGACTTATATGCAAACTAGTACGGACATGCGCACTATACGTGGTTTCCATGACACCACAATAGTTATTAAAAGAAAAAAAACTTCCATGACTTTCATTGATTTAGGAAGTAGCGGATGATAGAGGTGAGCGAAAAACGACTCAAATTATCGAACCAAACCGTTTTTATATGATTTTGATTCGGTTCGATAGTTCCATTTCAAAATGAAAAATAATTCACAAATCGAAACCTTCGTAGCTTTGTTTGGTTTCGATAATTTTTTCAAACCAGATGAAAATCGTGAAGTTTAATTTTTTTTTGTATGTTTTGTCAATTCAGCCTTTCTCTGTAAATTCGAAATAGCGCTGAATTTCATTTCGGGTGTCGCTTTTGAATTGTGACGAACACATAGATATTGGTGTTCTATGCAATTTAACACTTTATCTAAGCTCGCTAAAGCTCATGAAATTACAAAAAGAGCTAGAAAGGAAAAAAAAGAAAAGGGAAAATGACACAAACAGGTCATGAACTATGACTCAATGTGCAATTTGATTCTTGAACTTTAATTTGTTCAATGTAGTCGTTGAACTTTAGCTTAATGTTCAATTTAGCCCCTAAAATTTTAATTTATTCAATGTGTTCTCTGAATTTTTGGTACATGTTTAATTTAGATCCTGAAATTATAAGTTTAGAGATTAAATTACGTATTTAGCTAAAGTTCAGTACCTATCTGTATCATTTTTTTAAAAAGAAAAACAAAAGAAGAAAGGACAGCTCGAAAAACAGTCCGAAGGAATAAAAGAACAAAATACCGTCAGTCTCGTCACGGATGAGGTGGAAACGATAAATTGACGATATCTCGGGGGGCAGCGGGCAGTACCACGTCCACACGTGAAAGTGTGGTCGAAAATTAAAGGCGGTTCGCACGTGCTTACTTACTTACCCATGCCTTTAAACTTTTTCTCTTTTTTCTCTTTTCATTTTTTTATTTTTTCAAAATTTTTTTTTGATGTTCCTCAATTTTTCACAGGGAATAAAATTATTTTAATTTATTATCGCCACGACATGGCGGCTAGGAGGTGCATCGGTTCGCTTAACAGCACGTGAATTATCTAGTCAGCATATATAAATTAAGCAAGCACTATCCAAAAAAAAGAAAGAGGGGGACAAAAAATAAAATAAGCAAGGAATTAAAAATCAATAAATTTACGAGACCCAATATTATATTATTTTTATAATATGTGTGTATTTAATTGTGGACACATTGAGGAAGGTGTACCCCAAACTCGTGATGAATAGTAGCCTCTCAATTTAATAAACCAACCCTTAGAAAGCCCACTTGTTATTTTTTTTGTAATTTTCGTATATTCGATTTGGCTTCTGGTCTCGACTACTTTCGTCGATGCACGTAACCCTTTCTGCCAGCGCACATCGAATGAGACCCTCTACCTACGGAGCGGAGGGTGTTGGTGTCGGTGAGAATACGCTGAAAGACGAGATATGTCGTATTAAATATTCGAGAAATCTGTCATAATTATCGTCGGAACGAGAAACGGGCGATAATGATTGGAGAATGCTGGTCCTATAATTTCAATTTAGTGTTAAACATGACGGCTGACCCGTATCGACTAATATAATCAAGCAAAATATATAATGGGGAAGAAGGTGGGCCACATGTACGAAAAAAAATACATTTATATATGCAAAGTCATACGTATATATACCCATTATCTTATTGACAACCATGTGCTAAGGACAACTTTAATATATCCGAATAAATTAATTTATTTATTTATCAAGTGCCGGTAATCCATTCTATATTGCCTTTTTCCATATCTTTACTTTGACCAAGGTGGTTTGTTCGAGTATTATCCTCATACCTTTCCTAGAATCGTCCATTGAACTTAGAATTTGTTCCCCTTTGGGAGATTTTCACAAATAGGAAACGAGGAATATTTCGTTCCACGCAACTAGTATTGTACTCTAGACGAGAACATTCCCGATGGTTCGGGCCGCCGGTCGGGAGATCGAGAAAGAGAGAAAGTTGGCCATAGGAGACCACCACCATCGAGGTGGTCGCATGTGGTAGAGGCGGGGGCCATCCGTTGAGCAGCGACCACAATTATATAACGGCGATGGTGGGCGGTCATCGCTCTCGAGCCACGACCCGAGATCTATATCCCTTTCTCTCTCTCATGGAAATTCAAAATCTGAAGGCGGCAACAACCATAAAGTTGTCATCGTCCTTGCGGGACTGTTGCTGATGATTCCTGCTAAGTGCTAACCCAATTTCCAATAGATACTCTATTTTTAATCTACCAAACATCTAATCAAATAGTATGTATCTCTATTTGGTGTCTTGTCAATGTACCAAATTGTATTTTCGAATATTACAAATACTATCTTATCCTATCTAATCTAGTCAAATAATCTCGATTACCTAATATAGAATTGGATGCGTGCATTTTCAAGACTCTACAGGTACATTCAAATACCGAATATTTAATTATTGTGCACACTCTTTTTAGAGACGTAACAAAGCATCCAAGTTTAAGAGCGATGCTAGAGATATTAAGACTCCTCTATGGAACTTGATTTATCGAGTGATATGTACTTAAAAAAAAGGGTTATTCATGTTACCGCGCTCGTTTACACACCCAACGAGAATCCGTACACCACTTAATAAACGGATTTAGTAGACAAGTCTTAATATGTGCAGAATTATCGAATGTTCGATCCTGAAGTATATACTGAGAACCAAAATCAAGTTAAATCGAGTTTTGGAGTATACAGTAGAGCCATGGGAAGTTATAGCATTGGCTCTCGGACAAATATTGATTTCTTTGTAATACACGATGTTGAGTTGAGGTATGATTCTGGGTCTGTACACGATTATGACGCTCTCATCCATCAAGAGTCATGTACAACAATGTCTGTAACAAAGCGCATACAGAAACACGTGAATAGAGGTGCATACAATCTTCTGACGTCTCCAAGAGCCAGAGGATCTGGAACGGCGAGACGGGCAGCTGCAAATGGTCGAGGTAGAAGTTTTCGGGCTTGGGAGTCAGGACTATTGAAGGGGTTCGCTGATTTCGAGGAGTTCGTTCCGGAGTCCGGTGAAGACCACGGAATCGGTTTCAATTGGTCTGAACTTGATGAGAGCCGAAGGGACCAAATCCTCGTCATGGAGAGTCATCGCTCTTTGGCCAGGTTCGGGCGAATGTGGGATCACACGCCGTTTGATGACCACGGGATGCATCAGCTCGAACTCCAGACAGGGATCCTTGAGCGATGAGCTTACAAACTGCGAAAAAGCAAAGTTATCTTCTTAGATTCAGCAAAATAAACCAGCTTCAATTTCTTGATTATTCATCCACAACATCAAGAAGTGATAAAGCCTAACATTCCAAGCCATGAAGAAACATCGGGTCAACACGACAATTTAGTCCTTTGTCGATCAACAGATAAACACATTGGGTCAAAGCAGGTGAAAGCTACACATTTGTCACCTAACTCTACTTTTTGGTCACCGTCTAGTGAATTTTAGCCATAAAATGGAGTAGAAATTGCATGCTAGAACTCAATTTGCGTACTCCACCGGATGTCTCCTATGGCACAGGCCTGTGCACAAGCATAGATACGGATGCACCCGCGAACATGGTTTGCCCAGGCAAAGAGGCATAGTAGCAAATGGAAACAACATAATCAAACCGATTTGCAAGACATTACCAGAATATAAATATTACTACTTAACAGGATTAAAATTGTTGTTATGAGACAATGTTTTCTTTAAGCATCCCCCACTTGCTCATCTTAAACTATGGTGTGGAAACCACATGATTGAACCAATTTGCAAGACGAAGTACCAGAATATAAATATTACTACTTAAAAAGGATTAAAATTGTTGTTATGAGACAATGTTTGCTTTAAGCATCGTCCACTTGCTCATCTTAAACTATGTTGTCCAAGTCAAACTTTCTATACCAGGACATGGTGTCCTGGTTTTTGCAGTGAAGCAGATAGTTAGAAAAAGATGCAGTTCCTTCTGATGGTGCTCTGGAAGACGAAAGAAATTATTCAAGATTTGAGCAAAAGATGAGTAACACTATCGGCAGCAAGGCCGAACAACAAAGACGGTGATTAGTTTATAATTGAAAACGAGTCAAGAAAATTAAAAAAACTAGCATTGACTGGATCTATAGTGTGTTTACACATTCTCAAGGACCTAGGATAGGAACCTTGAATTCATTCATCAATTTCAACAGTCAACCATCCAGCTCCCACAGATGACACCTATGGCAGATCAACCAGAGGTCCCGAGTAACACTAGAAACCCAGGTAACATCTGATTTAATCAATTAGAGCAGGGACTTAATGTCAAAGTAGCTGGCCAAAGGGAGGACGGAGAGGAAGAAGAAAGTGATGGAGGTTATTCAAGATCAAGAAATTAGGGGAGTGCATCAAAAGCACCTCATGAAGTGCTGTAGCCGTTGTGAAACAATTTTTCCTCAAGTAAAAGGGGAACTAACAGTTAGACAATCTCATCGGCCTTTAAATGAAGTTATAAGGAAAGAAACTCACCCTACCAATCAGAAACATCCCAGATCTTAAATTGGTTAAGGTAGTATAACAATGATAGTCCCAAGGATTATACTTATAGGTGACAACAATCACAATACAGCAAGGCAAGTTCTCCAAATAGTGGATACTTACAAAGGTAATTTCTTTTAACAATATGGAATCAAATCATGTCCTCCCATAAAATGTACGTTAAGGAAGTAGTCTCAACTCTGAAAACGTAACTAGTTGACCACTATCGATCACTGATCATTACAAGAAAACCACAGGAACCCCACTCCAGTATGTGGTTTATCCGTGGCAGTGAACTTTAGGTGGTGGTAAGCATAGTTCTTGATGGGTGCCAAAAGGTAAAGACTTGCACTGACACTCACATCTTTTATATGAACAAGCTAGTTTAAAGTTAGAAGAGCTTAAAAAATAATGAAAGAAACATTAGGCAAAATCATACACAAGGTAGACCAAAGATACGGACTTGAGCAGGAGAAATTCGCATATTATAAGCAGAAAACACAAATTCAAGCAGCCAATCTCAGTGGAAGACCAAAAGCCACTATCATTGTCCCCTCCCCCCCATATCAAGTGCTCTTAAGATCTGCCGTTTCATGGCTCACCCCCTTCACAATGCAATCACATGCATGAACTATAGTAAGAACATCTCACGTTCATTGGATCCACCAAAACATCCATCGTCTAAGAGGTGGCATCAATCTTTCCCTTTACAGTTGCCTAGTCAAGTCAATCATGCACAAACGAAAGGAAGCTGCACAATGATTATAAGCTCAAACAAGAGTGGCTTAGATGACAAACCTCATACAAAGAACCTGTTAGCTCCCAAGGAGCAAAGACACCTTGAAGAACCACTCCATCCGGAAACTGAAAACGGATGACGGTTCTGGTGTACCTCTTCCTTCCGGCCTTCAGCTGCTTTTCCCTGTATGACTTGGGGATCAAAAGCTGAGACTCTGCCATCTTCTTCTTCCTCATTTCTGTTTCTCGTCTCACCTCATCCATTGAAAGATTATAAAAAGAATCCGGTAGCTCAATTCTCGCTGCTATACTTTCAGGCACGGAAAAGAACACCCGAATCTAGATGGCATAGAAGAAAGCGAAGTCAGAGTAATAATCAAGGTGGGACACTAAACCAAAAGCTGAAATAACGGCCCTAATAAATAATACACCCAATTAAAGGCACCTGAATTATTGTCTATTGACAAGTTGCACAATCACATAGGGACATATCGCGAACACAAGGACATGTTAAGTCTACATTCATTTCAATGTAATATTTGAAATGGCATAGGGCAGGCGGCCAAGCACTAACATTAGGTAATTGAATAACATTCTACTAACAGAAGTTTTGCAAAATATTATCAGAAAAAGATAAATTGAACATAGCAGATTGTATGTAGTGATTCTGCGTCCTAAACTGGCAAGAGCAGCAATATCAGACATTAAAAGCAAAGTTTGGCACATACTCCAATTCTTTTATTAACTACCATCAAGTCATTAGAAGCATTATTCAAATTTAAGCTTCACGTCCCTTATCTCATAGTAACTTTTAGAGTTAAATATTACCACCACAATCCAATACGTACGATAAAGATATCAAAGCACACAGATATTTAGCTTAATGTACTATCATCGTTAAGCAATAAGCAACTGCAATATAAATATTCCCAATATTTTCCAGTTCTAGTTAAATACTCAGATGAAGCTAATTCACACAGCAAAACCGATCGTAACATAGATAAGAATAGTAAGCAATGTAGGTATATCCATTCCCAGACCTACAAGTGCAGCCAATAACCCTTTGCCTCACTTTCCAGTTTCAACATGACATGGGCTTAACAAACAGGCATGGAAACTATGACAGATGCAGCAACATTAGCAATATAATGCCTTGGAGATTTTGAGCAACAAATAAAGTCATTATTGGAAAAGCTTCTCAGCGAGAGCTAACACCAACAAATGAGGAGAACATTCAACACACCTGCCTATCGATCTTCTCCTTTTCCATTGGTTTGTCTACTACGGAAGGGACCACAGCAGGGGCATCATCAACGTTTTTAGTTTCTTCAAACTTCTTTGGTTCCAGTAAAACCGCAGCCTTATTAATCATTCGTATCTGCTCCTCGCCAGGTTGATCCATCACGGCCCACATCTCCCCGCCCTCTTCTTTTAACTCGAACCCAACAAATTCCAACAACTCAACCCCTCCTGCAACATCTCCAATAGCTTCCCTAATCTTAGGATTGCTCATTCTTATCCTCCTAAACTTTGTATTTTCTGGTTCCTTAGCTATATTCCTAAACAACTTAAGCACGACATCAACTGAACTCTCTGGTGGCTTCGCCGACACAAAAGTGCCAACACAGGACTCCAATTCACTCCTTCCGTCCGCTTCATCACTTGGCAACCCCGATGCACCGACATTATCATACTCAACCTGATTTTCAGCAACACAACTATCCACATGTTGGGAAACTTCCTCTTCAGACCGGAAAGATCTATTGCAAATGGGGCACTCAACTATATTCAACGAATACCCATTCTGAGATCTCTTTCCAGTAGTGATAAGAGAATCAAACGGATCGAACCCGTTAGCCGGTTTCCGATCCGGCTCCACATTACGCGCGATTTCGAGCTTGTTCTGATCCGAAACTGCGGTTTTAGGGGGCTGAGAAGGTCTAGGATTACTGATTTGAGCTGGTGCTGGAATTGGGTGACTACGGATAGATTGAGAAGGGCGTGCAGGGATCGGATTGGCGGGACCAGACGAAGACGAACCCAAAACTCTGCCTTGACCCTTGAATTTGCCAGTAGAGGAGGAGGCGGAGAAGGGGTTGTTGACTTTCTTCATGAACCCCTTGACTTTATCTTTCATGTCATCCATGGTTGTGCAAATGGAGCTGGTCGTGCAAGAGAGACTTACCCAACAAGAGATCCCAAGAACAATGGAGCTGAATTTCAGAGGCCAGAGAGAGGGGATTAGGAACGAATAAAAAATACTCGGGAGTGGATTGTCTTGCTAATTAAGAAAAAGGGTATGAACGAGTAGAGGAGGAGGATCCATCCGTGCTAAAAAAATTGCGACTTTGAATGGATGACGTCGAGGACTTGCGGGCGAGACCGTGCGAGAGACGTCTTTACAACAACAGAGCATTCAGACAGAGGAGGACGCGACTTTGGAGACTCAGGAGGGAATCGTCAGCATCTGCAAAGAGAGGACTTTTCGAGGAAGACCCAGAAAAAAAGAAAACAATAAAGAGCAAAAGCAAGAATTTTTGCAAGAAAGGAAAAGGGTGTGCTTTGTTTTTTTCAGAGCAAACGATGCTTTCCCTCAAAAAATGCATCAATCATCAACTGGGCCAAAAGGAAAAGACAGCATCATTCGAAATCCGGGTCGCGTGCCTGAACTATTGTTACGTGATTTCAACGACTTAGTATCTGACAGCAAAAGGCAGAAAAAACTTGTGGATTAGCACAGAGTTTGTGCTAATCCCACATGAAAGTGTCTGTGTTTTGTCTCCTTCCCGTGGCCGGCCCAATAAGGTTGTGCCATGCCAGAGGCTGATGGTAGGGACGATCATGGGCTTGACGATGTGGTTGGGCTTGTCCAGATCTGAAGTGCAAATTAATGAATCTTTTGAAGCAGTCGTATTGTTGGATCCAGTCCCTTCGTTTAAGCCCGTCCAGAACTAATAAATCGCAAGCTAATACTCGTCTTTAGACTGCCATTGTGGTGGTTGAATGTCCTCTGCGACCTCCCCGGTGGCGATCGCTGATCGCCTTGACACGATAGTGGTCAACCGATACCAGAGAAAGAGAGAGATCACTGGAGGTAGGGATTGAGGGGTGTCAACGCTTGAAACTTGGAAATCGCTCTCATCACGCCATTGATGTGGCTGACGAGATTGACTACTGAATTAGGACTCCTGGCATAATTCGGTAAATTTTTTTCTTTTCAAATGGACACTGTAACATGACTGGGCCCGGTCTTACATCTTTCCCCTCCTCAACGATTGTGAACGTGTATTTCCACACATAAAGAGAAATGTCCATTCGTCCTATACCTTCACTCACGTTTGCAGACATGGATCCGTGGATGAAGGAGAGTAAAAGAGGATGACAGCAGGCCAATGTGGGAGAGACTTTTAGCCGTAGGCCCAACAGGTATTATCGCTTAACTTTCAGTTGGCATCTACTTGTGCTTAAACTACGATTCCACCTGGAAGTAGAACACAAAAGCAGCTATCTCAATCATGCTCCATCACTTTCTTGATATCAGTCTCAGGGACCGTAGTTTCATCTCCTCTTCTTTTGCCCAGTAGGAAACTGCGAGGATCAGCATCTCGGGGCTCTTTTCGTACCATCCATCCTGAGGACATAGGATAAGAAAGAATCCTAGGAAGCTTCTTCGTCAACCTTGTAACTTATTTTATGCAAAGCGTAAGAGCTATTTCGTCGTTTGCGACCCGGTGCCGTGTTAGAATGAGGGAGCCGAGAGATGATAATTTTCTTTATCTGCTCTGTCTCCCTCATGTCTTTCTTGTCAGCAATTCAGACAAATCTGTGAAAGGTACTGAAGTCAGATACCGTAGAATTGCTGTCCCAATCAAATGTGGTCATGGTCACAAAGCTTATAGACTTTGAGGACATTTTAGTGGGATTAAAGAACTATCCAGAGGAAATCACCTGGCAGAGTTCCAGTTGCTGGACTTTATTTAATGGCATCGTCTAGTCAAAAGGTGAGATTATCACAGTGATACATAAGTTTTAGATTAGAAACATTAACACCAGATGTTCCAATCAGAAGTTACATAAACAGTGCTCTTGAGATTATGACTTCCTGAGGGTGTTTAACTGGTGCCTCGGTGTCAGCCGCAACTGATTTATCAAAAACAGTTCGTCATTAGTCAGCCATCATAGTTGTCTGCTCTCTGTTGGTTGAAATCAAAGGACTTCATGAATTGCGGTGTTTCCTGATCATGACAGATGAAAACTTGGAAATTGAAAAGTATCGTCTGTCCTGAGGAATTGGTGTGAAATTTCTTGGCAATTCATAGGTAATTCCAGGTTCAGTAGTGCGATTCGATCTACTTCTTTTGAGTACTTTTTGATCGACCAAGCAGATGTACTAATGTAGATCAGAAAATGCATAGGATATAATACCCGGCTTGGTCGATGATCAAAGTTGAACGGGACTTCTTAATATGAATCTGTGAATAACATCTCTGGTACAAAGTATAGTAAAAACTTCACTATGTTGAATATGCACTATGTTGAATACGCTCTTATCTTTTTTGTTCATGGATATTCTGCGGATTTGACTGAAACTTTAATTTGGATCTAACTATCCAGGAATCAGTTATTGAAGAATAACTTTCAGAAAAGAGAGGAGAACTAAATTCATTTGCAAGATGGCCTATTTTTTTTGAGACAGAATAGACTGGCATCATCCTTTAATAAAGAGCCTTTCAAGAGCCTAATCCTTGAACCTCCAAAAGTGATTGTGAATGATGTTTCTTAAAGAACCAGAATACTTCTAACAATGGGCTTATGGTGAAGTGACTAGTCAGTCATCATTAGGAGGACTGTGTTGTTAAAAAAGCTCAAAGAGCTCTCTCTCCCTTTTACTGGTGAAGATTCTCCATTATGCACTGTACCATCCGCAATCTCTCTCTCTCTATCTTTAAGATTGCCCCGTGACTTAAATCTCATGCATGCATAATGTCACTCACTTTTGCTAATTCTCTTATGTCTCCTCTTTTGAAGGTCATGATATCTGGTCTTCTCTTTATCTTTATGAAGGGGAATATACAAAGCCTTTTTGCTCCGCATTATTAGTTTGATGTCTAGATTATAATAGCATACTTAGCGGCAAGCATGGCTCCTCCGGTACATCCTCAAATATTCCAAATGCATGTCCCTTCCTGCTTAAAGAACGCATTTTTTTTCCCACGAAAAGACACTGTGAAAAGAAAAGTGGATTCAAAGGATCTGATTGGGATTGACCCACCAAAAAGAAAGACCCAAAGTAATGGCAGAGAAGGGATTCTACACAATTCTTGGCATCATGGTCTTCCTAAAATAATATGGTCATCATCATTTGATGGCCCTTTGTCCCCCTTAATATACTTAAGAGGAAGCTGGTCTAAATTGATGCTAAGATGATTAAAGAATGATTTTTGATTCTGTAATGTCATCCTTTGACCAATGGCTGGTCCTTGAGCAGGATCGTGCACACAAAAGGTTACCTGCTTGAATTTGTTTTCAGAGTACTGCAATGATGTGCAAAATACTGCTGTAACACAGAAGTAGAGGTAAAAGAATTGTTTACACTGACTATGACTGGTTTTCATGTTTTGCCTGCATCTTTCTGTCCCAAAAAAACCACACTAAATTCCTTGTGCAGCTAATTACCAGATATTGTCTTTCAAATTTAACGTAAACTTTTGGAAACATGGCTGAACTTCTACTAGTGTTACTCACGACACAATCATTGTATTTGGAGCATCTCTTGATAATAATCTAAAGGAGGACTTAGTTAACTTGACAAGTGATACTCGAGTTCAGTACCATGAAAAGTCTCAGTTACTGCCTTTTGAAGGAATTTTCTGAAGAGCGGGCTGATCGAAACAATGGAAGGGAGGATTTAGTTAACTTGGAGAAACATACTCGAGTTCAATATTATGAAAAGTCTCAGTTACTGCTTTTTCAAGGAATTTCTGAATTGCGGGCCAACTGACACAATTGAAATGCTCAGGCCAAAAATCTCAAAGGTAAAGTGACTAAAGCCAAGTGGCCCATATGGAGGTGACCGGAAAAAAGAAACTGAATGACTTTTTCTTGAATTGTACTCCAGTTCCTCATATAATTGATTCAGCAGGAGATGGAAACAGTATCGCAGAAGAAGAAAATTGTTAATCTGCAGCAAGAAGCTCGAATCGAGAGAAGCAAGATATGCATATAATCTAAAGAAAGCCATGAAAATGATCCAAGTTGATCACAACTGCAAAGCACTAAACTAAATTAAGCACAACAATACAAGAGCAGCCCTTTCCACAGAAATGTCTGCTTTTTGTACACAATCAGTGAAGAACAAAGCCTAGTTAACTGTTAAAAAGAACTAAAAAAGGGGAAGATTGGAGAATGTGACTTCTCTCTTGTTGCAACTTTGCCTTTTCACTGGCTTCGAGGTACTACATATCTCAATGCTCAATCTTTTTTTTTTTCTTTTATAAGTCTACCCTTTAACATCTTCTTTACAGGGAGTGAGAAAAAAGAAAAAGTTTCAAAAAAGGGACAATGGATAGAAAGAAAAAGGATGAAACAAAGACAGAAAAAAGTCGAAGCCAATTGATCATTTCTTTGAATCGAATCGATACCACGGCGAGTAGTGCTCGGTGCTGCAGTTCTTTGATATGTCCACAACCAGCAAGTGCAGTTCATTTACCTTCTGCAAGAAGTAAAAATGGACAGCTTGTTAAACACATAATAAAGAAACAGATTATGAGGCAAGAACAGGGTCAGTTAGAGGAAAAATAGAGCCAAAACGAGCAGTACCCTTGGCTGTTTCGCAGACTTTCCCTAGGAAAGAGAGGAAGACGATGACCAGCGTGACCCCTGCGATGAGCCCGATCAATATCGCTAGCGTCTTCTCGATCTCGTCGTCGTCGTTAGTATCTGTTTTTCAAATATTTGCGCAAATGATCAGGGTCTTACTCAGCTCAGCTTCACTTCATGATGGAGCAATCGAATGACAAGAGTCTGCCACTTTTTCCCATTAAGATGTTCTAAGTTGCCTCTGGAGAATGAACAGCAAGCTAAACCAATTTGCTTGTTTCTTTTCTCAAGCATCAAACTCTTATTGCCAATCTTACTTTGCCCCTGTTATGAGCAGTCTCCATTCCCACTTTGCATAAATAAATTGTATTGGTGGTGGCATAATAATTTGAGGACATACAGCATAGAAATTTGTCAATCAATCCCCTCATCGTTCTTTTCCCACGATAAAAAGTGCTAGTTAGACAGCGTGAACATCATGAACCAAAAGAAAATTAAGATAAACAGGGGTTATCAAACTATGTCTACGGACATCTCAAAAGCATTACCATAGCACAACCACAATTACAACACACACCCTCACTCCAGAGCACAAACTACTGACACTTCCACACTTTCACGTACACTTCTTAGACCCAGAAAATTGAAAGAAAGGAAGCTGAAAACTTAAATTATCAGAAGATGAAATTTTACAGAGGAGCATCTAATATCAGTTGACTATACCTTGGTAGTCACATTGCAGACTAATTAGCATAGACAACCTACTTAATAACGTACGCTAGGATGGTCATTGAGCTAACGGTAAAGCTCAAATTCATCCAAGATAGTCCATGTAAACACTATCCAAGCAATAACCAAATTAACCCGAAAACCATGCTAAACCATGAACCACCACCACCATAGACCCGATTCTTACCGTGGCCGCCATGCGAGTGGTCACCGCCCTCCGAGTACCGCACGTAGCACTTGGCCAAGAACATGTCCGCCCACCTGGCCGCACCGCAGTTGCTCTTCAGCTGCCCGATTGCCTCCCCGAGGCAGTCCTGGCACTCCTCGGGGCTCAGGTCCTGCACGCATTGCGCGACCGCCCGTACATCGCCGGACCACCCATCCCGATAAAACTTGTAGGCCCCACCGTCCCCGTTGCTTGCCCCGATGTATCCCAATACGGCATCGCGCCTCGTCAGCGCGTTGGTGTCGTAGCTGTCCGACCCGGGCCCGCACTTCTTGATCACGAGGGTCTTGTCCTCGACCCCGAGGAAGGTGCTGTTGTCGTACTTGACGAAGCAGCCCTCAAGCTGGAGGGCACCGCCGCAGGCGCCGGCGCAGAGGGTGCCGACCTGGCTGACGGCGCGGGCGACGCAGCGGGAGCAGGTGCTCTGGTCGAGGTCGCCACGGCATTGGAAGAGCCCGTAGATAATGTCGGCGGAGGTGGTGCCGGCGGGGACGGTGAAGTTGTTGTAGGCGGCGAACATGGCGCTGTTGACGAAGGAGGTGAGGACGGAGTTGACGCCGTTCTCGTACGGGGACCCGGGGAGGTACTTCAGCTGCGAGCAGCCGCCGAAGACGAAGGAGTCGGTGTCCGAAGTGGATGGAGATGCGAGGAGAGAGAGCGTGAGGAGGAAGATGGAGGAGAAGAGGAGCGGAGGAGACGGAGCTTTTTCGGCGACGGACATGGTGGTCGTCGAGACAGAGAGAGAGAGAGAGAGAGAGAGAGAGAGAGAGTGAAGGGTCTGTTTGGTTGGGAGATGCTGGCTATGGTGGGTTGGTCATATAGCAGAGTGCTCTGTTTTGTGCGTGCGTGAGAGAGAGAGAGAGAGAGAGAGAGAGAGAGAGAGAGAGAGACGTGGTTCCTTCGAAAGGAATTTACGTAAGGAAGGACGGAACTTGATGATAGTTTCAACTGTGGAGGTCCAAAAATTATTGTCCAAATATTAGTGACACTCACTTCAAGTAATAATAATACCAAAGGAATCTAACTGTTTAGATCAAAATCATTTCATGATCAGGATAAACTACGCAGTAAGCAAATCCACTTATAGTCGAATCTTTACGTGTGTCGTTTGGTCAGTGCCGACGTCGTGTCGAATTCTTCTTCTTCTTTTTATATATATATTTTTCCATCTATTGATCTAGCCAAAATCTCGGTAACGGAACACCTAAACTGATGACGCGTGCGGGGTTTAAGTCAATATGATCGTTTGGAAGGAAAGGAGAAAAAAGAGAAAAGGGTTTTGGCTCTACACTTTTAGACTTTCGAGTCTAGTGAGCTCTGAAAGTCGATATAAATAGTTTTAAAAGAGACCGGTCATGGTTGACAATTACTCTTCATCAGCAACAAAGATAAAAAGAGAGGGTGGCGAGGCGAGGGACCTCAGAGCGTCACCTACCAAAGTGGCCTCGAAGGATCAAAAGCTAGCTGGTGGTTGCTGGTGTTCGTCTTTCCATCGATTTCATAGGGTTTGCTAATTCATGGCTGACAAAGCTTTGATCGTGCACGAGAGTAGGTGAAATGCGGCATTGGATTTTGGGTTTTGGGGCCAAATTGAAGAAGAAGAAGATAAGAGTTGTTTTTGGGTTATTGGGAGCAGTTTGATTGGGATTGGAAATATTGCCTGAAAGTGAGACTTTGAGAGTAGCTACGTCAAGAGATAAAGATTGTCAATGCTTGTTGAATGCAGACGTAACTCAGTCCCTATCAAGAGCTTCCATATTGGTTAAGATCATTCTAGAGCATTGTGCTCTTTTCCCCCTTTCTTTTCCGCCCCTAGAATTTCTTCTTTTCCGGACATAGTTTTTGTTGAGTGCTGTTGTATATAAACTGCTTATTCAATTAAAAGCCCTCTTGCAATTTGCCGCATCGCTTTGTAAGTCGATTTTAATAAGCGCGGTATCGCTCATGGTTGTCTTGTTCGGGCCTGGCAAGTTCGTTGATGTGGTTGCTCGACTGTGAATTGGTTTTGTGTATTCATGCTACTACAGCAGCATGATGTAGGGGCAGTATTATTGCAATGAGATGTAAGACACTTGTAAATAGAAGGCTCACACACTTTCTTTGCCAAGGGGACTTATCTTGGTCGTCCGGTCGTGGATCCGAGGTTAGGGACCCCAATCCAGGGGCGGCGGACCTCAGCTTGGGTTTGGGGATTTAGCTCAAGGTTCAGGGACTCAGTTAGGGAAATTTCTTATGTTATTTTAAAGATAACAAAATAATGAAACGCTACTAATATGTATATTGGTCGAGGGTGAAAGATGCACAAGCCAGCATGCAGATGGTGTCCTAACGGGATTTGTCTGAAAGCTAGGAGTGCTATGCCTCTACTGAGGATGAGCAAGATATTGGACATCAATTTATCTAAAAACTGGATGAACCTAAGTAGAAGGTGAATAGGTTTGGTAAAAATTTTTTGCGAAGACTTGGAAAGACCATGGAAAGGTGAACGGTTGGGTGGAGCCATTATCGTTAATATGCTTGGAAGGACCAGAAGATGAGGAGTTAGATTCTAACGAGCAGCGTGTTTAGACTTATCGGATTGCTCGGAGAAGCACCTCCTTCTATCAGACGAGAAGGAAAACTTGTGATGTGCTTCTAACACCTGGAGAAGAGGACCCATACCTCTTTTCATAATGATTCGTCCTTTCGGTTGGCCTACTACACTCTCCCAGCTCTAACAGACTCAGCAAAAATAGAATTCATCGTGTAATCCTTGAGATTTTACAGCTTGTATAGAATCTGCTGCTTTTACTCGAAACTCCTGGAGTTATTTTTACAAACTTGAGCAGCTCTCACAACATTATATCACTCTTTTTTAGATTACAAATGTTCACACCCTCTATAAAGATTAACCATAAAAAATCACTGTATTTTGCATAAAGGAAAGCACAACAATTCAATGCAACTGAGAGAGTTTTGGTTGTAAGCTTCTTAAATGCCACCAATCACTTTGATGTATTTTTAAAGACCTTCAAGCTTCGGCATAAAGATTTCGGACCAAGTAGCAGGATACTTTTTTTCAGAAATGGATGGCTATGCCCAGGAGCCGCTTGAGGCTCGATCTTCCTTGGCTTCCTAAATAACCATTGAAAGCTTTATCTGGTCGAGTAGCGGCCATCGAATATCTTTCTATGGAGCATTAGAGGCCATTCCCAAAGTAGAAAACTCTGCTTCTACAGTCTGCCTAAAATTTTTTCTACTTAACCAAAAATGCCAAAACCGGTTTGATTCACTCTAGGTAGCTTTTAGTGAATTCCAACACTTGAAGATGACTGTTAAAGACTAACTTGAGTCCAATTCAAATAGATATAGAGATGAGTCTTCCCTCCAGGATCTCAGAGGCTCAGATATAGAACCATCCACTTCGTCTGTAGCATGTAGTGTTTCTGCAAAACGGTCCTTCCAGACTTTTCATGAATTTTCATTATATGGTGTCACCTTCTGTAAACAGGTTTTTCCAAGCAAATTGACGTCCTCATGTTGCATGAATTGTTCGCCTTTTTTGGGTCCATCCAAACTTTAACGAACCCTCAATTGATAACTTGTTCGCCATAGAGGCCCTTTGAGAGTCAAACGCATTTCCCATTCAATAGTTTGTTCTCTTTTTGCAGAGCCAAAGCCTTTCTATGCTTTAGACATTCTGTTGTTAACACTATCTGTATATAACTTTTGTATATAAAAGTTGTTCATTCAACGCACCCGTATATACATATTAGTAGCCTCCGATTATTTCGTCATTTTCAAAAGATTGTAAAGATTTTCCCAACACCCTCTCTAGTCCTTGCATCTCAGGAAGCAACTCGAGCAAATGGGATTTTTAGTACCTGAGGTCCTTTTAACTGGATGCGTGCTTTTATTCACAGTTTGCCGTATCTAAAGCCAAGCACACAAGGACCAAACAAAGCTTTGCACTGTAACAAGTCCAACGAACAATACATTAGACCGCTGACTAGAGCTCATGTAAGTCCGAGGAGAGTTAGAGCACAAAAAACAAAATGTATCAATGTCCCATTGACCCACAAATTGTAATCCGATTCAAACCTATTGTCAGGCAATGTGGGACGATATTTAAATATCCTGACAAGCTGAATTAGGAGTGGAGCATGAAATTTGACTGATGGCAGTGGACGGAAATACACGAAAGGGATTCCGCTAGCTGTGAACTATTAGGTAGAGGAAATTCGCACATAGATAAAGAGCATTTAGATTCGTTTTCAAACGATGTGTGATAACATTTCCACGGAAGCCAAAACCATGTTCGAAATCAACAACTTTCTTTGACTTCACTAGTGAAGAAACAAGACATTATTGCAACCTTAGGACGGTCCTTTTGAGTGAAGAAGATAATATAGAAATTGAATGGCAAGATAATATAATTTGCTCTTTGCCCATGAGATGTCAACTTGCATGTTGTTGGTGGTGGTGAAGTACCGTAGCTGACATTGCGACCCTTGCCCTAGCTCGCCTCGGTGGGTGGACTTGGACGACGGAGACAAGGACATCACTAGAAGAGTCTTCAGCTCACGACCCAAAACGAAATTGAAAATTGATGGTTACATTTCGTGTCTTCATCTTGACTTTGACCAGGGCCCTCCCACAAATGGCTTTGATGCTTTGGCCATAGGCAAAACAACCCATTAATAGAAAGTCTTTTTCTAAAGGAACAACAGAGAAAACCAAAGTTCAAGTTAAATTCGTATCTATTAATTGCAAAACCAAACATTCTTCGGAGAGAATATGAACATACATGTTGATTTTAAACCTAAACATGTTAAATGTCGAACCCGAAAACTTAAAATGATAGGCGTAGAGATATCTATATGAATTTGTGCGGAATTAGGAACTGCATATAAAATCGATGGACGGGGGGCCACGCTCACGAAATAAACTGGGATGGAATTCGGCTGTGATACCATGTTATAATATCCAATTCGAAAAGCTCAAGCGGGAGAGGGAGAACACGTGTGTACGGACAGCATATAAATCCAGTAGACAAGCGACGAGAGATACTTTAACAAAACATCCAAATGTCTTGCTGAGCTTTGCTTCGCCGTCCCTTTCTAATTAACTATATAGTCCTTTCTTTTGTGATGAACTATTACTAATTCATTCTGATCAAAGATTTTGATCATTTGGATATTCGATTATTCGTGAATGCCTTAGAAGGGAAAAAAAAACAGGGTGTCTCTGCGGGCATTTTTGACGTCACCCAAGATGGTCTAGGGCACGAATGCCTAAAAGCATGGACATCAAAAGTCTGTTCCTTGAATTAGATTCTCATCTCATTGCCTTTAGGCAAAATAACATAAGAAAAAGAAGATGTACAGCAATTTGAGCTACTTGCGTTTCTGCTTATGGCATGAACCGAAGCATGGAATTACTTTTAGTGTTTGCGAAAATTTCAATTGGGAAAGAGATTAATGATTTTATTCAATTATAGCCTATTGCTGCTTGTGAAATGCTGCGAATACAACGAAATTATACGATATATGTAATTTAGAGATAGAACATCGTCATATGTTATGTCGTGTGGATTGTGTAGCGAAAATATTTTTTCGATATTAATGTAGTATCTTCGGCGTTGGTTTGGTGCAATCACGAAACCGTTCCCGGGCATAGAATGTCTTTGATCGAATTGTGAAATACATGCACACAAACGTCATCGAAAAAAAACGTATGTGTATCCAATCTTTTTACTAGATATTATGGATTTGTGTCTATCCATCTATGTATACCGTCAAATTTAATTTGGCCTTCAACAAATATATCATCAAGAGGCAGGTCAACTTCAACGTAGGATTCTGCTTGACGGGTCCACGCATTTTGGCCTTTACTACTTAACGTGAATCGACGACCAACCAAACTTGGGCAATTTTAATTTCCTTAAAAGAGAAGCTTTCACTTAAATAGTACTAAGTGCCGCTCAATTCGTGGCTATTTTCTTGCCAAAAAGTTCAAGCAATCGCCAAATTTTAGAGCTAGAAGGTCCTAACTTTAGGGAACCTTTCACGGCTCGAAATTATCTCTCTAGCTAGACACCGGCTTTGTCCACTAGAATCTTCGATAGGGTTAGGTGCCAAGCGACTTGACCCCTCAAACAAGCATCCGACGACAAAAGCGAGCGAATCGTCTAGGACTCTCTCTGGACGAGGTCGGGGAAGATGACCATAGATCGGGTCGCCCTTTCCTACTCTTTGCACGAGGTGACTCTGACTGGTTAATGTCCTACGACGCAATCAAGGCTTTAGCATGTTAACCAATGTCATAGGACATAGCAGGGTTGGCCAAGAAGAAGGAAATCGTGGCTGGATCGAAGGCTCAATCTCTTAATTTAGTGGGCTTAGACGTTGGACTAGACTGGTTTTTGTGGCAACGAAGGACCACTTACATCTCCTACCAAACAACCCTCAAGACTATCAGAAAGATTGTTCCACTTCACACATCAATCTTTGCAGTTACTTCAGCACCTAGTTTAATGGCTGATAGTGTCTGTTTAGTATACGAGAGGACGTTCTAAAGAGTTCTAGATCACTTGTGTAGGGGTGAGCAAAAAGAACTGCTCGGACCGGATCAGACCGGCCAGTCTTGAGCGGTCCTCTAGAATACCAGTCCGGTTCCTGGTTCTATGTGTGGAACTGCTCTCCCGGACCGAACCGATCTTTTTTCTTTTTTATAGTTTCTTATAAATATGTAAAAACTAATAAGGCCCTAATTTATGTTGTCCAAAGGCAAGAAAAGAAAGAGACAGGAGTCCTGTAACAGCAATAACTATAAAAAAAAATTAGTCAAGACAAATTGACATGTATATACAGAGAGCAAAAGAAAGAGAGTTAAAAGGGGTGTGGCCATTTTACGAGAAAAATAATTGGAAGTTTATGCTTGGAAGATATAACGAGAGAATAAAACGACAAATAAAAATAAAAAATAGAACATGCTACTGATTTTATTGGCCCACCATGGAACCGGACCGAATCGGTCGTTCAGTTCCGGGGGCCACCAGTCCAGTTCCCGATTTGAACCAGTTCTCGATTTTTGGCTGGGAATGGACCACCTAGGAACCGATCACCCATTACTTATGAGGAACAATAGCTCTGGTATTGTGTTGTGTAAAACTAACTTTTAAAGGAATCCAAAAGAGTCCCTAAGAACAAGATGGATTTCAATCCATTTGTGCCTTTTCAGCATTAGGAAGAGAAAATCCAGCGAAGGATCATAAGTCCCCCAATCAATCCCATGAAACATGGAAGGTGGGTAAAGCTGCATTGTCACAAACAATCTCGATTCGATAAGGCAGCTGCCGAATTAAGGCGCATGATCTTAAAATACTTACATTATAAACAGCATTAGTAAAAAACACACGTCAATCAAGAAGCCAAACCCCATGTTGGTTTCCGCTTCAGTTATATTGTCTTTTGTAGTCAATGCATGAATACTGATTCGAAATACAATCGGAATCTACAGCCAGCTAAAACGGGGACGTCGAGCGCCGTAGCGGTTTCGCCTAAAGTCAGTCGAATTAATCCTTCAGCTTGTTGGATGCTCGGTCCTTCTCCATGCGCTCGAACAAGCTCCCGTCGTACACGGCCCGGACCGTGTCCTTGCGAAGCAGGCCGTCCTTGTCCTTGCAAAGCATGTACAGGACCTTCCATTCCGTGTAGCTCGCCAACCTGCAAACGAAGCATGGAAAAATTCCTCATCATTCATTTTCCTTTCACTTTCCAACTATTTTCTGTATATTTCATTTGTTGCCTTGTGCTTTATGCTGTGATGTTAAAGAGGAGCGAAAGAACAAGCATCTCTTTGCAACTATTTGCTGTCATTGTTTGGCACTTTTGTTTCAAAGCTGTGATGCAAGACAGAAACTAAAAGCAATAGAAACTAACCAGCCTTTGTAGTCCTTGGGTTGCCTGTTGGATTTGAGCATCTCCTGCAGTTCATCCGACGTCAAGGCGTCCTCGTGCGTCCGCGCATGCTTGCCAAAGATTTCTTCGAATTTCGACGGAACAAACCTATTCGACCCACAAATATTCAGTATGCGATCAACCCCGATTAGGACTTTCGCAGTCTCGTTTCCAGAACTTCTATTTATGTCGATTCGATACGAGTTCCAGGACTCGATCGAAAAGGGCGCAAAAAGCTCTTCTTCTTTCGTATTTGAACCACGGTTAAGTCGCGTATAGAGAGAAAGGCAATGTATATGTACGTGTGATGAGTATAATCGTACTCATATTCTATACCTTCCTTCCGAGTCGTAGACGCCAGAATCACTTCCGTGCTTGGCCTTGTGGATGTTCTTGACTTCGATTGGGAACAGTAAGGAAGGGAATTTCCCCTGCTTTTTCAAACCAAATCAAGCAAGCCCCGTTATATTAAGCATTCATTCTCAAACAAGTCAACACACAGACACACACACACACACACACACATATATATATATATATATGTATATATTCTTGATTAAGGATGACGTTTGACGCGTGCCTTTCTTCCTAGTTCGGACCTTATTATGGCATTCTTAACCTATGACTTCGAGTTTGTTAAAGAGAAAAAAGCAAAGCAACATCCGACTTCAAGCAGACAACATACGCAATATAAGCGTAAGAGAGGGGGTTGAAAAAATGACGTCATATTTTGACGGGAAGGTCTATGGTTCATTTTTGTTTTGCTCCATAAAATGCACAAGCGGTAAAGTTGATGGAAGACAGGAGGAATATAAATCTGTGTATTTTTTATTTAATGTTCAATTTGTTTCCATCATTGTTACCCTTGCTGACGTGGAAATAAAAGGTCGGGGGATGAAGATGACTTTGTGCGCACTCTATGTGGAGAAGGACACGGCAGCGGAGCAGGTGTCGCTTTGGATGATTCCACATCCATCACCCCCGCGCACACGAGAGGAGCCACCGATTGCGATTATTTTCCATATAGCGACGGTCCATTTTTTTTTGTCTCCGACACGTGGCATTCTTTTTCTTTCTTACAATTTGGTTCATCCTAATTTTTTTTTGGGTCGAAGATTGATCCTAATTTACAAAGCTTATCCCGAATCGATACCAGTTCTTCCGAATCTATAGATGACTCCGACGTAACTAGCTTAGAACCTAATTGTCTAAAGACGTGTCCCTAGCCGGTCGATCCGAACCGCAGGCTTAGAAGGTCGTAATGTATATCGACCCGTCCCAATCTTCTAATTTTAGGGTAGGTTCTACCCTTCCGAATCATGTAAAGCGAAACTAAACTCGAACCTAACTTTTCCAAGAGGCATGTTTTAATATATGCTTGTGTCCCACCATAATGACGTCCTATATTACAAATGGCAGTCTTTGTCTGTGGAAAAACCGAAAAAAAAAAATAGAAAAGGTATTTTTTTGGGGGAAGATATGGACATTCCAATAACTAAGACTTATAATCGATAACCAAGCTATCATGCCCTTTGTTCCCGACCCAAGAGGGTCGATTATAACTCCATCTGTATGAACGTGCACTCTAAGATTCGAGTTAACCTACTCCAACTTCCTCATCTCTCATTCTAAAAGGAATAATCTGAGTCCGTGATGCCTCCGTCACCGTGACTACTAATACACGCCTCGTCATCCGCTCAATCTAAGTACTCTTATTCATGATGTTTCACCGGGAAAATTTCTATTTAGACCCGCTACTTATTCACGACCCTTCACCGGACAAATTACAATTTAGACCGCCACCCGGTCGTCCGTTAACCCATGAGAAGGCCAGCATACATCGAACGGGGATTCGTTCGCCCCGATCCACATGGAACAGACACGTTCGATGCAGTTATTCCCCCCGCTTTTCGTGGAGGTGCGGCAGCAGCCTCGGTCCATGGCACGCGGCCGACCGACCTAGTCGGTTAGGATCTCGAGGCGAGACCCCGAGGGAGGTTGAGGACGGTTTCGAATTTCCTGCCCTCCTCCTCCTCGACTCGCCTCATGAACTGAGGCGAGCGAACCGGTGCCGGTCCGATCCCACGTCCAGGTGTTTTCAGTACGGATCGTAATATATACGTATTCAATCCGAATCTACCCGCGTCCGAGGTGGGGCTCCTCGTACCGCCCCCGTGAGAAGCTAGCTACCCCACAAACGACGCAAACAAGAACAGCGCAATTCTACTCATGGTCATTAAATAAGAGAACAGGGACCACGTGATCCCCTGCTCGATGTCCCTTCCTGCGAAATTACCTCCGAAAACGACACCAACTCAAGCACGTACGACCACAAACATATAGGCACAGAGAGAGAGAATTACCGGGCGAGTTTTCTGGCTGAGCGCCATGTTGATGAAGGCGGCAGCGACGGTGGACAAGGGGAGGCCGGCCCCGATCGACCGGAAACCTTTCAAGAGCAGCAGAAAAAGTTTAACCCTCGAACGAATCCCATCAAACGTTTGAAGAAGAATCGTGGGAAACGAGAGAGAGAGAGAGAGAGAGAGAGAGAGAGAGAGAGAGAGAGAGAGAGAGAGAGAGAGAGAGAGAGACCTCGGAATGTCTCCCATGGATACACGAGGCCGTCGTGGTTGCGGTCGAAGAACGCGACGTGCTTCTGCAGGACGCTCTGGTCGTGCGGCATCGCGGGATCGTACTTCTCCACATTTCTACCTGCAAAACGAGTCCCAAACCACTCCCCATATTCACCAAAAGCTCAAGAACCCAAAAAACGCGAACGGCACGCGTTAGCGATCCCGGCTTACCATCGTCGGAATCGCTGCTCGACGACGGAGACGACGCCGCCGCCATGTGATCCTCGAGACTTCTATTCCCTCCCGGAGAGAGCGAGAGACGGAGAGACGGAGAGAGGAAAGCGACGAACAAAGGTAGGGGGTTGCGAACCGAACGGGGCGAGAGCGCGCCCCTCGTGTTTTCTCGGAGCTTTTGAGGGAATCTCTGCTGAGCTTCCCTTCGTTCACGTTATACGGACGATTTTGTGAGGAGAGTTGCGACGGCACAGCTGCGTTTTTATACGTGCGGAGCTACGGTCATCCCGGGGAATAGTAAATCTTTAGCCAAATCGTGTGTTACTCGACAGGATTGTTCTCCATTGGGAAAGCAATCCCCGGTGTGCGGAAATTGAGTTCACACCGGCTGTCCTGAAACGACAATGTCTTGTCTTGCTCATGATTGAGCCAACACGACCAAGTTTGTACACGTGTCGGCATCGTAACCGTTGTTCACGAAGAGGATCTTTTCTTTTTTTACGCCGTCGATGTGCTGAAAACTCTTGAATTCATCGAACGGCGGCAGTTAGTTAGGGCTTCGAAATTTTTAATTCGGTCGATTTTATCCCGAACCTTTCGATGATTTTCCAATACAGTCCTTCTGGTCAATTTGGATCGAAAATTGCTGATGCGACGGTTCAGTTACCGCCGACCGTTTACGTGGCATGGTCGACGGTAAGATGGACGATTTTTGTAAATTTTTTCAAAAGGAAGAAAAGAAAAGGAGGAAAAAGAAAAAAAGTTCAGAAAATTCCGGCCATGCACGTAAGCACCAGCCATTAGCCGTGCCATGTAGGACGTTCGACGTCCACATTGGTGATTTCCAGCCAATATTGGACCGAAAGATTACACGGTTAAGAGTTAAATTGGGCAAATTGAAAAAATTATAACTGAATTGGTTATCGTATAATATGTGTAGGACTTTTCTGACAATTTTCATAGTTCAAGAAGTGTTGACAACGAATAAAGACAAAAGTCAACGAGTGGTGATTCTAGACAATGGGAGCGAAATTTGGTCGAAACACAAGTCATCAATACAAACCAAAAAAAAATAAAAAAACAGTCGACATCTTAAAAGGAATCCACAACTTGCCAGTGAAGTCACCAGTAGCACATGATACAGAAGCTATCGACGAGGAAATCCGCCGGTTGACATCGGTCATTGGAAGTTAGTTATTGCAGATTTTGCCAAGTGTTGGAACTCGAAAACAAAGAGGATGGAACAATGATACAACGAAAGTTTTACCAATCCCATAAAGATAAAAAGTTTCCACATATACATACTTATGTCGCGATCCATTGTTATGTGTTTTCGAAAAAGTCTATTATTAAGTACTTTTTTGAGTAATGTCGAGAATATTAAGGTCGATTTGAATAATTTGTTCATTAGGTACTTTTGAATGACACGTCAAACTTAAAATATCAAATATAAGAATCTTTAACGTGGGGTGTTGTAAATTAATTCTATTAAAAGAATTGTTGCTGTATTCATCCCTTTTTTTCACAAATAACGAAATTCTCTTTTCATCCATTTGTTTATTTCGAGGGGCCACGTGTCTGTCGGCTTTCTTTACTATTAATATATATATTTATAAGAAAAACTCGCACTAATTAAAATAATAATAATAATAATAATTAGTTAAGAAAGAAGAGTTTGTACTTTGTGTAGTTTGCTGTGAAGCCTTTTCGTACGGGGTGAGAATGACAATGACAGCATTATATAAGTTTTTAAGATCTACCTATGAAAATCCATCGTGCAATATATTATTGCCAACCTAAGTGGGCTCCAAATAAATTCTTTGGAAATTACGACACGCCATGCTTTGCCAAAAATCTCTCATTGCAAACATCAAAAAAATCAAATCCAATCAAATCAAATCAAATCAAAAGGGTTTCCGTGGAAGAACCGAGAACCGTCTCCGTATCTTAGCCCCAAAATTAGACGGTCTACCTAATTTAAGGAAAGAGACCTCGAAGCCTATAACTCGAGAACGTGGCATCCTCCCCGATCGAACCGTGACTTGGTAGCCAGTACGCAAACCGGAGCAATCGTAAAGATCTTATTAAGAGCTATTGGAAGGTACCAACATCATCGGTAGAAAGTCAATAAATGAATGATCAACTCGTACACGGGATGGCGGCGTCGCCCGTGAGATTCGATTTCGGCGCAACCTAAACTCGTGATCTTGTGAAAGACATGTCGGGCACGCGATCCCCCCGAAGCAATCGGGTGTAGGTTAGAGTGCTCCCGAGTGTGAACGCGAGACCGGACAGATTTCGAGCGTTTGCTTTACTTAAGCAAAAGCAGGGAAGGGGGGCCGCACGAGGAACCCAACTTTATGCTTCAACGTCACTTCCACTACAGTTGGGTGGGGAGGAGTTTTCCTGAGTGGGACGTCCTTATACGAACTCCCGTGCACGCGCCTCTCGCACGCTCCATCACGGTCGACATGGGCGGGGCCCGAGCCCGGTCGCCGCCGTCCGATTTGGCTATCGGAAAGCTCCTTACAAAAAACGGTAAACGACGGCGGAGACTGTTGGGGGGACAAAAGTCGGGCAGTGAAGGATGAAGGGTAACCCCATCAATCGAACCGGATCGGATGCGGCCGATCGATCTGGCTCGGTCATGAGTCGAGTATCGAATTCAATGCCCCGGAAACCGTTGTTTTGATTGATCGGAACGAATAATTTAAGTACCTAATTAAACTCGAATGAGTCTCGGAAACGACGTTCAGCAACGGTACGGTTTGGGGTCATCGATTCCGTTTGCTCCGGAGAAAAACCGGGGTTTGAAGCAATCGTTTAACTTGACAAGAGAGGTTGTTTGTGAAGTTAGGACTAATTTTTAAGGATCATCGTGCATGGCATTGTGCGACTTTCCACCGAAGGAAGTAGCTTTTCCCACCGCGAGCTCCCTCTTTCTGATACCAGCTCAAAAAGCCAACATGCACGTATGTGCTGATGGCATTGTTTATGTTATCGCCACTTTACTTAGTACGCGCTAACCTTGATTACGAAACGATACCCGGCCCGCCATACAAAGCTCATGTGCTGCTTTTCGATTAACTAATGCCGAAGATGCCGAACCCGACTTACGAAAATTGATTCTCGAAATGATGTAGCATGTTCCCGCTGGACGTGTGGACATAACTTGCTTGTTTGAGCAGATTGATAAAGTTTGTATCGACCACTTGACAGAATCAGTCCCGTTAAAGGGTCTTAGTATTTCGTGACGCCACTGATTCTTTTTCAAGGGAAATGTTCGAGGCGTCGAAGACTATTTCGGGAAGCCTTTCGGGTGCCACATTTTGAAAATCTTTCATTGACGCGTGTTTCGTGCTAGTAATTGAAAAGTATGTCTTGTGAAGTTAATCACCAAAGATGGGTAGAACCCAACAAGATTAATGGGAGAAGAACACTAGAAGTATTAAAATTTATGTACGGCGTTCACTTTAGTGTCAAAAGTTTTCGCTAGATCACTTAAGTGTCAAATCGGAGAAAAACGATCACTTAAGTGTCAACATCGAGAAATTCCGGCCAAATTAATACGCGACTTTTATAATTAAAATTTTAATCTGAGTTGGGTTTTTTTATAAAAATTAGTTCATGTGGCATTTCCATGTGTATATTTCGATTTTTAAAATTTTTTCTGATTTTTTTCTTTCTTTCCTTCTTTTCTTTTTTTCTTTTCTTTCTCTTCTTCTACCTTTGGCCGGTGACCAGACACCGGCCATGGTCAGCCGCCTGGCCTCGCCCGAACAAGGCCGACGTCGCTCGCCACAGGCGAGGCCTGGTTGACCCTCGCCTAGGCGAGGGCGGGCTCCCCTCGGCAAGGGCTCCCCTCGCCAGATCCGGCGAGGCTGGCCCTTGCCCAGGCCACAGCGGCCTTGCCGAGCGTCGCCCGCCCCTCGCCTAGGCCACAGCGGCCTCGCCGAACGTCGCCTGCCCCTCGCCCAGGCCGTGGCGGCCTCGCCGAGCGTCGCCTGCCCCTCGCCCAGGCCGTGGCGGCCTCGCCTGGGGGAAGGCGAGGCGACTCTTGCCTTGGGCGAGGCCGGCCCTGGCCTGTGGTTTTCGAGGGACTTTCGAGGGCTGCCTCGCCCAGGGCGAGGGTCGCATTGCCAAGGCGAGACTAGCCTCACCCAAATATGGCAAGGGCTGGCCTCGCCCATGGCCGGCGAGAGGCGGCCTCGCCTATTGCCGGCGAGGGTGGCCCTTGCCCCAGACCTTCCCGAGCTTCATCGGTGGCCGGTCCGGCTACTGGCAAAACAAAGAGAAGATCATAAAAGGAAAAAAAGAAAAGAAAGGAAAGGAAAAAATAAAATTAAAATTAAACCGAAATAGGGTGAATAAGCTAAACTACGTCGTTTTGAAGTGTACATGCTGACTAAACCTCCGGCAAGCCACATCGGCTTCAGAAATTAATAAAAAAATGCCACGTTGGATTTCCGGCCAAACTGACCGGAATTGGCACTTAAATTATCGTTTTTTAAAAAGTTTGACACTTAAGTGATCCGGCTGAAATTTTTGCATTAAAGTGAGTGCCGTACACAAATTTTAATACTGTAGTGTTCTTGTCCTTGAGATCAATTAATTCCGGAGCCCCTTCGTGTGAAAATCAAATACGAAACATGCAATGCACGAACGAAAACGCTGCGTCCGCCATGCAAGACTTCTGTACGCAATCTTCCCAGCTACGACCCAACACTAATTAGGGTCTTCGTCTCGTGGCCTATCCTTCGGGCACGAGGATCGAAAATATACAAATATACAAATCAAACATGGGAAGCTGCGGAAGCATCGGCTTGGTCCATCTCTGTCGGTTCCATTATTTGGGACTATAGTCAAGCAATAAATGTAAAGAAAAATATCTTATGAATGGCCACCACAAAAGACCACGAAAAGTCAAGGAAAAACCAAAGTTTGAAATGGCCCTGGACGGAGATGTCTCCGTTCATGAATGTTAGCTAGTTGCAGATGCTCGTGCTGCTCAGATCTAATCAAGAAATTACTCCAATGGCCCTCCTTAGTCTCTTATATTAAATGGATAATGTGATATGACCTAAGTCTTAGTATATTATATGGCTATTTCCACATGTGGGGTGAGGAAGTCGTTCGTGCAACTGCTGGTCTTGGGTCTCGGACCGAGTGGCGGGACTATCGGGTTTCGCATGAACATCGGTTGAGGACAATGTGCCTCGTGTGTCTGCCTCAGTCTGAATGAACCCTAGCCAATGTCAAATTTATTCTTGATTCTTTGTATTCTTGCACAACTTTGGCGTACAAAATTGTCGGCATTGACAACTTTTTTTGTCAAGACTTTGAACTGGCAATGCACTTAAATATGATTTCAAGAAGCAAGTATAGAACTGTGCTTTCTAAACATGTGAATGGCAACGCCAATTTTATTCCCTTGAAAGGGGCAAATTGGTTGAACATAATTGTCATTGACGACATGGCTTAGGTGGGTACTCAAGTCATGCTTACCTACCTTATGTCATGCGTGCTATGCATATCGGATTGAGGCGAGTCGGGAAGTATGTGACGATCTTTTTTTTTGGTCGCAAAAATGCGACTAGTTGGCTCAGTGTTTATCAAGGGGAAAGGAAGTGAGAGAGAAATGAGAGAGAGGGTTTGTGATTGTCGACGAAAAGAGTCGGAAAAATAATCGTGTCTCGTTGCACTAATGATCCAACGATGCTAAAGGAACCGAGTTTAGTCGTGAGAGCAAAATTTGGAAAATGATACCGATAGTCTCTAAGTTTTGACCCATTTTGAAATGTTATACTTGAGTTTTTAATTTGTTCATTGTGCTCTCTCCACTATTCCTAAATATTCCATGAAGTCCTTATGTTCGATCAAATAAGAGAGAAGGCCGCCACAAGTCCTTAGGGAAAAGTAACAAACATATTTTAAACATATTGCATTTGTACCAATTTAGTCCTAAACTTATAATTTGACTAATTTAATCATAAACTATTTCACATTAGTACCGATTCTGTCCATCTGGCCAATTTAGGCCGGAAATTGATGACGTAGACACTGTCCATCTTATGTGACATGGTCGGCATTGACGTAGACAAATTTTTAATATTTTTCCTAATTTTATTTTATTATTTTGTTATATTTTTTTTTTACACTCGTCGACTGAGCATCGTCGACCACAGGCGAGGGCCAACACTCTCACTTGTTGGCCGGTAAGGGCATCACAGCCCTCGCCTCCCACGAGCAAGGGCCTCCGCACCCTCACCTATTGGCTAGGGAGGGCAGTGATGCCTTCGCCCAAGACTCGCTTGTGGCCAGCAAGGGTTAGCAGGCCGGCCCATAGTTGGGGGAAAAAGGGAAAAAAAAGTAATAAAAAATTCAGAAAAATTATTTAAAAAAATGTCAACGTCAGCGCTGAATGTGCCATCTAGGATAGCTGGCGTCCACGTCAGCAATTTCGGGCATAAATTGACCGATGGACTGAATTTGTATCAATATAAAAATGTTTAAGATTACATTAGTCCAATTGAAATGTTGAGGACTGAATTGGTACCAATGAAATATGTTTGACATTTTTTATACTTTTCCCTTTTCCCCGGTCCTTAAACTATAGAGAAATGTGCGATCTAGTTCTTAAACTATAGCAAACTAGAGTACACACTTCACAATAGTTTATGGATTAGATTGCACCTAAACTTGTGGCGACTTTCTCTCTTATTTGATCAAACAAGAGGACTATATCGAATATTTTGGAATAGATCAAGCACGACTGAACGAATTATGAGCTCAAAGATAAACATTACGCGTTGAGCCAAAATTCAATAAATTATTAGCCTCATTTTCCCCTTTAATTAAGAGCGGAGGGGGCGAGATGTCGATAAGCACATTAATGATAATCAATGACGCGTCTATAAATTTAACAGGGTTTCTTAAAGCTGGCGGAATCGGAGCCGGGGGTTCGGGAAAGACGGATGACGGCGGGCGCATCTTGGAAGAATGGGGGGGGGGAGGAGTGGGAACCTGAATTATATGAACTTTTTCCAAATGGGTCAATCAATAATGGAGGGAGGCATCTAATGCTGGAGTTGCAAGTCACTAAAAAGGAGGAAAGCAAGAATCTTTCACGTTCTGGAAGATTGCTTGAAGCCATCGTTTTGCACGCGATGTTCGCATCGTTAGCCGGCCATATCCGATCAATCAAAAGCGAGACATACGAAACTAAATAAGGAAATTAATTGAAGTGAACGTCGCGCAAACAAGATGTATTTCATGCATTGATTGTACAGTTGATACGGGGGGTATTGCTAGTGTTATATGCATTTCAGTCAACTCTAATACTTGAGTTTTAAAAAAACTATCATGTACGGTTGAATCGATTATTTATATGTGCTATTGCCGTAGGATACATTCAATGCTCAAAACAGCTTTCTGGAGATAAATTGAAAGTGAAAGTGACTCTTTACTAGTAGGGAAATGGTTAACGAGCCCGAGCCAAAAGTATCGGTACCCGAACAAGTAATTGTTAGGGAATCGAATGAAATAGAATGTGTGGCCTTAAGGCAGAAGGAATCACTTTCTTTGCGTTATCTTCGTCTTCCTATGTTGCTTTCAGATAATAACAAGGCCACTCATAAGATGTGACAAAGACAAAAGAACACGGAGATGAATAGTTTGAACTTCTCTTGGATTGTGTTTATCGATGAATTTGAACAGAGTAAGATGTGAGAGAATTCGAAAGATGATGAATTCGGATCGAATGGAGCCAAAGGTCCCTCCTCGTCGCCACCGCCGCCACCCCTCCCTGCGACTCCCTTCATGTATCCGCGTGATGTCGATCGCCTCTCTCTCGCCCCCATCAAGATGATGACCATAGGACGACTAGCCATGCTCATTCCGCCGTGCCGACGAGTCGATGAACGACGATCAATGCCCTCGTGAGAGAGAGCCTCGATGGGCTTTGTTCTAAGAGAAGTTGGACATGACTTTGAGTAGGATTGGTTGGAAGCGGGCTTTGGGGCTCTAAACTGAGCATCTTCTAATGTGTTGGGTCTAATTTGCTTCCGTACGTTATGCCCTAGCGAGATTTGTTAACCCAAAAAACCTTTTTAATTTAATTGGAAAAATGTTGGTAAGTCATTCAATATTGGTAGATTCACATGAGAGTCGGTATTTTAAGGCATTGATAAGAAAGACAAATAAAAATCGGTAAAATAATAAGGAAAAAAATAGTTACTGGCAATCTGTCAAAAAAAGGTTCGCTAATTTCATAAAATTGTTGGTAATTTACAAACAAATTATATGAAAATCAGAATCGATGATTTTTCTTTTGCGAACAGCTTAATTTTACACTTATCAACTCTTTTAAAAATCTACTAGCATAAAAAAAATCATTTTGGAAGTGGAATAGTAGAATCATCTTCGTTGTCATTATTGCATTAGCTAATCCTCGCTAAGGTTTGGCCGAGGGTCGCAGTGCTATCACTGAGGCCCTAGTGACCCCCTCCGGCCCTTCTTGGCGTGGCAGGGCGGTAGCAGCGGCGAGGGCCTGTGGCCCTTGCCTTTTTTTGGGGTTCTTTTTAAAAAAAATTAGTATTCATTATATTTTAATCTAATTTAACTGAGATTTTAGTTTTTTTAAAAAAAAATTACATCAATTAAGATTTTTTTTTACATCAATTAAAAAATTAGGATTTGGACCAAAACATCGTCGTTTTAATCTTATGCTTCATGTTATAGTAAAGTCAATGCCACATAGAAGCGATAAAAAAAAAGTCACGTCGGCATTTTCTAGTTAATCTAATTGAACAGAAAAATAGAATGATTTGATTACAGGCAAGATTTAGAACCTGATCGTACTTTGGTGACACATTTTAGAACTTTCAGTATATTTATCTCTTTTCTTTAACAATCTTCGTCATTCTTGTTCCATTTTTCTTAACAACGAGATCGTCGTTTATTTTTTTCCTGTCGCTACGATGGCCATTGAATCCATCAATTGCATTGCACAACTCAATGACAACCACATTATCTAGCGAGCACAAATGATATACGAACTTCAACTGCGATTTTCGATTGACTTTGTCCGTCCCATCCGTCGCATGAGAAGTCCGTGAAAAAAACGTATTCTTCTTTTATTCAGTACTTTCAAGAATTGTGTGGGGGCAAAACAAAAAAGAATTAACAAAGACTGATATCTACAGAACGATAGCTTCTGGTTTTCTCTTGAGTTGGGGAATGGAGCCAAGCCTCTCGACCAATATGTCCAGGGCTTCCTTCATCCACCAATGTCTGCACACTTCTCTTGCTTCGGCTGCTGTCATCTGCAACACAATAGTTTGTACACTTCAGTATCTCGAATCGAAAGAAATTGTTACGACTAGTATGATTTCATGGATGATCAGAAGGCTGCGTACCCAGATTCTCTGGCGGAGCTTTTTCTCTGGCCACAGATCAAGTTCTTCCTTGACAAACAAAGGGAACATGTGCCCTTCATAGTACGTTCCATATCTCTTGCTCAAGAAGCTCCATCTTCCCAATTTACACTGAAATTCAAATGGTAACGCAAAATTCACATCAGTCCCTGAGCATGAGCATGAACATGAACATCTTATACTGATAAACTACATCGTCCTGGTGCAGGTATATGGTTAGATTAACATTCTCTTTAGGGAGTTCAACTCGAATGTGATTGAATTAGTCTGCTAAGTAGCTCGAGGACGCAATTTGTAAGTACCTCGACATCACCGAGAACTCCGGCCTCCTCGATAGACTCTCTTGAAGCCGCTTCTTCCTCTGATTCATCAAGCTCCCATCCTCCCTGAAGAGACAAACATGTGGTTTAGTTTTCTTTTTCGTTTTTTTTTGGGTCAAGATGTGGTTAGTTAGGCGCAGATACGACTTATTATGACCACACGCTTTTAAAAAACTCAAACCCTCACGTTTTGACCCCGAAACAAGTGAATTAGTTAACTGGGAACAATTAGCATTACAACAGTTAAGTGTACCTTAGGGAACATGAGCCCTTGACCTTTCGGCGAACTGATCACCAAGAATTCTAGTTCGTCGCCCTCCACTCCATCTCCATCCCTCTTGTATCGGTAAGGTATGCATCTGCAAGCGTTGATCATTCAAGAACTAAGCAAACTGAGCTCAATGAAGAGTAAAAGTAAAGGAGGAAACAAAGAAGCATCTGAGCTCGAAAAGGTAGAACGGCAACAATCATTACCGTTCATCACTTTGTATTGAAGAAAACTCTAGTGTTTTACATGTTAGGAAACCGATTGTTGTCAAATTAAATGAAGTGAATCTGTTCACATACCCTACGACTTGGCGACGGCCCATGTGGTATCTCTGGAGTTCTCTCCCACTGCGAGAAACCAAGCACAACATCTTCTCTTCTGTGTATGATTTAACTAAACCAGCAGAACACTTTGCAAAAGAACTCTCTTTGTTCGTTCTCTCTCTCTCTCTCTCTCTCTCTCTCTCTCTCTCTCTCTCTCTCTCTCTCTCTCTCTCTCTCTCTCTCTCTCTGTGAGATTGCTCAAAGCCCGAGACAAAAGACGATAAAGGTTCAGGTGGAACAAGCTAAGTGAAGCAAGAGGGACATGTCCAAGAGGAGGTTATAAAGAGAGGGGGATGCTCCAAAACGAGGACACGGAAGTAAAGCGTTGAAAGGTGGAAGTTAAGAATGAGACGAAAGGACGTGTTTCGTGAGTCAGCAGTCGGTGCGACGATGAGAAGGCCAACAAGAGTGCGCGGAGAATCAGTTGAAGTCGACCGACCCACCCGTGTATGCGCGGATGCTGTGCGTATGCGCACATAGGCACGTTCGTGCTTTGAATCAACGACAAGCGCGTGTGCGACCTCTTTCCTAGATCCATCTCCTCAGCTTCGGTTATGCTTCCTCAGTTCGGGGTCTCTCTTAATTAGTCATTACCCGGATAATAATAAAACGAGGTTCTTTCTCTTCCGCGAGTGCGTCGTTTTCTCAACAACCGAGTGGCGATGCTTGTGGCTGGGGTGGTTGAGGTGGTGGTGGAGGTGATGTGCGGTGGCCGAAAATTGACTTGTTGGAGACGTGCCCCACGTGCAAGGAAACGCTATCTAAGACATACTCGGATTTATGACCCTTGGCCCTCACATATGCTCAAAAACGATTTCGCACGTGGAGATAAGCACGAGGACGACAAACAACTTGTTGTTGGAACAGTGACACGGTGATTATTACGGTTTGATCGGTTCCCGGGCGGTCCGGTTCCCGCTCAGGAACGGGGAATCGGACTAGAGGGGCCGGTTCCCAGTTTATGGAATCGGGAACTAGACCGATGCCCCCTGGAACTGGACCGGATCGGACTGATCGGGTTCGGTCCTGTCCGATTCTCGGGTGGGCCAATGGAACCGGTGGCATATTCATTTTTTTTTTTAATTTCTCATTAATGTTCAAGATGAAATTGAAGATGTTTTTTATATTCAAGGCATTTCTACAATCAGTGAGTTACGTATAACATTGTAGACTTCATAAGGATTTATCTAATTTGCGGCAAAATTTGGTTGGAATGAGTAACTACTATTGTGTTTTGATTTGTTAATGTTATCTTACTCACGTGCATAAGTAAATGTAGTTGCTCTAGCCTTGAAGGTTCTTTCTTTGTGAAATGGAAGATAGATTAGGGTTTTTTTTTTTCAGATTTTTAAGAAATTAAAAAATTAAAAAAAAATCGATCCGATCTGGGTGATTCGAGTAGGCGATTCCGTACTTGGAATCGAGAACCGGACCAAAATTCACTGAAACCGGAAACCAGACCGATATCTCCGAGAACTGCCCAAATCGATCGGGTCGATCCGATCCAAGCGATTTCTTTTGCTTTAACCCTAGTGATTATTAAGGATTTTTCATTAGGGTATGACACGCCACGAGAGAATTGATCGTGGAGATGATAAGTTAGTGGAGGAATGGAATTTTCACGCACGTTGAGATGAGACGGGGGTCGTCTAGATTCTGTGTTCCCCGTGGGGCTTTTCTGTTGTTGACATTCGAGATGGACGGAATGATATCTGCTGGTGCAACAGTGTTCCTCCAATCACCACCGCTTGCGTCAAACCCCTCCTCACCTTTTTACGCGTACGCCTCTGTTCGTTCGAAAAGGATTGAGAGTCAGCTTCTGCACCTCGTTTCACAGTTTACCTCCCTTTCTTGCGCCGTCAGTTTTCTTCACCTCTGGAAACTTCGCAAAAACAGAACAATTGCGTGCAATGACTGTGGTCAACTGATGTTGTCCCTATCCTTTTGATAACGGTCAGTAATGTAAATCGTAAGAAAATAAAGATACGTCGGTAAAAAGAACGTTTGAGTTTTTGGATCGATTAAAGGGGTGCTTGGGATTTACAAAGAGTATACATTGCCAACGGTCATATATCGACTCCACCACACACATGGCTAGTTGATGATTATATCAACTCCACTATTTGGACCAAAAACAAAAAAAACTCCACTCCATTGACGGTTATATGATGGTTACATCGACTCCTTTACCTTGACGGTCACCCCTTTAACGATTGCATCCGAGATTGTCGACTCTATTACTTTTTTTTTTTTTTGGGTTGATAATCGACTCTACTACTTGACAATTATGTTGCCTCAACTTTTGTATCGGTTATCTCTTTGCCAATTACATCTGAGGTTGTCGAATGAACACTTGAATATTTTTTAATGGTAACAACTTCAAATTAGCAACGAATCAACGACTCTTCATCTCTTCTACTTCAATTAGGCACGAGTCTGTCTTACCATATCGAAAATCTACTATTTCTCTACAGAGGACAACTGATTTACATATCTACAGATAAGCACTAAATTAATATTAGTCATTGATCAACATGGAGCAAGTGATTTACTGGAGAGAACGAAATTTATTAGTTCATTGAGATAACTCACGTACAGTTGGTCTGTAAAATTTCATAATCACGAGTACAATTGAAGTGGAGGCCGGTAAATAGACTCGACATTGTTGGTGTTTTCTAATGAATGAATCTAATATTTTATAGTATCTCTAAAAGGAGATTGACAGTTTTTCATGACCCTAGTTAACATTCGAGTGTACGTTGAAATGCAATTAGTAACCTTTTCTTTTCTTCTAATTATATGTAGTATATTGAGATTGGTAATGCCGGTCAAATTTCATAAGGCGGTCGCTAGCTATTTCTACCTCTCCTTTGGCTCCGTACACCCGGTTTGAGAGTTAAAATGACAAGATAAACCAAGTTGTGGGTCTCAAAGTCCCGCTTCCTCTTTTTTTTCCTCTTTCTTCCTCGTTCTCCATTAATGGCCACTGGTGATCTCTCTCTCTCTCTCTCTCTCTCTCTCTCTCTCTGGGATCAATGGGTCTATTCAGTATTTCCTCTACTTGTTGGGATGCTTATGAGCGTTTTGATGGCAAAGATCAGCTCACCAAGGACGACATGAAGGTGTATGCTGCAATTCTGGAGAAGCTTGGAAGTTCGTTCCCTAATGCATGCAAGTGCTATGAGTGTATGTCCTCACATCACTCTTGCGAGGACATATAGTTCATATATAAGTTACTAAATATTAAACGGCAAAAGGACACTAGAAGTGCCATAACTTGTGTACGGCGATCACTTTGGTGCCATAACTTTTTTTCGGATCACTTTGGTGCCAACTTTTTTGAAAAACGATCATTTTAGTGCTAATGCTGACGTGGCTCGCCGGAAATCCGATGTGGCGCTGACACGGCTCGCCGGAGAGGTCCAGTCAGCATTAAAAACCAAAAAAGACGCCGTTTAGCCCGCTGACGTGTACTTTTAAAAAAAATTAAATTAAATTAAATAAATAAATTAATTAATTAAAAAAAAAAACCTGCAGCAGTGGCGAGGGCTCCCTCGCCGCTGCTGCTGCAACTTTTTTTATTCTAAAAATTTAAAAATTAGAAAAAAAGCCACATATTTTCCACGTGTACAAGTCAGACCATTTTTTTTTTAAATATAAATGCCAGATCAGCTTTTTGGCCGGAATTTTGGCCGGAGTCACTAAAGTGATCTGTTTTCCTCCGACTTGGTATCAAAGTGATCCGAAAAAAAGTTATGGCACCAAAGTGATCGCCGTACACAAGTTATGGCACTTCTGGTGTCCTTTTACCAATATTAAACACCTATAGTTCCTCTAAAAGGTCATTGGTTCATTTTTACAATCAAATCACCGACAAAATTTAAATGCAAGACTGTAATCTAATGATGATGTAGATACCGATAAATATTAATGGGTTAACAAACTTTCTCAAAAACATTTATAGTGATAGTCGTCACGTTTTAATGCAAGTTGGTAACTTATTGGTCATGTAGCCCTTTGTAAAATAGACTTCAATTATTGGCTGGCTTGGGTTGGTCCAATCTAGTGCCACACCTAAAAGTTCTTGCGATCCCATCCATGGTCGAAAAATATTAATTTTTATTATGTGAAATTGATTGAGCATGAACACGGTGAAGGAAATTACTTGTTCGGGCTTACCTTACCCGTCTTGGCCGATCGATCCTAGACGGGACATTAGGCCCATGATGTATCTCTATTCGTAGATTCAAATGGAACTTGATAAAATGACAGATATATAACTTGGTAAGCATTTTACTATCATCTAGTGAATTTTGCACCGTCCTTCATTTGAGCAATGGAACCTTGTACAAGAAAAAAAAAAAGAAAAAGAAGATGATTCCCCGGCTGCTCACATGCTTAAAGGCTCGCGGGGGACCCCATGGTAATTAATCCCCACGGGTGTTTAAAATTAACTTTATATTTAAAAGTACCTTTTTCCTTTTTCGTTAAACTTTAAAATACTATACATCATCTTTTGAAAAGTTACGAAAGGAATACATGCGAATCGACGTGTTACTATTCGTGTATCATGAAAGTATCAATGATTCAAGGTTAAAAAAAAAATTCAAAGTGCGTCCGTAGCAAGATTTATATTGAACAAAATAATAAGGGTCAAATACTATCGAGAAACGCTACTAATTCAGCCCTAAATAACTAGGGCCAATTTTTCGCACCAGAGATTCGGATAAATAAGGAATTAACTTAACCATTACTTCGGAAAATAACATCCCGCGGCACATATCTAGATCCTAATATTATTTGCTAAAATTATCGACTTGAAAATAAAATTAGAAAAAATAAATGGTTTGGTGAGGACTAAAACTTGATAGTTGAGCACTATTATTCTAATAAGATTCTAATTACCCTCGATTCTTTTTATCGAACAAACTAATGAACTCATATTTTTTTAATTAAGTGAAACGAGTGTCATTACATATTACTAAGGGAAAATAACATAAACAGTTCCTGAACTTTGGCTCAATGTGCAATTTGGCCCATGAACTTTTAATTTGTTCAATGTAGTCTATGAACTTTAGCTTATTATGCAATGTTGTCCCTGAACTTTTGATACATGTTCAATGTAGTCCTTGAACTATATGAAAATGTTCAATATAGTCCATGAACTTGAATTGATAGAAGAACTACAATGAATATTTTTATATAGTTCAGAGACTACATTGAACATGTATCAAAAGTTCAGAGACCACATTGAGCAAAATTAAAAGTTGATGGATCACATTGTATATTAAGCTAAAATTTAGGGACTAAATTGAATAAATTAAAAGTTTATGAATCAAATTATAATTAAATCAGAATTCAGGGATTGTTTACGTCGTTATCTCAATTACCGAATAAAGTTTAAACCTTTAATATTAGTCGTTTGTGGTTTTTGTCGTGCTCCGGACAATCATGTCCGGGGGGGTCTCCTCCTCGTTGAAAAAAAACACACAAGCAAACGCCAGTGCTGCCACCACCCCCACCACCATCACTACCGGACACGCCTCGGTAGTAGCAGTAAACTTCCATCCCTCTCTCTCTCCCTTTCTCTCTTTCTCTCTCCTCCGTCCACTCGACAAGCAGAGAGCGATTCTTCTCCCCTGAAGCAATCCCTCTCTCTCTCTCTCTCTCTCTCTCTCTCTCTCTAAAGCTCGCCGTTTGTGTGTGTGTGTTTGGGTGTGTGTTGGTGCTCCGATGATGGACTCCAAGTCCTTCCGCTTCATCGCCCACCAGTCCTTCTTCTCTGCCGCCCGATCCGGCGACCTCCCCGCCCTGCGCGACCTCGTCGCCAAGCTCGCCGGGGGGGACGAGCCCCCCGCCGCCTCCGCCTCCGCCGCCGTCGCCGACCTGATGTCCCTGCAGAACGACGCCGGGGAGACCGCCCTGTACGTCGCCGCGGAGAACAACCTGCGGGAGGTGTTCGGCTACCTGCTCGGGTTCTGCGATGTCCGGGCGGTTAAGATCAGGTCCAAGGCCGACATGGACGCGTTCCATGTCGCCGCTAAGCGCGGCCACCTGGGTGCGCTCTTGATCCCGGCTCTCGCCCTCTCTGGCTTTGGATTTCCTTTCGAGTGGGGTTGATTTTGTTGCTTGATGCTGAGTTAGTTCTGAGAAGAAAATAAAGGAAAAAAACACAGCTTGATTGCGTGCTTATAGACCCTTTTGTTCTTATTTAGAATTCGGATTAATTAGAACAACCTGAGCTTTATATAGTTCCCGCTGACACACTGTGGTGTGGAGTTCGCTAGTTCCTTCAGTTAGATGAACAGATGGCACAGTTTGGGATTTAGATTTGGTCTTAGGAACCCTGTGTTATGCTCTTTTGGAAAACTCTACCCTTGGATTTACCAGCTTGTGCGGATTCTCAAATCAACAACTGCCACCGAACAATCGATTCGACCCTTAATTTCTTGTCCGAGGATCGAAGTGGATTGCGTAGTTATTTGCTCTCGTCCAGTGATGTCGTTTCATGACTGTGCTCGGGTCTTGCTTTTGCAGTGGGAGAACCTTCTTGTGATTACACGATGATTGCAGTCACCTGATCATCTTATGTAGAAGAACTGGATGAAGAAAAATGTGTATTCTAGAGAATTTGATGGGATATGGGAAATATTTATGCGCAGTTATATGTACGTGGCAAAACAAGAAACTATACAGACAGCACGGCAGATTCTTTGGCAGAAACTTTTTCCTATAGGAGAAAGAGAGAGGCAATCGATTCAATAGTTCTTCAGGTTGCTATTTATTTCTTGTGTGCTAGCCGAAGAAGGCTAGAACAGATGGTCGTACTACAGTCTCTTATTTGTTGTTGTAATCTCCGATATGATCAGTGTTAAGATCTTCAGTTGCTGTGTTACACACTGGTATAGCTATCTTATTTTGATTTGCCAATTATAAGTGCCTACTCGAAAACTTACTTTGATGTTTGTTTTCTAAATTTGGAGGCTAGAGTTCGATAGTTACTAAATTTAGGGTCTACTAGTTTCATCATAAGTCTTAGGTCATTAATATACTTTTTCTGTTTATGCTAAACCCTATCTTCCTTGTCTAGGGATTGTGAAGGAGCTTCTGACCATTTGGCCCGAGCTTTGCCGCTCATGCGACTCCAAAAACACTACTCCGCTCTATTCTGCAGCTGAAAATGGCCACTTGGATGTGGTGAATGCAATTTTGGAAGCTGATTTGGGCTCATTGAGGATAGTGAGGAAGAATGGAAAAACAGCCCTGCATTTTGTCGGCAGATATGGTTCTCTTTTAATGGTAAAAGCATTGATTGGGAGGGATCTTGGAATTGTCTGCATCAAAGATAAGAAGGGCCAAACTGCACTCCATATGGCTGTAAAGGGTCAGAGTACTGTCATTGTGGAGGAGATTTTGCTTGCTGATTACTCAATACTGAATGAACGGGACAAGAAGGGCAATACAGCTGTGCACATAGCCACAAGAAAATGCCGTCCCGAGGTATCATCTCCTCTAGACGCATTCAATTGAAGCGACCCTATTTTGTGGTAGAGCTGAGGGCTGTTAATATTAATTTACAGTGGCATCTCTCCTTTTGGGAGGTTGTTCTACATCATTGTTGGCTTAAGTTCATATTCATTTGTTTCTAACTTCCGGGACACTTAACTAAGCTACTCAAGCATAGGGGACATGATGATCACTGCTTTTTTCCCATCTAGTCTGTTGCATTGCACTTGTGTGGGTAGGATAATGTTTGCAATATTTTGTCACTGATTTTCCTCCTTCGTGCTCAAGCTCAGACAACTTGGTTAAATTTTTTATGTTACCACCTGCCTTCCTTAGAGTCATGACTATAAATCTTTCCGGCCCTAGTTGATGTGTTTTATCTTTTTCATAACCCTAGTGACAATTTATGCTCACCTTGCGAGATTAATCGTGCATATCAGCAATTAAATTCCCATCTCTTGTGGTAAACAGTAGCTTTTCTGGAACAAACTGCCACCATTGGGAGTCTAATCTCTCGTTGCTAGCATCTATAAACTCCCACATGGCTTGTCCTCAACTCCAGACATTGTAATTTTAGAATCTTCGTCGAGTTCAATTCAAGTTGAAAATCTATGCCCCAAACTTCAGCACCACATGCCTTCTGCATTCTTCCTCCATTTTGCTATACTCCAGCAAAGGCAATATCATTGCATCGCTATCTCATCGACCATCCAACATTATGGGATCTAAGCATGATTGATCGCGAGGGATCAGAATAGAGGATGCATCCATCGTGGCTATACATTTTCCCTCCGATGAATTCATTGAGCTGTGTTGGTGGATGTGGTGGAACATTCTGTTGACTTGAAAGCAGCTGGTGGTTGAATAAGTGAGCATGATACTGCTGTGAGTTGTCACAATTGTGTCAAACAATTTTGTGCGGAGACTTAGCTAGATTGATTGTGCAACTGATTCCATATGGCTTTTTTACACGCTTCTTGTATTGTCCATCTCGATGTTCATACAGTTCTCAGCCTCAGGTTTGGCTGGTCACAGTAGGGCTTCACCACCACTTGCACTCCAATCCCTTCTGTAATTCGAAGTAATGAATAACTCTGAAGAAAATGAATGGAGAGTATTTATAGTTGCTGTTAAGCAGAGAGATGTGGAGGAGAAAAGAGTTCATTGGATTAGATGCATTGTATTCATAATCACGAGAATGTAAAGTTTTAATTTTTCGGAAACTCATGGTATTATATATTAAATAATGCCTATCATTGACAAATTAACATTAGAAGTTCCCCATTTTCTTTTTCTTCGTCATTTCTCGTGGTGCTTCTGTCCTGATTATATCGTTTTTCTTTGCAGATTGTACGTTTTCTTCTAAGCTATTTGTCTACCGACGTCAATGCTGTCAATAATCAACAAGAAACAGCAATGGATCTGGCAGATAAATTGTCGTACGGAGAATCTTCGTTGGACATTAAGGAAGCTCTAAGGGAAGCTGGTGCTAAGCATGCCAGGGATCTTGGGCAGGTGGATGAGGCAATGGAACTCAAAAGGACCGTCAGTGATATTAAGCATGAGGTGCAGTCGCAACTTATACAAAATGAGAAAACAAACCGAAGAGTGTCTGGTATTGCCAAGGAACTGAGGAAACTTCACAGAGAAGCTGTCCAGAACACTACAAACTCTATCACTGTTGTTGCAGTTCTCTTTGCCTCCATAGCTTTTCTGGCTATTTTTAGTCTTCCCGGTCAGTATGTACGAACCGGACCAGACGCTGGGGAAGCCAACATAGCTAATGAAGTCGGTTTTCGGGTGTTTTGTCTTCTGAACGCTACATCACTTTTCATTTCACTAGCTGTGGTGGTGGTTCAGATCACCTTGGTGGCTTGGGACACCAGAGCTCAGCAACAGGTCGTCTCTGTAGTAAACAAGTTGATGTGGGCCGCGTGCGCATGCACCTGTGGATCTTTTCTGTCAATAGCATTTGTGGTGGTGGGAGATGATAGTTCATGGATGGCAATTACGATAACAGTAATGGGGGCACCTATTCTCATAGGGACGCTCACAAGCATGTGCTACTTTGTTTTCCGGCAGCACTTTGGGTTTTTCAACGGCGACTCCCAAAGACGCATTAGGAGGGCTAGTGGAAGCAAATCTTTCTCTTGGTCCTACTCGGCAAACATTTCAGATGTTGACGACTACTCTGACCACGAGAAGATCTATGCTCTGTGATGCTGTTAGAAAACTGTCAAACTATGTAAATAGAATGGCTTAGCTGCTTAAGGTATGAGTTGTGGGGTGCGTCCGTCATGGCTTCTTGGGTTCATGCATGCAGAATCCCTCCCGAGCTTGTGTTAGCCATCATGATAGTCTGCTGTCGTGTACTATATTTTTACATCGCCAGATGTGTAGTTTTTGCGATCCAAGAATGTTCAGCTGAATACTTTTGACCGTCTGAGCATATGTAGATCTATCCACCATCGATTTTTCCTTCAGATCATTAGATATGGAGGCTTCCATGTACACTGCTATGGTGATCTGTTATATTCTATCTGCGACCCGGTACCGTCACCTCCGACAACGGCTCTCTTTGCAATGCAATCAGGTCAAATTGTGACATTATGGACCAAAAGCGTCCTTCACTTTACGACATTGTGCCTGTAAATTTTTCATTTCTATTATTGCACTCAGTACCACTCTCAATGTGGTTTCAATTTCTCAGAGGGGGGAAATTCTTCTCAAAACATCATCATGAGCGGGAACTTAACCGACTACAGACAGTTTTCACCTGAAATCAACGTGAGCATCGCGTGGCTCACCATTCAGGGTGCAGTTTTGGATATGGCGGTCTCTACCTGAATCCTAGTCCCACTAATTAACCCTGCACCAGAACTGTACTTATTCCAATAAACACAACACGTGAAGACGAATTTTAAGTGCCAAAAAAGTGAAACAACTCATGTGGCGGTTCCACAAGATGTGTAGAGAAATGGACGTTATTATTTAATAAACTTGCATGTATAACAGATGAATGAGAGGACTGCACCTTCCTAAATAAAATATATCCCTCCAGCCCATGTGATTTTTAAAAACAACAGAACCACATGGGTCTATCCTGCTTTATAAAGGGAAAAGGCCAAAAAGAGGTGCTGCAACTTGAGGCTTATCGTAAATTGAAACCCAATTTTTCCATCCCGACCTCCACAATTCAACAGAAAAAGAGGCTACTGAATATACAATTTTACAAGTTATGCCAGACCTCGCCAATGGCTGACACCTACTGAGACGAGTAAATAAGTAGCTCCGGCCAGTAGTAGCAGCAACCAGCAATCTAATTATAGCTGTAGCTGCCCTGGTCCTCTCCTTGATGATGATCTTGAAGACGGCCTGTTAGAGTCTGACATAGATCGCGAGGGTTCTTCTGGTTTTTGCATCTCCTGCACAAAAATCACGGCAGAACTATGATTGACATTCGACTATTTGGCCAGGCCGAGCATCCAGCACTGGTAGAGAACATTTGACGCAACAACTTTAGGAAACTTCATGACACGAAATCAGAAACGGTCCTTGATTGGCAGGAACAGTCCAACCAAAACAGAACTTTCTCTCTTATTGACCAATTATTCACCGTCCACTCTGACATATAGTCTCATTTAATGACGAGCATTAAAATTTATCAAGCAGCTCTCATCTCAGAAGCCTCTATAATCCACTTGTAAGAATCCTATTATTCTGTTAATCTTGAGGCATAGCACCTTTGGAGGGCCAAACTTGGAGCATACTACCTTAGGTTAAGTTAAAACATGCATAAAACCACTGCGATTAGATTTACTTGATCCAAATATCTCAAACACAACCCTTCTAGAGGGCTGACACAACTGACTGTAGAGTGTTGCATATGAGTCCAACAAACCTTTGATGAAGTGGAATTATTACGGAACTGTGACTGTAACTGTGATTTTGCATGCATGCGATGTTGCCGCTGCATTTGCTCAAATTGTTGAAGCCTCGCAGCAAAGTTGATACCATTAGGTACACTCCCCATATCTCGGCTTATGTCACCGTCTTCCGTGATTTGTGATCCACTCGGCATATGATGCAAAATTTGAGAGTATGGGTTCCCCGAAGATGTTCGCTTGATCTGTTCACTACCGAGAGAGTATGAAGGCACTGTCTTCAATCGCGTTCGAAGTATCTTGAAGGCGGCACTTTGCTGCAATCAAGTACTATCAGATGAATGGAGATTGAACACAGACCAGGAATCATGAACAAATATTAAAGAACGACAAAAATTTGAATACTCCGTTGCACAACCCGCTTTACATATCTGCCTATAGACCTATCATCTACACCAAAATGCTAGTAACATTTTGATAAATGCAGTGCCCCACCCTGAAAATGTCAGCAAAGGCTCAAATCGACTACATCAAGAAGCACATGGTCACAGACACACAGCAGAAACTTTAGGGTACTAAACTACTGAAAAAGCAAGTGAAAAAATATCTTTAGTATACGAACATTGCAGACCTAGCTTTGATTTACTAACTCAACCAAAAGAAATTCAAAACTTCATTCTAGTCACAATGCGTATCAAATGTCCCAGCAAATTAAATGTTGCTTCTCAAAAAATGCAGGCATGAATTGACGGTAGCATTGTTGATAATAATTCATTTGGAAATGGTATCCAAACCTCTATTCAAAATTCAAAATCAGAAATAACCAAACACTTCTGTGAAATTAAAGGAGCACTTAGCAAGACACAGGGAAATTCTTGACATCCATATCTATTGAAAGCTTTGAGATTTTCGACCAGACCACATTCCATCTCAAATTCGTCCTAAATGTTATGGTTCGGCTGCATTTACATGAAAGAATAAATTGCCCCTCCCTCCCACCACTTCAAGAGGGGGAAAAGAAGAAAAGAATCACCAAAATCTTAGAGGGCAGGGAAAAAATATCTACAAACCGAAAAGAAGGAAACAACATCAGCATACCTGTGGAAGCAACATTAGGAGTCCATAGAGAGCTTTTAACAACCACGTGTATCTTCCTGGATCAAGTAACTGCAAAGAGGAGTAAAGGTATATTGAACAGTCTAGTGTGACAGTGTGACAAACAAAAGGAAAAATAAACTAAACAAACATCAAGTATGAGACAGCGTAACATAAGCACAAGAGTGTATAACATCAATAACAATGATAGAAACCAGAGGACCGGGAGCCTAAAATAAATGAGCACACAGGGTTTCCTATAACCCTAAAAATTGCAATCCAGGTACACTTTTCCATTTTTTTAATTACTTACAATGTTTCAAATCGGAAAATTGGAAACTGAAGTGCCCTCTCCATGTGTTCATATCATCCTAGAACAAAACCTCGTAACTTGCTCAACTAACTTTTGCCTTAGCAGAATCACACATAATAACTAGCATGCACAAACTAGAAAAAAATACACTTAGATGATGACACGTCTTAACGTTATAGAGGGCAGCCTTTAAACCTATCAACCACCAATAGCATATACACTTGGCAGTTGTCCTCTAATTCCACGAGTCTTAAGAGGAGGGATCTACAGAGAGGCTACTGTATTACATGTTTGGATGATCTTGCTGGCCATGCAATAAAAATTTACTATAAGTAAAACGGTGGAAAAAGAAGAATGTCATTAGTATGCTAAAATCTACTTGAGGTAACCAGGACAAACTATCCACAAGGAAAACCTAATAAACAGGCACTTATGCATCAAAACTGATCAACATAATAAATTATAGCCACCAGATTAAACAGTAGGTTTTCTTTAGTGTTTCAACCATATTGCGGGCATTTCTGGATCTTCTTATCGACATCGACCCTCAACTTTCAAGCTAATAGCGTGATTTCTAACACATAAGCTGTTCATTTGCAAAGTTAATCTAGCAAAATATGGCATTTACAAGAAAGCAACAGGGTGTGTCAAGACATAAGTGTCTCTACCATTTATAAACAAATGACAATACCAGCATCTTACTATTCTATAGTTAAAAAGCATAAAGCATGCAAAACTCGACATTCAAAACAAAGCAATTAGGATCTAAGCCACACCAACCTGTAACCTAAGATAAGCGAAAATTGGAGTCTCTAGAAGCCGAATCAATTTATCCAGCTGAACTAAGAATTTGACATTGATATCTTCCTCAACAAGAGACTGAATCACAGCACTTGCGTGTTGATATGTCTGTCAAATCACATAAGAGAAGTTAAACGTACAACTTTGGCAGAGTTAAGACATATCTAAAAATCCCCTTTCAGGTAAAACTATCTTGATACACAAACTAATATGCAAAGAGTTCGCAAAAGCCCATAAAAAATTTAAAACAAAATAAAACAGCTGAAGAGATGGAAATCTAAAAACTGGGAGAGCTATTTGTATTATAGATATGTCCTGTCTTCCTTGATGTGTATTTTATATAGGATTATCGCTTAATTAGATAATGAAAAGTAAAACACTGTACCCAAAATCCAACTATAATTGAATTAAAGTGCATGGAAGAGATTCTCACAAAGACTTATTCAGATAAATCTATATATTCCTACCTGAGCTAGTACGCAAAGACTTATTATTGCCATTGGTGAATGGCACCATGAAGCATACAAAGACACAAATAGGTCCTTCCCAGCAGCATTAACTAGGGATTGTTTCAACAGATCTCTGAGTCCAGACAATTCGGAAGAAGTAAGCAAAATGAGATTCAAAGCCTGAAACAGAAAAAATAAAGTTATTAACAGAACAACTAACCCTCCCTCATAAGGTTCTGGAACTGACCGCAGCTATTTAAGTTTTAAGTTTGGGAGGGATAGAATTAATTTTGCCTCGAGTATATGACAGAACCTGAACCATAGTTGATGCAAAATCCAAGTCGGCTTCTCCCTCTAGTATTGTAGAAAGTTCCCGATAGACTCTTTCAGCATCTAAAAGCACACAGAGTCTGCGGATTATCAAAGCACCACGCCTAGAGGAAATAAAGTACACATATAAGGTGACACGCAGAAAAAAATTGATAAGCAAACAAAATCAAAATCTGAGAAGAGAAAAGGAGCAGTAGCATACTATTTTCCAACTTAAGGTAACAGAAGTAAAATGTAAAAACTCTTAAAGTAACAAATAAGAAATAAAATCAGAAGGAAACCCACTTCTCGAGAAGATTCTTATCGACCCGAAAATTGTGCACTAAGAAAACAACAAGCTGGCGGAAGTGCTGAGGATCTTTTGCTATACATGCATGAACCTCAAGAACAAGCAGCACTACCTGTTGACAACAAATCCAGAATCGGCTATATAAGTCCACTGCCTTGCATGACAAATGCCAAAGTAATACAGAACTAGGGGAGGGAGAAAGGAATAAAAAATGTTTGGTTGACCAAATGTAAAAAGGAAGGCAAAAGATGATCAATAATACCAACAGAAAAATAAACTTGAGGATAATAACTTTTAAACGGAAGAAAATTAATCAGACTTATCGTTTGTTTTTGCCTACCGATTATGTACTTTTTAAACTTCCCTAATGTTGTGCACTGACTATGGAATCTAGTATGCTTTGTGGAATTTGAAATGAAAAGCCATTGTAACTTGAACATAGTAAGCATTAGTGGACTAGGGCAACAGCAAAATCAATAATGAAATTTTAAGGCCGTTTCATAACTGGTCTTTAAACATTGTTACGAGAAATCTCTTATCTGATTATTTACTACTGCTATTCAGGTTTCCATGGGAGATAAATCTAAGAAGCTGTTCCTGGTCTTCCAACGTCAGCCCAAGACAATAAATTGGCATTGACCTCCACTAAGAATCTGTCAAACCACCATGGCAATTCACATCACTTACAGACTCTCCGACCTTAATAAGTTCTCAAATTCTTTTCGTTAGTATTACATCCAAGAAATGACTTCAGGTATCGGAGTGTAGTAAAATCAAACTAAATACCCAGTATTCCGCACGACAACAAGCTTATAATAAAACTGGTAAGATCTGTAAGGCATACATACTGTCACAAAAATTCTGACTGCGAAAGCTGGAAAAATAACTACAATAATAGAAATGATGACCGTATGAAGATCCTGAAGTAGAGTTTAACACATAATAACCACGCGAGGAGGATTACCTCGTCTACAGGATCTGATAAGCCCTTTAGAAGCGTGTCAAAGATATCGTTCAGAACAGACAAAACCTACAAAGAAAAACGAAAACAAGTTAGGGATAACCAACAAAAGGAAAGAAATGTCCACAAAACCAAAAGACGAGAGGGGCATTCCACTGGGCAAGAGTATCACGCGTCGTCTAATCAGTTAGAAATTTCTATATCATGTTTGGATATTTACTTAAACAATGGCATACCCTACCCATGTAGCCCCAGCAAATCTTAAACCCTGCAGTTTAATTAATATGAAGCATCATTATCCATTCATCCTGATTAATGACTACAGAAAAATTAACATTACCAGCACAGATCCTGTCCTAGCAATCTATTACTCAAGTGAACCTGTAAGTATCCTAAAATCAACTCTATGATAGTTTCATTAAGAAGATCCTAAAAGACTTGAACCAGGACAACAGAGTATTATATGGTATACATTCTTCTTGTGGGTAATAAAATGAAGTAAGTGATGTCAATCACAGCTAAAAACATGACTTGCTTACCAATGTAGATTGCAACAAAGAATAACGGTCAAACGAAAAACATTTTGCAGGGAGAGAGTTTTTAAAATGAGGCACTTTTATGAAATATAGTGAGAATAGTGAGACAAGATCAGATGAGAGCTGGATAACTTTCTAAAAGTCAAATTGGCAAGGGCCAAAATAAAGAATAACCAATGGTTTTGTTAAATGTTGTGATTAATAACTTTAGCCATTGGCTTCATGTGGAGTGCATATTAAAAACGAGGTACCTCAGGACGATGCCTCTCTAGGAGAGCTGATATCCAATGTAATGCTTCAATTCTAGTCGCCTCCCATTCACTTGATAGTTGCCTAAAATAATAAAAGATCAGAAGTCATAACTATGCACAAATCAGCTTCCTATATAAGAATCACAACCAAATAACAGAAAACCCCTCCTAAGAATGATCACCTGAACACAGATGTAGAGGCAGTGATTATTAACAAGTTATTGTGCATTCTGATAAAAAATATTCCAATTTTCATTTCACAGAAAACATTTTGGTGTTTGATTTACAATTACACACATTTTCACAAAAGAAGTGCTTGGTACATTGGGTTCAATTTGTATGTCTCACGTTTTCTTTCGGATAATTTTTGCTCTAATTTTGGTTTGAACTCTTTTTGACCTGAAAACTTATTCAAAAAATCTAAAACCCTGTCAAGTTTGACTTTAACCTTTTACTTTTTGCTTAATTTAAATTTTGAGGCTCACGCATTTTGACTTTTTTCAAATAAAAAACTCTTGAAACTTCCACGACACTAGAATGTTGACATGTAGAATCACATATAATTTTTCATAATTTGTAAAAATTTGAATAATATTTTAACTTTTGGTGGGAAAATGAAAAAGTACTTCTTACTTAGCTTAAGCGTAAACAAACAGGCCCTAACCGTTCTAGACATTTCAGTAAAATATTTTATCTCCCAATTGTTGTTCTGCTTTTTTAATATGCAACATCATGCCAACATAAAACAAGAGCCCTTTGGGCAGTTCCTCAAAACCTGAACCAGGCAAGGCAACAGCCAGTATCAAGAAGTTAGCTTTATCAACTATAGGACACAAAGTGGACCTCTTTGCAATGGATAGTATTGCTCCAACATCAAAACCTTCTGCAGGTTCTGCCTTGATTGCACGAAGCTCTTCATTTGTTTCCCGAGCAACCTTACATCAAAGATTAAAAATTACGACAAAAAACACATGAAAAACACAGAAGAAGCAAGAGATATCGCAAAGAAAACAAGCAACAATAGCAAAATGCAAGTAACTTACTGCTCTAATTTTCTCTTCTTTGTCAGATATGCATGGTAATATAGCTCCTAGAATGTCGGCGTAATAAGGAACAAGCTGGTCTCCACCGAGTTTTACAAACTCATTGATCTGCAAAATGATAGTAAAAATCAACTAGAATTGTTGGGATGGCATTAAATCCACAGATAAATCTTCTTGTCATTGTCTAATATACCATGCTCGATAGACAAAGTGAGAGGCTAATAAATCCAAATAACAGACTTGGGATAATCATAATTTAGACGTTGAGAATGCTTATAGTGCATTTTTAAACTTACCCATGTTACCGCTGTTAACCTCGTAAACTCATCACCAGAACCTGCCCTCTGCACCAATATCTCGGCCATGCGGCCATAATCTACAGACTTTCAATAGGAGCACTGCTCGAGTCAGGAGATCATATTCAACAGAAAGACTTTTTGAATCAAAATTTCAGGTAGAAATAGAAATCTAGAGAAAGGGAGGCCAATGCAAGAAAATGCAATAAATTTTATCACTAAAATAAGATGCATTAAGCAGTGTCTGTAGGAAAGAGGATTTCATCAAATGTAAGAAAACATACTGGGGAGTTCTTGATCTCTTGGAGAAACTCTGACAAAGCTGCATCAGCTTGTTGTCGAATTTCATGGCTCGAATCACTTAACATGTTGAACAAACCTAAAGATGATAGAATTTATGTAAGTTACCATTTAAAAGGGTAATATAACCACGGACAAAGGGAAAATATCTATTTGCATGACCAGCGATTTACCGTCTAGGAAATCAGGAAGAAAACCCAGCATATCAATGTCCGGAACACTGTCCAACACAGTAATCCATCCAACTAAAAACTGGCGAACGTATGGATTTAAGACATTCATACGCTCTCTCAGCAAGGGTATAAATTCTTCAATGCTAATAACAAGAAAGAAAACAATCAGGATAAACATGTAATGGACAGAAAATAGCATATTTGCGATTTGACAAATCCAAAGATGCTTTTCAAAATTTCAAATCCGGCAATTGGGATCAATATTTAACGTACCTGAATTGATCACTCTCAGTGACAATGTCCTGTTATAATAGTAGACACGTGGGGAATCGGTTCAAACAAATAGAAGAAAAATGGTAAACAGATTGTATTATGAACTTGAAAGTAAACCCATTTACCTTTACAAGCCGATCCAAAAGGTGAGCAGCGCTTTGTACATTGGCGTCTGAATCCGCAGACAGCTTGCATAAGGCATCAAATATTTGGTTAAAAAAGATGATGAAATCCCCTCTTACAACCTGCGCACAATCCAAAAGTGGCAAAACAAGTAAAAAGCAATACTCAAAGAAAAGAATGCACAATGGAAGCGCTCCAATCAGTCCTCACCTTCGCAATATTATACAGTGCTTCACAAGCATAATAACGAACTCTGCCATCTTGATCAGAAAATGAACTGAGTACAGGTGGTACAATTTGCTGCCAGAAGCAAATAAAGACGAGATAGAGCAGCATTAACACGACAGCGAAGCACAAGATTGTAAGAAATATTCATCCGAACAAAGATTGTAAGCAAAATCCAGTTTGATACATACGAAATAAGGCCCCTATGTGTGCTCAACTCCAGGGCACATGAACTTAGAAGTACATAACAACAATGTTCCGAGTTATGAGAACAGTTCTTTTGTTAACCTTGCGATATCCTCCAAGAATCCCTGTCAGTCAGTTAAAAAAGTAAAATCCCCTTCCCCCTTCATTCTCTATTAATGATTCAGCATTAACGCTGGTCATTGCCCCAAAACCTAACATCAACAAATCAACTAGATGTCTTCCCTACAATCAGAATCGTGCATTTCCACTATAGTGTGGCCATGGGAGAAGAAATCTTAAAATCTAGAACATCTCCAGCGAACATGCAACGTCATTCAAAAGAGTTAGCCGCAATCACTTAGCCCGCGCTCGGTATCCTGCTCGTGCAGATTGTGAAAAGAAAGGCGACACACCATCACTAAACACAACACATTGGAATGAAAACCTTAGTGTACTCTAAGGAACAAAATGAAATCGATTTTTTTCGGGTGGGCTGCGTATCTGGGATTCTGGAATCGCCGTATCTCATCCAAGTAGATTTGCCTATGCAGGAGTAAAAGAAATACCTCAAGATGCTGAGCTGCCTCGGTACTTAACCCCACAGTCGCAGCAGCTAACCCAATCAGTCCTCCCTACCAGATAACAGACATAAATAGACTCCACACTCCACCAACCAAAAAACCAATAGTAAAACCCACGGTATCAAGAAAATCAAAAACCCTCAGAGCCCTAGCTCGGAAACCCGTCAATCGCGTACCTTCCGGTGATTTGCTTGCGCAGAATACGTGAATTCCGTCGTCAGCAAGCTGATCACCGCCGAAATCTTATCGTGATCCCCTGCCGCAGCGAGCTGCTTCACTATTCCCTCAATCTACACACAATTCACATCGCGCGCGCACACCAATCAACACCACACACTCCAGCAACTAAAAAATTTCGAAAGGGAGCGATGTTCAGACCTCAAGCGCGGCGTTCTTCCGCTTCTCGTAGAGCTTGTCGGACAGATTGCGGAGCACGGAGGCAGGAATCGCGGACAGAGCATCCGCCATGGCAGAGAACCAAAGAAAACCCTAGAGAACCCCTCCCCTCCTCAGCCCCGCGCGAAACTTCACCCCCACCGCCCCCACCCCACCCCCACCCAACCCAAAATCAAATCCGCCGGCCGTCAGAGCCGCTTCCTGATCTTCTCCCGCTCCAATCGGAACATCTCCGGCACGCGCGCGGCCCTAGGGTTCCCCGCATTCCACCGAGATTCCACCGGCAAACCCAGAACCAGAATCCCCGTCGCCGTCGCCGACGCCGAAGCGGGTTCGATCTCCGAGGCGGGGAGAGGGGGGAAAGCGAACCAGATCCCGCCGCCCGATATGCGGATTCTAGGGAAGGCAAATCGGCGCCGGAGATTCCCCGATTCCCCGCTTGACCTAATTTCCGGGGACGAATTCGAGTTCCCTCAATTACAAGATTGGATCGGCGCTCGACAGGAACGAACAGGAAGGAAGGCGGTTTCGGGTTTGGGGGGGCTTCTTCGATCGATGGATGGATCGACCGCCGATGATGATGATGATGATGATGATGATGATGATGATGATGATGATCACGAGCAACGATGGAGACCGTCTTCCTCCTCCTCGTCGCTGAATTGTCCGAAAGTTTTTTCGTTTTCCAAAGGTTTACGTTCTTTTTGTCTTAGCGCTAATTGTATTTATGTAGTAGTAAAAAGATATTTTGTGCGTTTTGACCGGTTTTTTTTTTAGGAATTTCATACATCGAATTCAAATCATTATATATTGTGCTTTTTCCATTTCTTCTCGAATTACCCGAGCATTGAATAATAAAATATAATAACTGACGGTGATTTTAATGCGTCTCCAATAACTTCTGATTGCTCAAACTATGCCCCCCATTTACCCTAAACTCTTTGTTGTGATATCAAAAATCATAAATTATGTCGATTGTGATACGTATACCTTAAACTTTTTCTTGTATTTATCGGACTCATCTACCTTCGGTCAAATTCCATTAGACGATTTTAAAGCCAAAACAATGTTAGTTTTTATTTCACTTAAGTCACATGCAATATGGGAGTCATGTTAACACTATTTGCTTTCTAGCGTCAATATAGGTAGATTTTTAACGATTCTCATTGGGTAAATTTTTTTGTGTCATAGAAAAATTTTTAGGATAAATATGTGACAGTGATTTTAATATATTTTTTCATTTCTTCTCAAATTACCGAGTATTGAATAATAAAACATTACAACTAACATGATCCTAATACATCTCCAATAACTTCTAATCTCTTTTGGGAAAAAGTCCAAAAAAATCTCAAATTACTTACCAACTTTTATTTGATTGTTTCAAACATATCAATGTTTGAGATAATTTACAACACACTTGTCTGGGGAGCTTTCCAATGTATTAAAGTTACAATCAAATAAACATTTCTCAGTGGACTCAAAAAAGAGAGGAGCCAACAATTTGGACATGTTGATAATATTTGCAAATAAATGTTGATGAATTATTAAAGTAGGTTGTGATTCCGAAACAGCTAAATAAGCCTTGATAACTCCATCAAATAAGAGTTAATAACTTCATCAAATTAGATAGTAACTAAAATCTGTGAAAAGTTGGTAAACTCCTAATATTAACATTGGTAAATTTGCCATAAGAATTAATGATTTTAATACGATGGTAACTTTGATAAGTTATTGGAACAAGTGGTAATTTTGAAACAATCAATCAAAGTTGGTAAGTGGACTAAAATAAGAGTTGGTAATTTTCTGTAAAAATTAATAACTTCAACAAGTTTGTAAAGCTAGCAAATTTACACGATAATTGGTAATTTAAAACAATCACATAACCATTGATACTCTCACAAAACTGTCAAGAACTTATTAACAAGTACAAGCAAAATAAGTGGTACTTCCATAAAACTCTTGGAAACAAATTACAAGTTGAATAAGTTGCCGGTCAAAATATACAGGTTTTGAAATTTATCAACAGTTTTGAGGAATCACCAGCACAAAATAGTGTTCCATATTTTCACGCACAACATGCTAAAAATCTGCTGAAATTTATTCAATTTCCTATAACTGATCTGATCGCATTTTTCGCCCTCAAAAAGCATCGATTTTTACCGTCTTTGATAATAAATTACGATTTACGATTGTATCCAAGAATAAATTTTGAGGTTGAAGTTGCTGTGAAGCTTGCTTTATTAGAAGTAGGGTGTTGTTGCTCAAGAATTGTTCAATCTGTATTCTGGGATAAGGATGAAATATGTATTTCTTAAGGACACTGGCAATCCGCGCGATCCAATTTATACAAATATAAAATTGACCCCTTTTCTTTTGGCTAAAATCTACATATTGTACATGAAAGTATGACATCTTCACATGTCTAAATGACTACAGATAGCCTTCCATCGTTTTCTAGAATAAGCTCAAAAGTCAAAATTCATAAACCTAACAACACGTTCAGAATAAGGAACGGTCTCATGCGATAACAGAGTAGGCACCAAGTACATTCTCAACGTGGAAAGCCAGAGTCTCAATGCATTGAACTCCACGCATCGGGATTGTCTGAATCAGAGTCCCTCACATCGCCACTCTTATCATAGATCACGTCTCATGCTGTACATGAGTTCATGTGAAAAGCGAGGGATCGAGTCGGCTACGACTGGCCATAAAAGGAGAAGATCGGAAACTCCATTCACAGGTTCATAGTGTAATTACGATGCCGTCTCCCTGGGACAAGGGGGCATATTGAATGAATTATTTTTGCTGATCAAATGGAAGAAAGCCATACAGAATCATTCCATACATGCTCCAGAAGTATGCTCTCTAGCCCTCTGAAAAAGCTAACTCACGGTAAGGATTTTATTGGGATCGTTAGCTTGCAACACTAAGATTACAACTACCTCTAGACACACAAGCAGAAAACTAATTGTTACAAGACAGACGACAAAACAATCAAAGTCGATCAAAGGAAAAGGGTCTCATGAGAGATTCTTCAAGTTCTCGAAAACCTTGGTAAACCGGCTCCGTTTGGCTCTGTGGAAGGGCTAACCTCCGAACCTCAGTCATGTACCTGTTTTTATGACATTACAAGTAAAAAACATCAGAACAATTCTTCTAACTGCGAAATCACGAGAACAATAAAAAAGAGATTGCAGAATAAGGAAAACCGTTGGAAGATGAGCTTCCTGGGTTGATATAAAGTAATTCAGTAAGTGTCAGAAGACAAATCTCATCTCTACTGTTGCATCCGAATATATTCACATGAGCCATCAAGCTTTTTTCTTTCTTTTCCGGCGTGTTGTTGTGTTTTCCAGGGTGGAGAGGTCGGTTTCAACTCAACTATTTCGAAAATCCCAGGCAACCTCCAATTCCGAACGCCATATTTAATTTGAATTTAAAATTCATTTACACTCATTGCTCTCCATTCCATGAACCCCCTCAGGCAACATCTTCCAATCTTTAAACTTCCCCAATATCACAGAAAAAAAACATCCCCACCCCTCCTCATCTGCCTTCTCTTCGCTTCAAGTACCTAAAATCAACCACCAAGCACAACTGACAACTGCTTCACCTCATTTCACTCCAAACACAGCTCTTTCTTAGTCCCAAGTAGAACAGGCAAAGGTAATGAAGTTGAAAAATCTCCTCATTGCACTATAACAGAAAAAGGTGAATCATAGTCTATGCAATAGACAAATTACTTTTTGCCCCTTTGTTTTGCTGAACTACATTTTCCCCTCAAAAGTGCACGCGGAAGCAATAGTTTTAGTTTGACATTCATTTCATGTAATTAAATAGCTTAAGTTCTGAAAGAATCTATCTAACCCTACAACATTCAATCAAATTCTTCAGCTTCAACTACACACCCAAAAACCCAACCCCCCCCCAACAAAAAAAAAAAAAAAAACTACACACCCAAAACATTAGTTACAATTAGATAGCTTAAGTTTGAAAAGTGCAATGCCCATTCAAGGACAATGCACAGGGATGAAAAAAGAAAGACAGTTAAACCTCAAGCATTATATTGAATGTTCCATTTACAAAACCATTTCAATCTTGGAACTTATCTAACACATGAAGGACTAAATTGCCAGTTCACCAATAATCAACTCACCTGGCTATTGCGCCTCTATCTTTATAATCTATAAAGATTTCTTTTCACTAAAATCAGTTCGACAAAATGTGTTAAGGTATGTTAACATGACAGTTTCTCTCTTATTTTTATCTTTCTTATGATATTACAAACTGAAATTTAATCACCTCCTAGACTGGGATTACAAGTACTACCATAATAGATTTCATTTATGAAATTTTAAGCCATGGTAGTAGAAGTAAAAAAACAAAAGCTAACCTGTTAGCAGCATTAGCAATCTTATCTCGAGCCCCCTGGTTTATTGCCGCTGTTTGCTCAAATGAGTAAGAGCCCATAATTAATGAAGCTCCCGTGACGCTTGTATGCATTCTTTGTGCAAATGTAGACATTGCCCATTCACGAAGCACTGCCAACACTGATCTTAGAAGCCTTAACCTGAGGCTAGGTGATGGTAAAATGGCTCCACTTGAGAGCAATTGATCATATGTGTTTATAACCGGCTCAGTGGAACCCTTGCAAGCAGCAAGAAGAGCCCTTGCAACATCTTCATCCCCGACAGACTCAACTCCTGAATTCAATCTCTCCTGTACAAAGGAGTACAATCACAAAAAGGGAGCAAAACAAGATCAATTCCATCAACCCTCCTAAAAGAGTCCAAATATAGGTGGTTCCGTAAAGAGGTAAAACATGAAACGCATGTGACTAAATTCAAGCTGTACAAGTAATCAAGTACACTAACCAACGCAGCCTTCTCAAGGTGGATACAGAGAGTGTCCAAAGGTAAAACAGCTCCATCTCCAGGGTACATGTGAGAACCCACCCTCTTCAGCACTGAACAAGCTTCAGCAATTCCACCACATGATATTGCTTGATCAATTAATCTGGCCCAGGTTTCTCTTACAATGCTGCTATCAGAATCACCAGAATAGTTTGCGAAGTACAACATCTCCAGACAAACCTGTGAACCAGACAAGTCAATAGCCTGAAGCATTCTAGGGTTGGTTGTA